AATGCATACAAAACGTCGATGCTAGTCATACAAATGATAAATGCCGAGTACAGTAAAGTAGCGCTAACCAAGATGGACAGAAAATAAATTTTATTAAAATAATTAATTATTATACATATAAATATTTCCCTATATTTGCGTAGATCTTTCTTTATTTTCCTATGAATTTACATATATTTCTAATATATCTTTATATTTTTGTATATTTCTCCATACTGACATATTTTTTCCGATATTTCCCTATATAATTTCTTATGTTTCCTGATGTAAATATTTTATTTTTGAATAATCTAAGATATTTTTTATATATCCTGATATATTACTTAATTTTTTCTTCTTATTAACGTATTATTATAAACTTAAACTTAAAATCTATAGCTACAAATTTTATATGATATGTATTGTATAGGAAAGTTAGACTGTACCCACTTTCATATGGGCTTACGAAAAAGTTTAGTTGACAACAGTGTCATATGTGTTGCACACTAGTTGATGATGTTGCTGACGTTGCCAGGACGGGATACCGACGGATAGGATAGGTCAGGACACAAAAGGGGAAAATGAGGAGTTGTGGGAGTGGCTGGCACATGGCCCATTGGGCTGCTTACATTGGATGAGCCGCGATGAAGCACAATTTTCAAGAGATACGTCAATATTTGACAAGTCGTCATTGTCGTTGGCTGCTGCTGCTGCTTTCCTCCCCGAAGCCGTCGCTTTTCCGCTCCACACTTGCTGCTCACTCTTTCCAGCGAAGCCGATTTTTCCCCTTGACGTCATCGTTGTGTGTATTAACCGCTATTTTGCTATTTTCGCTTTGCTACTTGCTGCTCCGCGTTGCCCCCTTTATTTGAAGGTTTCTCCATCATTGATACGTATGCAGAGTTTGCACTTTTTTATAGTGTTTTATGTGTTCTTTTTGCTTTATTTTATAATACTTTTGAACTGGTTTTAGAGCTACAATTTTGTACACAAAAATTCAAGGGTGAAAGGAAAAATATTGTATATTATTTTAAGACTAAGTTAAGCAATTTTTTATTCAGTAAAAATATTTTATTCACATTTATAAGGTTAATTAAAATTGTTTAAAAAATATTACAAGTCAACTCCCTTCTCCTTCGAATACAATTTCCCGGGTTTTTCCCTCTTAGCTGCTTTGTGGCACTTCACATATGTCCTTGAATGGTGCATTTTCCTCTAACCTCCCGGAAAACTATTCAATTCTCTTGGCTTATTAAAAGTGCCATGCAATATGAAACTTGTTCGCTTCCCTCGAGGCGAAACAACTGAATGGATTCGAACACAAAAACAACTGCCTAAGCCCGAAACTGAAACTCTATTGAACTTCACTTCGAGCTTGGTTACCCACACTTAGATTCGAGGATTGGTAAGGACGATGAGCTTTGATGATAGAGGATGCCAACGAGAGGAAATAGGATTCACTAGAATTCACTAGAATGTTTTTTATGGAAATGTTTATTATAACAAGAGAATACTTAAATTACTCTTCATTTTCAAAAGACATTTCTTCATAGAAGTCCTGTAATTATAAAGATTTAACCATAATTATTTTTTGTCCAGTGCATTTTACGGAAATGAAAGACACACCTCAAGCACCAGCAAAGCCGCCACTCGATATTGCAGATAGACATAGCCAGGAGCCAGGAGCTAGGACAGGGACAGGGACAGCAGACAACAAGAGATGAAGAGGTGGCAGCAGCTGCCGATGCTCATGTTGCATTTGTTGCCGCTCACCTAAATGCAATGGCAAAAGTTTTATGTTCGAAACATGAGCGGCAGACAACATCATGGAGGACCAGGACTAAGCTCACTTCCGCAGGCATTAACGATGCACGCCCAAAGGTCGGGGGGCTGGAGAAGGGAGAGGAATATGGCTGCATAATGGAGTCTGGAACAGCCAATGACCATTAGACGTAGCCCATTCGCCCGGGGCAAAGTTTGTTGAGCAGAGTGTCCTGGCCACGGGATGGACAATAAGGCAAAACGAGTTATTAATAAACAAGATTGGTATGTCCTCGAATTGTGGTTGAAGTGAAAATACCCTTTGATTATGGACCTTTGGTAGGACAATTTGGGAAAAACTTAAGTTCCTAGGTATTTCAGATTGTTTTCTATTCGAAAATATATTAATATTATAATTTGACAGAATATTTATTTCAGGCCGTAAGCTAGAAGCTTATTAATAATATATAGGTCGCTGAAATTGGCCAAGCTACTTAAGATTAATTTATGAATTTATCATTAATATGTTTATGGCCTGCTCTAAACGCAAATCACAATATTTCCAACCAAAAACAACAGCTTAAATGGAACAATATTTGACGGCATTGATTATGACATATACATACTATATCTCAAGCCAAAGCCAATAATTTCCAGGAAAGCAAACAACACAACAATGCCTGAATGGCTAATGGGTAAGTGTATAATAAACAAATATGAAGTGGACTGAGCACAATATTCCGGCCTAATACAGGAAACGGAAGTGCCAACAAGCACACACACACACACGTGTGCACATGTGAAAACACATATAAACAACGACAGAGGAAAAGAGGGATAGCAGAGACAAGAACAGACCAAATGAAAGGCAAACTAAATGCGAACAAATATTGCAAAAGTTTTTAGCTATATATAGCGCATAAATTTCTGTCATGGGCATCATTAATTAGCACACCACACTCACTACCTCTGGAAAAAAAAAAATACATAAAGAGATATCAGCTAAAAGCGGAAGTACAGTCGCGTTAGCGTCGACAAGCTGTAGAGTGTTTGTTTGAAAAAGTTAAATTAAGTTGGATAGTAATTTGATGCTGCTTTTCTTTTTTCCCCTGTGTTTGTGTGATGTCTGCTTATGAATCACCACTTGACATGAAAATTCAAATTGAAATCATCAATCATGCTGGCGGGCAAAGGCAAAGGAGATGAAAGGATTCGGGGCCAACTAATGAAAACCAAACACAGCAGGTGATGGTGATATGTTATTAGAAGGAGCAGCAGCAGCAGCAGGTGCAGATGAAGGTGGAACACAAAACGCTGTCGTTGCATTTTGTGGCCCCTTTTACTTTACTTGGCTTTTTGTTAACTTCCCCCCTCATGTTTTTCCCCTTTTGTGTTCATTTTCCTTTTTTCTCTCTCTGGTTTTTTGCATTCTGTTTGCGCGGCGGCAGTATCAGTGTAGTAATCAGAAATTTTAATCAAGAGTAGAGATGCTCCCAGCGTCATTTGGTTGCCTCCTGATACCGCCTTAACGCTTCACTTAGCTTGGCTCCCAGCGCCGGAGTAAACATTGCAATTATCTCGAGCACAGGAGAGAGCAACGCGAACCAGCTGAGCTATGATTAAAAAAAAAGAGGAAATAAAAGGAGGTGAAAAGTGGAGGCAGCAGGCAACTTGCCCACTATTTGGATTATGTGAGAAGCACAGAGAGGGGCGCTGCAAGTTCGAACAAATCAAGTGCTCGCTTTATGAGTTCTGCAGGAAAAGGCGAAGGAATGAGCCTGGGATGCATATTTTGATGGCTCGACACCTTGTGTAAAGACTTGATGAATGTTTGCCAACTAAGCTGATGAACTAAGAGAGGTGAAATAGCCGAAATGTCAGAGGGTAAAACATGAAAGCATTTGTTACCAAGAAAATAAATGTCAAAGAATAGAAAATTTTACATAAATTACTAGAAAACAAAGCCCTAGATGAAGGAAATTTGTTTATAATTAAGAATAAGTTTTCATGAATATAAACAAAAAAAAAAAAACAAAAAAACAAATCCAGAATGACTTGCTCTTAACAAATTTTTAAGTTTTTTTCTGAGTGTAGCTTAAAAAAATAAAATTAAGTAATAACAAGATGAAAATAAGGGTTCTAAGGACTATTTTCAATAGTATTTCTATACGAAATAGGAGATTATTAGATTAAAATACTCAAAAAAAAACTACGACTGCAAGTTCCCTAAACGCTAACAGTACACTGCCCAAAACAATTGAAGAACAGTAACTGCGAAAAAATCAAAACAGAAAAAATAATCGCCAAGGGGAAAAGTTCGCACTAAAGAAAGAAAGAAAATCGTCAGCGGAAATGGAAAGAGAGACATAGATGCGGATGTTAGGTGTGGGGAGAGTCATGCAAAGCAGCCACGTGCAAAATGGCGCACAGCTGCCAAGCGGAAGTGGAAGTACATAGCTCCCTCCTGCCACCCCCCTCTTGGCCATTTCGGATTTCCCATGTGGAGTGCCTTTTGTGGTTATGATGAATATGAATGCTATGTGATTGCATTAGCAACTTCAGCTTCCCGTCCATCCCTGCACTCACTGCACGACGACATGACAACACACTCATTTTCACATAATGCCCAGCAAAAGGGCAGATCTAAATGGGGGGGGGAAATGGGTGGTAAGCGTAGAGTGGGAGTTGCTGAATAGAAGGCCGCTGGGCAACAAACGGAAGCGTTTTGAAAAATGTGTTTAGTGTGTGACAAAAGACGTGGCAGAGTAACTAAAAACTTGCAGGACTATTGGGATCAAAAAGGGAATTAATTGTAAGAAATTATTTATATTATTAATATACTATATTATTATTAGAAATTATAAAATTATAATTATTATTAAAAAAATATATACTCTTTTTCTAAATAAACTTCTAAACTAAAACTCCAACTCCACAGCCGCCAGAGCAGTGTGCAGGAGATTCAGGACGAACTGAAACAGTTTCTTGTATCCCCAGCAGTCTGGTTGGCGTCCTGTTTGTGGTCAAAAACTTCACTTAGTGGCATTTTAGTTTACTTTTCTTTCCTGCTTTACTTTTTTTTGTGTGTGTGTGTGCGCGCATGTGTTTATTTAAATTATGTTGTGCGGTTTCTAGATTTCCGTTGGCTCAATTAGTGGTCAGTTAGTTACGGACACTGCTTTTCACCGTCAAAACATACAAACGCTCAAAAAAAAATGAGTATAAAAAATTACGGCAAAAGGATACATGTACACACATACCGTATATATAACATCCTTCGTGCAAGTTTCCGGCATTTTTGCTGCATTGCGTTTCATATTAAATGTGATTACTCCTCGCCCAATGCCCAGAAGATTGGCAGGACCCAGGGACAGGAAGCTCGCCATCCAATGAACCGTTAAGCAAACGCATTCTGGTGTGAGGGGTTGGTAGAATGGGAACGGATCAAGGGATGAAGGGAGGAAAGGACGATCCCAAGCGCCTCCCCGCGCAATAACCGCCAATTCATTTGAGTGCCGTTGTCGAATTGGCAACATTTGCCGGCCTCCCCCACATTTTTGGTCCTGCGGGATGTCGGTCAAAAAGGGTTATGGCCTTACGTTACACATACAGCCACACAAGAACAGCAGGGGTAAGCATTTTAGGAATTTTAAAAGTAAACAAAAATTTAAGGAAAATAAAAAAAAGCATATTAAAACTTCATATTGAAGTTTGAAAGGTTACGCAAAATTGTAGAGCACAAAACTGGAAAATAAGATTATTATTTCTTTTTTTAATAATGCTGGTATACCTAAAACAAATGTTAACATACAAATATCGAGAGGTTTGAAATCTCTTTCGAAAAAAGCCTAAGCGTATGCAATAAAATATAACTCTGGCCTTATATACATTAAAATTCTTTTTTTTTTTTCTTCTTATTATTTATTAAGGCATACGGGGAGTACTGTTTACCCCTTTGTGTCCTTAGTGTCTGTTAATTCAGCCCTAAAGCGGGCGCGCCGGCAACCTTATTGGTTAGCATTATCATAATTACAAAATAGCATAAACATCACATTGTAGGTCGTCTACTTCTGGCCCCAGGCGACCGAAAAATTCTATAATAAAATACATAAAATACTTATTTGGTAGTTTTAAAATCTGTTAAATCATTTTAAAATTATTTAATTTTACAAAATCCAAAACTAACTCTTTCACCACAACTGTACCTATTTGCGTGAGCGGTGGTTTCCAGCCAAAACAATCATAAAAATGCCTTAACCCAGCGGCGTTGCAAGCCATCAACATTTGATTGAAAAAGTCTCCGACCCGCCTAAAACGAAAGAAGAAGGACGGCAGCGAATCGTCATCAGTTGGGGATTTGATTGCATTTTCTCAGACTCAAACTTCCGAGGAAAGGATATCATCATATTCGCATGCCTCCCCCGAGGCACTCAAATTTTACGATACTAAATTTAGTACTGAATATTAAAAACGATAATAAATGCCGGCTCACATGTGAAAGATTTTTTTATTCCCCCCTTTAGCCCGGTAAATTATTAAATTATTTGTTGATTATGAATACGTAACCAGGTCAGCAGGCCTCTTCGAAGGGCATTTAAGTGTAGTGTTTGCACTGAATTGTATTTGCAAAATTAATGTTCATTAGCCAGGTTGAGTTGTTGGGCTATGAAATTTTATTTAAAGTGCTTGAGCTGCATAAAAAATGAATTGCTTGGTAGTTAAAGAAAGGTTATATGTAAAGTTTAAAGAAGGATATTTTAAAATTTTTAAAGATTTCATTTTGTTTAGGAATTGTATGTACAAATTCCTGTTTAATGAATTTCATCTCAATTTTCGTAGTTCCAAATTTTTAAGCTTTCGTTTAACTTAATTTATTTTGATTTATTTTTCAAGTGAATGCCAACAGCTTACTAAATAAAACAAATATGCAACCAAGTGCCTGCTATTTCAGCTCATTGGTTTGCTTACATTTTGGCAATCAACTTCGGGGATAAACAATACCCGATTTGGCTCAGTAACTGACCTCATTCAATTCCACCTCCTATCTCGTTCTATTTATTTTGCACCTCGCATTTTCCATGGAACACACACATTGTGTTTTGCACACGCGATGCAGTCGAAACAAATTGGTTTCATTAACTTTTACTATAGCATTTTGGCCCGCTTGATGGCAATAAATTGTTATCTGCTCCACATGATGTTCCCTGTTGCTGTGATGCTGTTGCTGTTGCTGATGCTGCCACCTTTGGAGGTCCTGCCTGGCCTGATAGCTGGTAGCTGGTAGCTACTTCAGGCTAAATGCCAATACATATTCATTTTGTTGCAAAATTTTCGCACATATGCAGCGCCAACGCTGGCGGCGGGGTAAGCGGGGTAAAAGCGAGTGAGTGAGCGAACGAGTGAGTCAGGAGCAGAGTGTAACGGTTTGAAAATTGTGTGGGGAATCAGTTTTACGAAATTGAATTTATTTCGCTTGCGTTGCAGCAGCCCAAAAACCAAGGGGACCAGCACTGATAGAAAAATTCTATATTTAATACATTAAAAGTGTTTTAGAATTTGAATTTTAGAAAGATTTGAGACTTGAAAACAGGTTGAATTCGTTTGGAAAATCTAGAAAGTTTTAAAACAATTATATAACCAAGGTTATAAAACTATAAAGTTGTTACTTTATAAGTATCTCGCTCCAACTCAGTAATCTCGTTTCTTTAACACTTACTCGTTGGTTTCAACGGGACACAACGAGTTGCTAAGAGGATGTACTAGTTTTTATTACAAATTTGGTATTTTTGTAACTAAAAGCTAAAGATTTTAGCTTAGTGTATGCTAGGGGGAGATACCCTCTGTGTGTTTGCTGGCGTGTGGTGCTATAAGTATCAATAAGTCCAACGGCAACATCAGCTGGCGTGTAACTAAGAAGGATAAGTGCTGTGCTCTGCTCTGCCCTACCTCTGCACACGAACTATCGAAAATTTTCATTATTATTTTTACGGGCCGATATCTATGTATGCATCTATCTATATATCTATCTATCTGGCCATCTCTTTTTCGTTCTGCGGCGGCTCTCTGCAGCAATTGTTTAGTGGCGCTGGAATTTATAGCGATGTTTGTCAGCCACCAATGGGGCTATAAATTGAAATGAGTCTGTGTGTGTGGTAAATAATTGAAAAAAATTAGAAAGTCGTAAAAACGGAAGCTAGTGAAAGCTATTGACAAATTGGTTCAGTTATAGGTGCATTTGTGAATCTTTTTTAACCCGTTAATTTATAATTTATAGCTTTCCAGATAAAACAAGGATAATTCCCAATTAATAATTTCGTAAGAAATTCAGCCCACAAAGCAAGTAGTGACCATGGCAGTTAGTTAAATTCATTTCAGTGGCCTTTACAAAAGTAACTTCCCACACGAGCAACATATATGAACCACAAGGATCTCCAAGAGTTAGGAACACACAAAGTCTATAAACAATTACGAAAGTTTTTGCAGGCCGCAGCCACGAAAATAACAGCAACGCTACCTCCTAGCGTTGCCCCGAGACACACACAGAGAGAGCTTTTAATGCCCAAAGAGTAGTAAATATCAGACAGGATGTGGAGTAAGCTGGAGGAGAAGCACAAAAGCCACAGACAGGAAGTAAGCTGGCAAGGAGTCGTCGGGAGGAGAGTCCCTGTTCCTGGCAATGAATTGCAAATTTCATAGAAATTGTTTTCAAGCGTTTAACATGGCGTATGCGTAACGCATTCTCAGTCGGCTTTTGCTACCTCGTCTATCTGCACTTCCTGCAAAACGTCCTCGTCGAACCCTTTAACCCTCGGCTACCGTTTTGATTTCATTGACTCGATAACAACGAAGAAACACAAGAGAGAACACAGGATGGCGACGACGTCAACTGAACAACGACGTCACTTTTATTGGTTTGTTTATTTGTAGCACAAATTTTTATGATTTTTCCTCACTTGTACGCAGCTTGGCTAAACTGATTTCCATGGGGAAATCATAAGGATACGCTCGGTAAGTTCCTTATTCAGTTTGCTATTTCTTGTTGTTTCTCCGCCTTTGATTCGGGATCTTTCCTTTTCAGCCGAGCAGCTTGATTTGCTTTACTTAAGTTTGTGCGCTTGTTTATGGCAGTTTAAGGTAGATTTTCTTTTCATTTTCTGTTGACTGAATATTGTTTAATCAGTGAGGAAATTTGAGCAATCTAGACAATTTTATAGTTTAATTCAGTTAGATAAGTGGAGTGGACTTTAATCAATTGGATTCTTTATAGGTTTCTAGTTTTTCTAATAGAAAGCTTTCCAAAATCCTTAAGAAAATCCATCATCCATAATCCATATTCAAAGTAAAATTCTATAAAACATTTTAAAAAGTTAAAGAATGTTTTATATTTAATAATTAAATACTAAACTCTTTATTAAATGCACTTATCCTCTTGCAATTTTTATTAACTCACATAAAATCCCATTCCAATTTTAAAATCCCTTTCAGATCAATGCCAGTGGTCTGACTACCGAATTTCGAAATCAACTTTAATTAGCTTTGAAAAGAGCAGAGCGGAAATGAATGCAAGTGCCTAAGTGAAATGGACTTTTAAATCAACCGCACAGGACTTTGATCCCTAGTTCCTGATGCCGGATAATTGCAACTTAGCTACGCCCAGTTGGTTAAGCAGAACGCCCAACTCAGCCTGGCCAAACACTATTAAGAAACAGCTGTCTGCCTGCCTGCCTGCCTGCCCTCCTGGTGAAGGTAGAGAAGGTAGAGGACGACGGCCCTCCCGAATGAAATGTAAAGAAAATGTTATTTATGGCCAATTTCATGAGTGTCTGGCTGCTGTGCAGTTCCTTCTCCTGGGGAGAATGCAGTGCCTCCTGTTGCTCGAGTGCCGGCAGTTGCAGCAGATACCTCATGGATTGTAAAGAGGGAGCAGCCTCGTTCTCCTTGATTTCTCGATTTGCCCGGAATGCGTGCGTGTTGGAAGCCTCCGCATGGACGAGGAATGCAATCTGTAATGCAAAAGGCGAATCAAACCTATTTTGCTGAGCCAGCACTCGAGAGTAGTGAAGACGATTTGACTTTATTCTGCCAATTGATTTCTTCCTTTATATTTAATTAAAATTCTTAGAATAATAATTACGAATTCATTTATTAAATATACAATTTTCAGCGGATTTTATATACTATATTCAGCTATATTGTTATATAAAATATTACAAAAAATTATCCTATGAAATTCTTATTATAAATAACGTTTAATGTTTAATGTTTATTAATCAGATTTCAACACTTTTTACATACTATTTTTACTTGCAATCAATATTCTAGGTCATCACTGGCTCTTTAATCTGAGCTTGATAATGGACGTATACACTTAAAAAGTAGAGTATGACAAATGAGAACAAAATTGAAGCTAATGTCAAGGATAAACTAAGTATAAAAGTTGTTTAATATAATTTATTTCACTTATTTCTAGTTAATTGATAGTATAAATATATATAGTTAATTATCTTCCTTTTTTTCTCACATGTACGCACATATATAGTCACTGTCTCCCTTCATCCCCATATTTCTCCAAGTCTCTCTCTCTCTCTTCTCCTCTCTATCTGTCGGATTCTCTCGGTGCTTGGGAATCGAATGCAGGTTAAATGAAAATGTTATTTCATTTGGCCGCCACTTAGAGTGTCGGAAATTGAAATTTATATCCGTGTTTCTGGCCAGGATGCGGAGTACGAACCAACTGTGCGCAGAAAGAGGGAAGGCAGGCCGAGGAGCAGCAGCGGTCGAGTAGAAGTAGCCCATTGAGGAGCGAATCCATTCGATTGTGGTTTATTGCCCCGATTGCTCAGCTGCTACCAAAACTCCTCGAACCCCTCCAGCTTTTTGCAAAATTTACAATGGGTCTCCCATGTTGTTGGCCACGCCTCGTTTTATTTTTTTTTTTTTGGCGGCGCCTCCTCAGTATTTTTGAGGGTAATGCTCTGTGACATTTTTAGACGATACATTAATAACGAATTTATTCCTCAACTTGGTTTTAATTTATTGCACTTTCAGTATCGCCTCAGCTGTGACACAGTTCGGAAAGGATTACTTTCGGTACAGTAGTGATAGAATATGATATATACTCATTATAAAAGGGCTTTGAATATCAACTTTGTTGGGAAAGGTTTCAGTTTCTTGGGTTAAAAGGTTTCAATTTCAGAATTTATAGTTATTATTAGTGAAAAAACGATGTAAATTTTATATTTTAAGAAAAAGTATTGCAATTCAATAAATATTTAAACTTTATTTATGTAATTATATGCCCCGAAACGTACTAGATATTTATTTGATGTATCTGAAGAACTTTTGAAATATTTTATAAATATTTATAAAGTATTTCCCGTGTTCTTCTTTAGTACTTTTTAATTTTTAAAGGTTTTTCATTGAATTTAATGTAACTTTCAAGGCAATCTACAATCGTGGGTCACTGTTAACTGTTTGAATTTAGATTTTGGTCTCTGTCTTGTTACACGTCTGTCTGTTTGTACCCTCTGTGTTTGCCCGCTTCGTCTAGATTTATTGTTATTTTCGCATTATTTGCATTATGTAAACACAATAGTACGCAGTGCCCTTTTGGGACAGAGATACCAGAGATCTGCTTGGCACTCCTGGATATAGATTGCATTTTCTGGCTGTAAGCCTGTACAATTTAATTAACTTTGAGCAGATGTGTCTCATATCAATTTCGATGTCCTGCCCCGGTTGTTGTTGTTCTTCTCGCCTGATTGTTTCAGTTTTAGTTGTGAGGGGAATAATGGCCAAAATGCCGGTTCATTTAATAGTATTTACATGAGAATTGCAACGAGCTTACGTTTAATTGCATTTCGGTCCAAGGTAGCAAATAAAATATAAGTTACTGTTAAAAGAGTGCACTTTATAAAAATATTCCTTTTCATTAAAAAATAAATCAGGAAATAATAAGCCATTTTAATTGAAGGATAAAATGGAAAAACAATTAATTAAGAAGTGCCTGCAAAAAGTATTTTCTTTTTATTATTTTTATTGTTTTATTCATTTTTTTTTATAACTAAATATTTTTTGTCACCTTTTTTGGCCAAGTGAATGGCTGCTGATGTCACAAAATACCATCATTTTGGCCCCCAGAAAGTCCATAAACACGTGCCACTTTGGAGACATCTCTTCTCTGCCATTTTTAGCGTGGCCAAATCCAGCACCAACTCAACCCCCTTTCCTTTTAGCCACTGCTTTTATGCCCACGTGCCAAGCGACGTGTTGCAAATTATTTCGACATCTGATTTTAAGCGGAAAACAAGAGATAGAGAAGGAGCGAGATCCAGGACAAGAGATTTTGCCCGTTCGGACTCTTTTGGGTCTAAGCGCAAAATTACTGGCTAAAAAGGACCAACACACACAGCCGAGGAGGCCAAAAGGGGACAAGGCTGGGTGGGGCCTCGGACTGGGACCGGACTGTAGCTGGACTTTTTGGGGGGCCACTTATGGCCTTTCTGTGTAAACTTTTGAGTGCATTTTTCGTTGCACTCCAAACAAAAGACCCGGCGAGCAGCGCTAGACTGGGAAAGTCCCGGCAAACGGGCACATTATGGGACGTTAGTCCGGATGCACTGGAAGAAAATCATAGTTGTAATGGTAATAATGCAAATGACTTCAAAAAAAAATATAAGCGACATAGATATATCTAATCAAAAAGATATTTAGATATAACTTGTTTATTTATTGTCTTGGTTTGTAAATCTTTTTTTTATAAATATAAAATAAATTCTACAAATTACAAAATATTAAAAAATAAGCTTTAAAGTCCCGGTAGATTAGCCTGTGGCGGAGTACCACTAACCAAGGGTTTGGCCAGCGTCATGAATCGCATACTAAACTGATTCTTCAAAGACTCTGGTGTCACCGTTGAGGCCATTTCCAGATAAGAAACAGGTCGAATTTGTCCATTTTCAAGCACAGGAACCTGACGAGTTCGAAGTCCTGGAACAAGGACTTGACATCGAACGAGAACTGATATCAGCAGCACCACTAATAATAACAAATGCAGCCTCATTGTCAAACTGATGATAATGTAGCTGCGACTTTTCACTTTATATATATTCTTACGGAGGTAAACCAGGAAATCTGATGATCAAAGGTTATTGATCTTGATTAAACTTCAATCGAAAGCTAAGTAACGTGTATATATACGGTATATAAAAACCAAATAACTGGATTTGTTTGATAATTATAATTTAAAGGCCGCGTTCGGCAGATAAAAGTGATCAGGAAAGAGTGACAAATATTTCAGGAGAATATTTGGGAAAATATATATCTTTCAAGGGAGAAACCCTTAAGTTATAGTTACTTTTTCTCAGTGCTTTCTAAAGTTTGAGTTTTCATAGCTGAGCAGCTATCCCATAAGGGGCTGGGATAAATGGGGAGGCGGTGGCAATAGCACTTGCGAAGCTCCATCAGAAAGTGGTGCAGTTGGTGACATTTGCATGAACATAAAAAGCTCATGCACAGCAATTTGCGACTTTGCCAGTGACATTAAACGTGGACAGCAGCACCGGCAGTTCAGCAGCTCCAAATTTTTGGGGTATTTAGGAATGGACTGGGTAGAACTGGGAACGGGGTGCTGAAATTCGCCCTATTCAGAGGCTCTTTTTGGTCTGAAACAGAGGCAGGCCCCAAGGGGGGTTAGTTAAATAATAAAAACTTAATTTCACAGGGATGTTTTTAAAAAGCAATGAATAATTCTTTATGAATATTATATATCCTGCAAATAATAAGAAAAATATGATATTTTTAACAATATTTTGTGATTTTACCCCTTTTTAAGTATATAATTCTCAAGCCTACGCATCTGCTAATGGCGACTCCCTCGCAATGCATACAAATAGACACAAAGAGGTGGAGGTATCGGATAGTACGGGGTAGTCAGGGGTCAGGACAGACAACAACACTTTGCACACTTCATTAGATCGCAAGTGAAAGATAATGGAAGGCGACCGAAACAATGCCCCGAAAAATGATGTGTTAACTGCAGCGTTAAAAAATCCAAGCCAGAGAAAAAATATATATATATAAGCGGAGGGGCGAACGAACGTTAACCTTAAACAGCCCCAAGGAACGATTTAGTATGGATTTCATTCTTTCGCTTCGCTTTCTTTAGTACTCCGGACATTGTGCTGATGTTGCGTAAAATAAAATGTTCGTTCAATTTATGCCCCGGCACCGCCCCTGAACAAAGTGTTGAATTTTAAATTTCCCTAGAACTGGAAAGGCCTTCAATTTCAGCCAACAATGGCCAGACATTGATTTCTTATCGGTCGCCTGCCGCCTTGGAGCTCTCGGATACTACACACATCCTGCAAAGTCATTTTGATTTATTGGCAATGATTTTCCAAGTTATTGAACAGATTAGATGGGCGTGTTTTAGTTTCCCAGCCGTACACAGGACGAAGGATCGATGGAGCAGCAAAGTGCCAAACAATTTGTTTATGTTTTTTGGTAATGGACTTTGCTTCCTCTCTCCTCTTTACCCGCCATTAAATGCAGCCAAATCCTGAGACGAAATTGAAAATTTTCTGCTCGTTTCTGGTGGAACAAGTTTTCCGAATGAGATGACAATTGGCCAGACCAAACCAGAGCAGACCAATCTAACCAGAAACGGAAGATGAGATGGATCCCTTTCCCTGAGCTTATTAAAATTGTGCAGACCAAGTCAAATTTCGTTGAAGGGATTTCCTACAATATATTTTTTCCAACGACTGCAACCAAAAGCAGATGGAATATAATAAGTATGAAATAACTATAAATATCATATTGCGAAAAATGGTCAGCAACAGGCAAATAGGACATTGGGCACAGACTACTACAACCTGGAACAGGAGCTGGTCAGGATAAAAATATAAGCAAAATGAGAGCGAAGGACTGAGACGCATCAACCACACCAGGATGATAATGTTGATAACAACCAATATATAAGAGCAGAGAAATACGAAAAAACATCTGAACAAACATAGGAAACTGGAAATGTACTCTACAAAAAAATATATGTATATATTATACGAATAATTTAAAGAAATGTAAGATCATTTTAAATAAATATTTCTTTACATTCTGCTTTAAAAATAAACATTTTGGAGAAATATTCTTCTATAAGCCAACTTTAAAAGTATTTTCAAAGTGAACTTATGATTTTCCTCTCCCATATTAATTAAGCTAACCGATCAACCTCAACCCTCTGTGGTATTTTCTTATAGAAATTATAGTTATATAAATAAATTATCTGTACATTTCAAGGTATCTACAAAGCCGGCTAGCAATATCCTATCTTCACCGCTCACCCCAAATATATAATTGAATTCTAAACCAACGCAAACATTCTCCAGAGAAATAAGACGACCAACGATGCAACTGCAACTCCCCATACCCTCTCTTTTCTCCTCATCTTAAATATAATAGAGAAAATTCTATGCTTGCTATACACAAAAAAAGAAATGATAAAAGAAATTCAATCAGAATTTTCTGCTGCCACTGCTGTGGCTGACCATAACAGAAAGCTGAGAAAAGTGAGTTGGAGAGAGATGAAGCAAAATATAATAAATACCAAAAAAAAGGAAAGGAAAATCCGCTTAAGGTAGTATATAAGCCATGGACCATGGCACTCCCAGGAGCCCACCTCGTGTCAGCATTTGTAATTATGTGGCAAATTGGCGGCTTTGTCAATGCAATTGAATGCAAAATATTTGAACAATGTTCGGCAAAAACCCGCTGCGTGGCCGGAAATTGCAAATGTTCTATGCCACCCCCCAATAAAAGCTACCAAAATAGATGGGAATACCCCGCCTTGCATTGAAAATTTCCATTTTGTATGGAATTATTTGCCGTATCGCTCACATTGTTGCCAAATCTATACAATTGCAACATTTCCTGATTAATAAGCAATCAAAGTGATTCGGAAAATATCAGGAAAATTTCAGTATTGTTAGTGATTTGGAAATTGAAATTTCTACAGTCGAGCTTTTATTTTTGAAAATTTATATATATATATATATATTTTTTTTTTTTCGTTATGAACAGCAAACCAAGCGAGCTAAAATTATTGTTTTTGCTGCGCAATTGAAACGAGTTTTTTTTGTATCTTAAGTTCAACAAAAAATTCGCTCAAAAAGCTCTACAACTTTTGAGAGAGGTTAATTTAGCATGAAGAAGCTGCTTAAATGTAACAAGTTAACTGAGAAAAGTTAGAGTTTTGTGCTCAGAAATTAAATTATTGATATTCAATCTACTTGCACATATAAAAAGGATTTATTGCTCTTTTGTCTGCTGCAGTTATCACAGAATTTTCCTCAGGACCGTAGACCAGTTTTGTCATGACAACAGACAGAAGGTAGAGATTTCCATGAGTCGATTTCTCAACAACAAAATAAGCAATCTATGCTAACAAAAAACAACAAAAGAAGGAACGATAAACAGCTAGAAAAAAATTAAGCTGCAGCAGACGAGACAACAATAGGGAAAAGGATTATAATAGCTGCTCGAGGACATTGAACTTGCATGAAAATAATCAACAAGTTAATGGAAAAGATGCTGAAAAAGGCAGAGAATTTTGGAGTGGGAAAAGTGACATCTTCTTTTTAAATTAAAAATTTAAAAAAAGTCAAATTATAATTTGTTTCCCCTTTTATGATTTTTACAATTAAAATAGAATATTTAATTTAAGGAACGAGGGCAAATAAATTATTAAAAATTACATTTATAGTACACATAATTTATAAAAAATACTTCAAGCCTTGTTAACTGTCCTAATAGTATTTTGTAGGTCGACGTTTATATTGATTTTACATAAGAAAAAAATTATAGACTAAAATGCAACATTGTTGGTCAAAATCCCCCCATTCAAATTCACATTTCATCTCACATCTTGACAGATATTTTCTTTCACCTCTTCATAAATAATAGTTCAACAACCCAAATCACAAAAACTGTGTCACTTTGCAATTAAATTCCATTATCATTCCGCCAACTAAATTCAATTACAGCTACAATCCCATAGTACGACCGCAGCCAATTCACGGAAAAATAAAAATAACGAACAATCAATGGGAGCAAAAACAACAACGGCAGAGTATTGAGACAAATTCCACCGCCTACGAAGCCGGCGATCAAAACAAAATAGTTTTTTATGCGTGGTCCGCTCGCTCGACTGACATAATAATAATAATAAACCGATGAGAACCCGTTCCGAGTTTCACTCAACAACTAATGCGGGGCTTTGAGTGAATTAGCAAAGCTTTTCTTGCCGATCCCAAACAAGTCGGAAGACTGGGAAGAGTCGGACCGAATACAAAAATCTAACGCAAATTTCAGTAGTTCAACGTCTGCCAAACGGTTCAAACCGAAAGTTTACTGCGTTTTTTGAGCAATTTAAATATTTCCAAAATATATAAAAAAGAAAAATTGAAAATATGCTGAAACAAGTGATTGCTGTTCTTTTCATTGCCTTGTGTCTGATGCACACGGGTAAGTGATTTTTGCGAGGAAATTTAAGGCGGGAAATGAAATAGAAAATTAAGTGTGTCAAAGCAAAACCAGTTTTGAGTGAAAACTTCATGTAACTTTAAAAAAAATATAAAAAATGTTTTAAAAATTGTAATGTACTGTTTCAAAGTTTGTTTATTATAGAATAAAGTGAAATAATTTCAATTAAATGTTTATTAAAGTTTAACTAAGAATATTTTTATGATTTTTAAGAAATACAAGATTATACAAACAATTCTTTGTTCAATTGATTTAATCCTCAAGGGAATTAGAGTTCTTCAGTCCCCCTGAGGATTAAATCATCAAGCAAACAACAAAATATTTCAAAAAACGAACGCCTCCAACAATTCCAATAAAAATCACATACAAAAAAAACAATCTAAAAAACAAAGGCGAAATATTCACGTATTTTTCCATACGTTTGCAAATTCAAATTTATAGGAATGACTTCATAGCCGATGAATTACAGGGGTGTCGGGAGAAGTTTACGTGCATATAGAGTTTGTTTATTTTTTATTTGACGGAGGGCGTTACATAAGGCAGAGCAACCGAGTGAGTGAGAAAAGATGGAGATCTTAAACTGGTTACAAGCTCTCAACAAAATCAAATCGGCGACCTTGGCAAAAGCCTTTGCTTTGCCTCAATGAATATTAATTAATACAAAAATTAACTTTTTTTTCTACCCCTTTAGCCTCGGCCATCAAGTGCTATCAGTGCAAGTCCCTGACGGATCCCAACTGCGCCAAGGATAAGATCGATGCCTCCTCCAATGTCCGCTCGGTGGATTGCGATAGCGTGCCCAGGCCGAATACGATGGAGCAACTGCAGCCAGTGACCAGGTGCAATAAGGTGGTCACCAGTGGTGAGTGAAAAATCTTCAGCGATTCCATCGTGCATATTGATTCGATTTAAAGAAACACAAACACGCACCTTGAACGCAATAAATACTTAAATGAGACGTGATGTCACCGGACAAAACTAGACGAGATCGGGGTGGAGGTAGGGTTCCGAATTCCAATTAACATATGGCAAACAAAACCAAAACTGAGACATCGTATGCAAAGCGAATACAGTGCGTAACTTAGCGGTAAGGCGATAGAGTGTTTGAAAAAGTTAGGGTAGGACTTAATAAGAGTTTCGTATGATAACGGGTATGCATTTTTAACAAATATTACAACTATGCATATTACAGATATTAAAATATTAAAATTATAATTTTAGAATACAAAATGAAGTTGGTTTAAACATTTAACAGCGAAAATGTCTAAAGAATTTCACGGATATAACTTACTTACAAGTTATTTATAGCTTGCAAAGAAATATTTCTGTATAACTTATGACTAATTATAGGTAAAGTATATATATATTATACATGACATTTTAATACTTCAAGTCTGTATTATTAGAGACATTTTTAAGGGCCCTGTAAGTTATGACTTCAAACGGCTAGTAGCTCTATGAAAAATGATATATTTTTATCTAAGATATTTGTTCAACTGCATTTTCTGTTGCCCTTGCGGCTTTTTCAGTGAAAAGTAATTGGTTTAACAAAAAGGTGTTATGTTAAAGCTAAGTTTAAAAAAGTACATACATATGTTCAAGTGAGTTCATTAATGCTTGAAGAAAAGGGCCTTAAAATAAGAAATTCATTATAAATTTAGGTCTGTACAAACACACATAAGTAGTATTGCCTTTTTAAATGTTTGTAAATTATATTCACAATTAGTTTAAAGCTTTTTGGGGATACTTACCTATAAACTTTAATTAATTAATAACTTAATCATTATTATTGTCGCATATATGTACTTTAAGCTTTTGACAGACTTTATGAACATTTTTTAATAAATTAATGTCTTTAACTTATTGATTTACTTTCCATAAATTTAAGTATAACGATAATTTACCCATCTCTAATGGTCACCTTTGTTTACCTTCCCTTCTACACCCAGACCGTGCTGGAACCATTGTTTCTAGGGATTGCCACTTCGAGTCTATTGGCCAGAAGGACAACGAGTGCACGGTGACACACAGCCGCCAGGTGGAGAGCTGTTTCACCTGCAAAGGTGATTTGTGCAATGCTTCAGGTTCGGGACGCTTTGTCGCTTTGAGTGCGACGGCATTGTTGGCCATCTTTGCCCTGCAGATGTCCTTGTGAGGCGGAATCCGCTATCCATGATTCTTATATGATAAATGTCAATAACACATACCTGTACAAAAAAGAAATGTAAATTTGTTAATTCAAATCATTGAATAAAGTTAACTAAATAATAATCACCTGTAATTCTCCCTCATTTGTAGTCCCATCCGATTAAAGTTTTGTATGACATGATCTTCCAAAGCATCTTGCGCTTTCTTTAAATAATAATTAAAGTCGAACTTTATATTCGAATTCATAGTTGGAGTGTATTAAACAAAAAGACCACGAACAGAGAGAAAACAACAACACCGAAAGAAAGCTGGCTAAAAGATGTCCACAAGGGGTTACAATCGGCACAAAAAAAAAAAAAAAATGAGAACACACAAGTTAACGCTCGAAACACAACGTTTTAAAACGAATCTCAATAAGCAAACACTGGGTTAGCAAATGATGGCCTTTACACACTTTTTAATAGTTTAGCACAAGTTTTAAAACGCACAAAAACACATTTAATAAAATATCCGAGCGACGCGCACACAACACAAGAAGAAGAAAGAAGAGGAAAGGAAGAATGAAGAAAAAGCACGAGCCAAAGAAGGATGCAACTAGATAACAGAGTGACCAGACCGCCGATAAAAATCACGATATTGACGTGAATGAGGTTATGTGAACGGAAATGTGATAATGTCACGAGATTTGGTTTTATTTTCAGTTTAATTATTAATATTTTATTGGTCATTTTATTTTTATTTTATACTTGGGACTGTTAAAACGTCAGAACAATTAAAAAACAACACAAATTAAATTAAAATTAAATTAAATTAAAATTATAATTAATATATCGCCAGGTTGTGCTAGTATACAATTGAAAACGTTACAGATTAAATATTTCCACAGCAATTAGTTTTCATGCTAATTTTGTGGTAAATCGATTAAATTATTTTTCAGTTCCAGTCATAAAATTTTCATAAAATACAACACATTGCTAAATTTTCTAGAAATTTTAGTGTTTATATTTATTTAGTGTTAGTATACAAGTGCACATTTTACAGATTGAATATTCCTACTTTAATTAGTCGCAACTGTCGATTCAGAATTATCTTTCATGCGAATTTACTTGTATTAACCGACAATGCTTAGTTCTCCAGCTATCCCTCCTACTTGCATACACACATTATATTTTAATTAGACCTGTTATTTTTAATCGCCGAGCTATGAGTAGTTTTTGTTTTTGTTCGACGTTTGACACCGGCGTTATCTCGGTGGCTATATAAATATCTGTTTCGGATCCGGAACACATCAGTTTGCCGCCAAAGATGAAGAGAATTGTACAGATTTGTTGCCAGCTGCTGCTGCTACTTGGCCTTGCTGCAGGATCTCGGATACCTAGAGCTCCCAATGACACCACTGCCAATGACTGGATCCTGGACTACGTAGAACGACACATGGACAAAAGCGCCAGTCCCTGTGAGGAGTTTCATCGTTACGCCACTGGCAAGTTTAAAGGAGAGGACGAACAGGACGATATCTATTCCATTCCCGATACTATGATACTACATTTCAACGAAAGATTGCAGTCCGTCCTTGATCAGCTGAAAGATCAAGCTTTCACCGAGGCAAACTCAGTAGAGGAGAAGGTTTGGCGCTACTACAACACCTGTCTGACGGCACCCGAGTCTACCCGCTCACCAAGGCACTACCTGGAGCTGGTCTCCTCAGATGAGAATCTTACATGGCCGCAGTTCGCTCATCGGAGGAGTAAGTGGCCCCAGGAGGAGTTCAATTGGCTGCAAACCCTGGCCCAGCTCCGTCGCTACGGTATGGAGAATTCCATAATCAGGATGAACGTAGTGCCGGACGCCAAGGACAGCACCAAGTTTCTGGTGACTGTAATTACTCCCGAAGTTGAAAAGTTCCTGAATGTTGACATCATCTCTGACCTGCTGATCACTATCGGAGTGGACAGGAGCCAGGCTCAGCCTTTGGCCAGCAAACTAGTTCAACTGGACACGGAACTCTATAATTTCACCGCAGAGAACAAGGAAGAAGCGAGGTTAGACGAGGATGACTTCACCAATGCAGTGTACACCCTGGACGAGCTGCAAAACCGGACGGGACTGCATCTTGAGAAATATCTCGAGATAGTCTTTGGCCGCCCCATCAATGGGAGCTTTGAGGTCGAGGTGTTGGGGACTAAATATCTGGAGGGTCTGGAGGAGATTCTGCAGAAGTACGACAGCGATGTGGTGGCCAGCTACCTTATGGTGAAGTTTGTTCACTTTCTAATGGCTCTGGATGGCAGTGAGCCAGATGGTGATCCCGGAAGGTGTCTTGATGCTGTGCGTTTTCATATGGAACAAGCCGGCGATCTCCTGTACGAAGACCATTACCTGAAACCTGAAAAGCTGCAAAAGTACACGGCGGAAGTCCAGAGGATCTTTGAGGCCATTAAGCAGAGTTTCAAAGACAAATTGGAAAAGAATCACCTGCACTTGAGCCCGGCGGAAGTCGCTGCTCTCAAGGAGAAACTGCTGGCCATGACAGTAACCGTTGGCATACTACCCAGCAAAGCCAATCATCGCCGCTTTGTCACCGATTTCTATCAGGGTCTGGAGCTTGACTCGAAGCCGGACTTTGCCAAAGCTCAGCTTGAGGTCTTAAAGCTACGAACACGACGAGTGCTGGACCAACTGAATGGCGCCTATTCCAAGGACGAAGGCTTCTTCCAGCTCTACGATGAAATCTCCAACAACAATCCCGTGCCCTGGTTCGAAGTAAGCGGAAACACCATCATCCTGGCCATTGAAATGCTGCGGGAGCCGGTCCTGGCTACTAAAGGGCAACATGATGTCTTCAAGGTGAGCCTGCTGGGTTACCTGTTGGCCCGCAAACTGATGGAGAACTTCACACCGTACTTTTTGCCCTTTGACGGCAAAGGAAACTATGGAGAAGTGTTGCGTTCCTTCGAGAACTACCCAAGCTATGTGGATGCCCTCGCCTGCTTGAATGCCACTCAAACTAAGAACCTAGCCAAGCGGGTGATAGATGTGGTGAGCCTTGGAATCGCCTACGATGCTTACTTTGGAGAGAACTCCCAGTTTGACCAGAAGCAGCCGGACTTTACTGAGGTGCCGTTGAAGCAGCTATTCCTGCTCAGCGTGGCCCAGTGGTTTTTGGGTGATGCCAAGTATCTGGATTACGGAGTAGCAGACCAGGATGATGTGCGTCTCAACCAGGCAATAAGAAATCTTCCTTACTTTGCTGAGATTTTCAACTGTCCAACATCTGCGGTCCTGAATCCAACAGACAAGTGCCAGGTCTGGTGAGAAGAATCTAATCCTTTTCCTATTGGAAGTATCTGCTTCCTTGCCTCGAGTTTCCCTTAAACCCATATGGAGATTACTACTTTGTGTATAAATCGTTTATTTCAATTACAAATGTTTCTACTTGTCCTTGGCGTTACAATAAAAACTTGTAAGCGACATAAAAAACTAGGCATTTCTTTGTATAAACACACATTACAAAATATATATAAGACACAAAGTGGTGGAGATTATAAGTTGAAGCTTAAGAGATATGGGGAATGTCATGTAGAGGTTTACGCCGATGGTTAAAGGCATCGGCGGCGGCGTAGAGGTCAAAATGACTCGGCGGCGGCGGCGTAGTAGTCAGAAAGAACCGGCGGCGGCGGCGCGTCAAATAAGGCAAAAAGGCCATTTTAATGAGTTATTTTTTTTTTTTTAAGTTTTATAAAGAACAATGACACTGAAGGCCGCGCTGAAGCTGCGCCGATGCCGCACCAGCGGCGCGCCGCGGCGCGCCGTTATTTTCATAATTTGGCGGCGGCGCGTCAAATAAGGCAAAAATCGGCGGCGGCGGCGGCGTGGCGCGGCGGCGTATATGTCTAATGTCATGTGCGTAAGATTCATCTGGACGGAAATAGTTTTCCTTGGTTTAAGTTACAAAAAGTCGAGTAGTTTACAGAAAAGGCACTTGAATTGCAAAAAGGCGACTGTATTGGCTCAAAAAAACAGGATTTTGCGGCAATTTTGTATGGTTTTCTTGTAAGAAATGGTTTCTAGCTTCATTTGAAACACGATTTGTGGAATATTCCAATATCTTTGTCGCTGAAAGAGCGGGAATATCAGAATTTCTGCTGCAATAACTTAATATATCCTTTTTCGAGCCAAAACAGTCTTGTGGAAATCAGGCATGGGATTGGCTACAGGAGTTAGTAGATCCCGTTCCAATTATTGCCGCAGAAGGTGCGCCACAAAGACGGACACCAAAGTGCCACACAGAGCTCCTACCCAGCCCAGGCGATGGATTCCTGCCGAATTGCAGCCATCCTTGCTGTTGCACGTACAGTACTCCATGAATATGTTGTAGCTGCCGGTGCGCATAAGACAGAAACGCTCGTCGCCCTCGATTCCGGGCTCGCCCATGTACGCACAGCTCCTGAAGTAGCGCCACTCCCCATGGACCTTCTGTCGAATTTTGCGACACATGGTCGGGCGCACGCCCGGCAGATGCTCCAGTTCCGGCGCCTGCTGGCAGTCCGTTATCGCCAGTGTGCTATTGTCGAAGGGATCTCCGCATTTTGGATCGTTGTCGCTGCGGCAATCCCAGCATTTGATGGCTTGGCCTGTGGAAAAACACACAATGTTTGTTTTATGCGGGTTGCGCCGGCGCAGTGACCATTTTCCGGGAAAAAACTCACCCACTTGCAGCAGACAGCAGAGCAGGACCACAGCCAGTGCACATTTCTCAAGATTCTTCATCGTTTATTATGGAATTTTCAAAGAGCGTTATAAATTTATTAAATTTTTGGGCGTGTAAATAGCAGTGTGACCGTGGCGGAAACTTTTAAATATCCCACCAAACTTTTAACATATAGTTAACAGTATGTTAAATTAGAATTTTGTTAGGATTATTACCAGTTTTTCCCTCTGGTAACATTAGGCTTCGGAAATTGCATAAACAAAATAAACCTCGTTATTTTGTATTAAAAACACAAAAATGTCGTTCAATATAATGCAAAAGCTGACGATGCAGTGCCTCAAGGTGGACCAGCCACTGATAAGTATGTCTTTGATTCACCAAAGAGGAAATTTACCTGATAATTTCAACTTGCAGCCACCATCCGAAATGCCAGCAAGAAAACCGGCGGAAGTACGCGAAACAAGAAGGGACATGCTAGGCCAAAACATCGAGGATGGCGTGTCCAGGACGGACACCATGTTTCCGAGGGCACCATCCTGGCCACACAGCTCACCACCCGCTTTCATCCGGGTCTGAATGTGAGTAGTCCCTACTCTAGATTTCAATATCTTCATGGTTTTATATTTTTATTTGTCCAAAAGGTGGGTTTTGGCCGGAATGGAACCCTGTTTGCCATGGAGCATGGCAAGGTGTATGTGACCTGCGAGCCGATTGATCCCAATTGGGATCACACCTGGATTCAGAGAAACTATGCCGGGCGCCAGGATCAGACCATCTACAAAAAGTTTTTTAATGTTGTGCCCGAGAAGCAGCATCAGCGCTTCCGTCTCGTAGAGGAAATCTAATTTGTTAAATATTATTAATACAAAACAAATACAATTTAAAAGTAAACATTTTAATTGGAATAACAGGTGTGTTGCGCTTAACAGAACCAACAGCGAAGTTTTCGCCCAACAGCACAATTTTCCCTTAACAGAACAGATTGTCAGCCTAACAGCACAGACCGTGCGCTTTACAACACTAGGATCAGAGCTGTAAACATTAATAGAGGCGACATCGATGTTTTCGATATTTTATATATTTTTTTCTATTTCTAAATAATTTTACCCTATTTTATACTGTCTTCCCACACAGCGCATCTGTGAGGAACGTTTGGGATTTTTCGCAGATGCGAAACTCGTGTTCCCACAGAGCTGCATCAAAGTGCATCTGCATCCGAACAGCTGATCGATCAGCTGTGGCTCATGAAAATGTAAACAAAGACTGTCGAATTGGCAGTTGCAAATTTGAAATGGAGCATTTACCAACTATTTTGGCTGTTGTACAACAGGAAAAGACACAGATTGCGTCAGAATTTATCCGCACTAAATTTAAATGAATTAAATGACAAGGAATTTCAGTTTTTCTAATGATTTTTCTCTAACAAAGAGCAAATTCCCCGAAGAGTGTCTATAGGTGGTATAGGCATCCAAAATCTTCAAAATAAGGTAGAGGCAGGCGGTTTATATTAAATAGTAACAATTGGGGACATATTGGGGCAAGAATATACAGAAAAAACGCCAACAACTATTTTGGGCATGCTTGTAGCTTTGGCGCCACATTTTAAATTCCAAATCTCATTTGTTTCTCGCCAAGTGTGTATACACTTTCGTAGTGTTGGTCAAATTTTCAGAGTTGCACCGAAAAACTATCGCCTAACTATCGCCAAACAAACGGTCGTTACATTTAGATGCGCTTTGATGCAGGGCCAATTGAGAAAATTCGGAACGGCAAAACCTTATGGACCGTTTGTTCAACGGATGCCAGATGCGCTTTGACGGTGTGTGGGAAGACCCTATTAAACGAATGGACTTTTAATTTATACAAACTATTTGCCACACTGGCTATCAGCCATTCAGTCGATATTTTTAGCAAGCTCTGGGTCGCTCAATAATGAAAACTGAAAATATATGTATGGTATATTTATGTAATTTTGTTTTTTAAACTAAATTTTATTTTTATTTAATGACAAGGTAGAAATAGGAATATAAAACAAAATAACAAATAAATAATTTGTTTCGATAGTATCGTGATAGTCGGAAAAGCCGCTCCATCGATAGTATCGATTGGACCATCGATTATTTAGCTGTTCGAGCGCAGCCAACTTCGCTCACTTCTTTCTTTTCCGGAATTTCTAAGATGGTGAGTGGACGTCGGTGTGTTGTGGTGCAGTTAAAATGTTCTTTAAGGGTCCAGCAAGCGCCCCCACATGAAAACTAAAGTCAGCTAACTGTGCCGCAGCTTGCTGCGCAACGGGCACGATGTAAATGTGAGCAAAGGGACAGCATAAGCGACAGCGGCAACGTAAACATAACCTCCACACGCGGCCGCTGCCGTCGTGCTCAGCTGTCGCACGTGTGCTGGAAAATTGTATTTTTAACACGTTTTCCTTGTGCTCTTTTCAGTCGAATATCAAGCGGAAGAAGACCAGAAAGCTGCGCGGTCACGTGAGCCACGGTCACGGCCGTATCGGCAAGCACCGCAAGCATCCCGGAGGTCGCGGTAACGCTGGTGGCATGCACCACCACCGCATCAACTTCGACAAATACCATCCCGGTTACTTTGGCAAGGTTGGTATGAGGAACTTCCACTTGCGCCGCCAGCACAAGTTCCGCCCCGAGATCAATCTGGACAAGCTCTGGTCTCTGGTTGGAGCCGAGAAGTTCGCCGAGCTGGAGAAGGAGAAGAGCACCAAGGCTCCCGTCATCGACTTGGTGAAATTCGTAAGTTTCTACTCGCTATTTGGATCCTGCTATGTGATTCTGCTGCTGCTTTTAATATGAAGAGACTCCCAAGGCGATGGGCGGACAGAATGCGACCGTACAATTGCTCTCCCCGTGTAGAGAACAGCCTTTCAGATCAAAGCCAGCAGCTATATTCACTTGCAGATGTACTCATACTCCTTTTTAGATCCTGTTTAACTATTATTGTTTTCTTTGTAGGGCTACTACAAGCTGCTGGGCCGTGGTCACTTGCCCGCCCGCCCCGTCATCGTCAAGGCCAAATACTTCTCGAAGAAGGCCGAGGACAAGATCAAGAAGGCTGGCGGTGTGTGCTTGCTGAGCGCCTAAGTTAAGGTGAGTTTCTGTCGGGGAATATAGGAGCTATTCGAAGCGCAAGCTTGCTTTTCCCAAAACCCAGTCCTGATTGCCAATTGTTTTCCTTTGCAGATTCCACTTCAACACAAATAACAAGCAAATGGATTACATTCGACCATCAAAAATGTATTTGTTTTTTAATAAATTTAAAAGAAAAACAAGATTTGCTATTCCTATAAATTTGTTGGTTTCTTGAAGTTTATCAAAAGAGTTTTAAATGTTTAATTGGAATGTGGAGCCTGTATTTTCTTGAGTAGATGTGATTTGGTTATCTTAGGAAACTTAAAATTGGGCAAAGAATTTAAATACAGACTTGTCTGCGTTTTGTTTTTATATTATGATTAACATTTTTTATTTCAGATTGCAATTGGTTTGTTGAGATTATTCTTATATTATTTATACAAACAAGAACAAAGAAAATTGTTTATTTTTGCAAACAAAAGAAATTCATCTTTATAAAAACTGCAACGTTGTGGCTTTATTTTACAAAAATATCTAAATTAAAACGGCTTTTATATTACTCAAAGACTGGAAATAATACAAGGTTATATTTAAATTTCTGTTCATGAACTTTTTTCTTTTGCCTGTTATTTCCCACAAAAATTTGTTAAGCTTATAATGTAAAATTAAAAGACCGTTTTAACGGTAGTGTGGGACCAGATATGGTTCAACTTTAGCAATTTTTAGAACATTCCTATCACTACGACATGTTTTTGCAAGTCCGGTGATGGTCATACTCGCCATATGAAAAGCTCGCGCAGTGTCAGAAGCGGAAAAATACAACGGAAAAGTTACTAACAGAACCAGGAAGCGTAGATTACGTGTAGGTCAAGGTCACCCAGTTGGAGACAACCCCTTATCTTTGACCCTATTTTCGTTTCTTTAATGAGATGTCCTTGGGTCAAGGACACCACCAAACAAGCGTCAATTTATCAAGGAAACGCATCAAATAAAACATCTTCAAGGGGGATGCGAAATTACGAGGGATGTCCAGGAAGTGATGAAATTAATTAGAGCCTCTGTGTTACAGCCAACGACCTTACGACCGACGATTACATAACTTACTGCCGACTCTGAGGGATTAGGATAGCGCGAAATGGCCAACAAAGTACTGAGAAATGTGACGCACTGCATCTTCGACATGGATGGCCTGTTGCTCGGTGAGTTGGTGTCCCTTTTGGATGCTTTAAACGCTGTCTTTTCTAACCACATGCTGAACAGACACGGAACGTCTCTACTCGGAGGCCATGCAAATGATACTCGATCCGTATGGCAAGACGTTTACGTTCGACGTCAAGGAGCAGCTCATGGGCCTACAGACGGGCCCATTGTCTGCGTTTATGGTCAAACAGTACGACCTGCCTATGACCTGCGAGGAGTACGCTCGACTGCAGCGCACAAATGCCGAAAAACTGATGCGGGATGCCCAGTTGATGCCAGGTACTAATGCCCGTGTCCCCTTTGCTGTCACGTTTCAGACACAGAAAGAATATACGAGGAGGTCACAAGGCAAATAGCCGCCTCCTTCGGCCGACCGTATCCGGAGGCCACACGATTTCGGGTCATGGGAACCACGGAGCAGCGGTCGGCGGAGATAGCCATTACCGAGTGCAAGCTGCCCATCACAACGTCCGATTTCCTGAAAAGATACTCCGAGATGTGTCACGAGCGGCTCGGCAATGTTCCCCTGCTGGAAGGTTAGCACCAACTACGACCACGACCACTACGCCACGACGCTTCTTTATCCCTATAAATAGCACCTGCTGAACAGAAACCTCTTCCTGAAACGACTTCCTAATACTATTTTGTTTATATTTCAGGTGCTGAGCGCCTTTTGCGTCATCTGCACGCCAACAAAGTGCCCTTCGCTTTGGCCACCAGCTCTGGAGCAGACATGGTCGAGCTGAAGTCCACGTATCACAAGGAACTATTTGCTCTCTTCAGTCACAAGGTGTGCGGGTCCACCGACAAGGAGGTGGCAAACGGCAAGCCGGCTCCGGACATTTTTCTGGTGGCCGCCAGTAGATTTTCAAAGCCAGCCGCTGCCGGCGATTGCCTGGTGTTTGAGGATTCGCCCAATGGGGTGACAGCGGCCAATAGCGCCGGCATGCAGGTGGTCATGGTTCCGGATCCGCGACTGTCCGAGGAGCGTTGTTCCCACGCCACGCAGGTGTTGCGCTCTCTCGCCGACTTCAAGCCGGAGCAGTACGGACTGCCGCCGTTCACGGATTGAATATGAGCTTATTTGATGTACTCTCTTTTTGTAGCCAGGCGAGGCTGATACTGGAAATTTGTGTACCTTCTAACCTGAGATGGGTTTTAAGCCTAAATGTTACTTAATATACACGTAAACTGTGCAAATATTTACGGAAACTGTGTTTAATTTTGTATGAAAATGGGGTTTACTATTTTTTAAAAAAGTATAAACATCAAACTGATAGAATTGCATTAATAAAATTAAATAAAATAGAAAATAACTTAAGTTAAATTAACTATAAAACCTATACATATATATGGTTAATTTTCATAATTTTTTATTATTTTAAAAACGATAGATTGTCGGACATAAAAATCGATTTTTCCATAAAATTTAAGAACCTATCGAGGTGTTACCACCTCTAGTTTCTGTTGGAGCCTTATCAGCTGTATTTAGTAAACACACATTTTGCACGATTCGAAGCAGACACGGAAGGCAATTACAAGTAGGTCAAGGTCACTTTCACAAAAAGGTTTGATCATGGAACTGACTTTGGATGATCCTTGAATCAAGTACACCCTTAAATAAGGCATATTATGTCAATATTCTCTGGTGGAAGAAAGACGTGGATTGTCCAGCAAATGATGAAATAAAAATAGTCTCCTATCTCAACTATTAGATAACTAATTGACGTGAGTCTGGAGAACAGCGTGATGGACAATCAACTGAAAAAAGTGACGCACTGCATCTTTGACATGGATGGCCTGCTTCTTGGTGAGTGAGTTTCTGTTTTAAATGCTAACAAAGTAACTACTTTTATGTTTATTTTAATCCAAACAGACACGGAGCGCCTCTACTCGGAGGCCATGCAAATGATCCTTGATAAGTATGGCAAAACATTCACGTTTGAAGTCAAGGAACAGATCATGGGCCTGCAGACCAAAGCAGCGGCTGAGTTTATGGTCCAGCACTATGACCTGCCCATTCCCTGGGAGGAGTGGGCCAAGCAGCAGCAGGCTAATACCGAAAAACTTATGCTGCACTCCCAATTGATGCCAGGTACTACCTTCCTCTAGCCACTAAGATGCCTCCTTTGGGCAAGGATCACACCATCAACTACATTCCGCTGCTGGAAGGTTAGCACAACGCCCAGGACGCTTTTCCCCTTTTAAATACCTGCTGTGATGTAGAATCCCATCCTGTCATTTTTTTTTTTTCTTAACAAAACTTAGTTAAATCTTTGTTTTCTTAAACCTATTTCAGGTGCTGAGCGCCTACTCCGTCACCTCCATGCCACCAAAACGCCATTTGCTTTGGCCACCAGCTCCGGCCTCCACATGATGGAACTGAAGACCACCGATCACCGGGAGCTGTTCGGTCTATTTAATCATAAGGTGTGCGGCTCCAGCGATAAGGAGGTAGCCAATGGCAAGCCTGCCCCTGATATCTTTCTGGTGGCTGCTGCCAGGTTTAAAGTGCCTCCTGCTGCCGCAGACTGTCTGGTTTTTGAGGACTCGCCCAACGGTGTAACCGCTGGCATTAGTGCGGGCATGCAGGTGGTCATGGTTCCCGATCCACGGATGCCTCAAGAAAAGTGTTCCCACGCCACACAGGTGTTGAGCACCCTCGAAGACTTCAAGCCGGAGCAATTCGGACTGCCTCCTTTCAAGGAATAAGTTGGTCGTTGTCCTTTTTGTAGTCGGGCTATGCTAATAATGGAAAGTTGTGCATCTTTCCAGCGATGGATTTTAATCTGTCATTCAACATGTACCTAAATACACACCCGTATTAGTAAAAATATTTTATTTAATTTGTTTAGTATCATTATACTTTTATACTAGATATCGAACCGAAGAATAGATATATATTCTTGATCCGTATCATCAAATTATCTTATATGAAAGTTTCAAATAATATCGATATTCAATCGGTAGAAATATTTGTTATTTGTATACAAGTTGTAATCGATGTATTGACATTTACATTTCTCACAAAATTCCCGCTCCTGCTGAGAGAACGCCATTAAGAGAATTGAATTACTGTGTGCTTTGCTATATAAGGGATACCAAAATGTGCAATTAAAGTAAGCAAATTTAGTGAGCTTCAGATACCAAGTGTATTACAAAAAATATACAACTTTGTATATGTACATACATTTATTGTTTTGATGTTGTATGTTTCATGCGATTTAAGGGAGAGAGAGAGAGAGTGCGTGAAAAGAGCGCATAAAATGGGGCTGCCAGACTGCTGAGGGGGTTAAGAGTGGTTTACACGGTACCGCTGAGTAATTCACGAATTGGAATTAAAGCGTTCTTTTTTAAACACAAAAAAAACTACACCGAGTTCATTGTTAAAAAGAAAATGTTGTCGAAGAAAAAGCCAATAAAAATTGTTAACCATCCACAAATGTATAACATAATATTTCGTTAACCAAAACTACAAACTTTTTGAAACGCCTTGAAAATCCAAACTTTAGATTGACTTTTATGTTATTGTCAGTGAGTGCAAAGTCATGTCACATATTTAAGTGATTCCAATAAGTACTGTTATTCTACCCAGTATTCGTTATCACCAATTCGCGCCGCAGCAGTCTGGCAACGCCGCCGCCAGCAGGCCAGCATGAAAATGCGCAACTCTGTTTCTATCTTTTGCATTTTCAACGTCTTTGTGATCGGTTGTTGTTGTTGGGTCGCGGATGCCTAAATCGCTTCGGTTCTGTAGTTGATAGCTGAATGGAGCTCGATTCGGTCAAATGTTCGATAAAGCCCCGCCGCCACCGCTGAATTGCCCCACTAAATCCTTTGCCCCGCGAGTTGTATAACAAAGAGCGATGTACATATGATGTATGTATGTATGTAGGTGCATAAAAATGCGCCAAAGCCAAATTGGGGAAAAATTAACGGAAACAACATTAGTGAAAATAAATTCGTGCTCTGCCCGTGTCCATTTAACCCACATTAAAGGAACCGAGTACCGAAAATCAAAGCAAAGGAGTTTTTCCTTATCGAACGCAGGAAAAGCAGCAGCAGATACAACAATAACAACTCGCAGTCCTCCTAAACACACACCGACATGCGTGACGTAATTTGTGTATTTATTCTAAAACAAAATTCGAGGAAAAGTGAGCAGAGCAGCAGCAACAAAAAACGGCAGCCAGAGCATGCAATTGTTTGTCCCTTTTGACTGCTTCTGTAATTACCAATTGCAATTTGCCTTTTAATTTGAGTTTTGCATGCAACAGGGCGCGTGTTATTCCCACACACACACACACACTCAGTGCTCTCGCACACACTCGCATCCCTGTCGCACACACGGACAGAGGCGCGTGAGAGAAAGGCAACCTGGTGAGGTAAACAAAAATGCGAAAAAGTGCAGGGGAAAAATTATAGATAACAAACAGCAATAGCAAACAATTCGCTTTTCTTCTTCTCTTCTTTGCTTCTCTCGCTTCTCGCTGGCAGTGCAAACGCAAACAAAAACAATAACAATTAGGTAATGTTTTTTACGCCATTCTCTTTTGCCAGCTCACTTCGCTCAGAGAGTTGTTTTGCTTTCGTGTGTGTGTGTGTGTGTGTGCGTGAGAGCCTCCTCTCTTTATATTTTTTCCTTTTGTTTTGAAGAATTACATAGTACAGTGGGTTTAAAAGTAAAATCAATTAAAAAGTATGAAAAATTGAGTTAAAGTCCCTTTTTTTCAAAGCATATAAAAAAGGATTAAATATGTATCCAAATCCTCTTAAGTCTAAATTTTTCCATGCCCTATTTGGATTAGGAAAACTTTGTTAAACATAAATGGCATATTTTTCACTGTTCTAATCCCACTGTCGTTCATGGCGGTGGAAATTTTCGAGCGGAAAATTTTTTTGTATTTATTTGCTGCGTTTGACAAATTCGAGCACTCAGTTTTTTAATCACATTTGAATAAAGATCCTCTACCATACCTTTTCGTGCAACTTAATCAATTTTTTAACAAAATTTTAACAGTTGAAATAACCCACACAAAGTTGAAAAATACATAATACACGAAAATGTAAACTGGAAGCGCGCGAGCAAAGCACAAAACAACAAGCAACAAATAAGAAAAAAATTATAATAATAAAACAAACGAAAAAAAACGTGTGCTGTATATAAATAACAATATATTAAGTGATTTAAATGTAAACCGTCAAATAAGAATAAGTGCGAGACAGCCAGCAAACTTAAAGAGGAACAAACTTGAAACGACAGCGGCAACAAAAAACGCAAAGCAACAATGTTGCACAATAATCAGCCAACAACAACACCAGCAGCAGCAGCAACAACAACAGATGGCCATGGAACGGAGCCAACAATTGAAACGCACCTTGCAGCAAAATCATCAGCTGCAGCAGCAGCAGCGTCACCAAAGGAAATAGAGGCAACATCGCCGCCAATAGTAGACGAGGGTCAGTCGCTGACAGCAGCAGCAGGAACAACAGCATCTTTGTCAGCTGTTGGCGAGCAAACAGAAACAGCTGATGTCGTCGTCGCCGCCGTTGCTGCTGCTGCTGCTTCAGAATCGCCCGCATTCGATTCTCAGATGCGAACGCAGCAACGTCAGAAGATTAAGATATACCACGATGCGCGACAGACGGCTGTATGGCGCACCGATTCGTTGGCCTCCAATCCCAACTCGACCATGTGCCCGGATTTTGGCAGTTCCGGAGGATCAGTTGCTGGAGGAGGAACAGGAACAGGAGGCCTAGGCGTACGGAGCATCATCCTGTCGACGGCACCAAGCTTGCTGCAGCGCAAAGCCTCGGACACCTCACTGACCTCGAGCATACCTCGTCGCGTCTCATTTCCGGAGAACCAGCTGGTCACCGGTTATCTGGAGCCGGCCGATCCATGGAAGCAAGGTGAGTACGCTGGCAACGGCAAGCATAATTAGGCCATTTCATGTTACTTAGTTTGATAGTTTGTCTAGACTCTAGAGGAAATGACGACATTTTCCACTAACAAATAGGTTGGATGGTTAGGTTACAACTTAAATACCTATGAAAAATCAATAATGGGTATTCTTCTGTCTAGTTGAAGAATAATTATAGGCTTTTTAATTTCATTCTCGTTCCTAGAGTCGGCTACATAGATCGTAGGCTACTTGGCATTCTACGATCTCTCTATGTATCCGTGCTTTGGATCTTATCGGTTCCGATAAAAGTCAAACGAACGCGGAAGGCAAAAGCAAGTTCTCATTTACTGCACTTCCTGCGAATTAATTCAATTATCTAATTAATTGTTAATTGTTCGTAGACGCAAGTGTAATGCGGGTGCGAAAAGGATCTGAGAGGTCTGTGACAGTTAATTGAGAGAAGATACAATCAAAAGCAGCAGGAAAATTGCTATATTGCCAATCCCATTGCTTACATGTCGGAAAGTGTTTCGAGAGCTGCTGGTCAGAAGGAAATAACGAAGAATGAGACTTTTGTGTTGCCCATGCCAAGTCGGCGAAATGCGCAAAATATTTATTTACTTTAAGAAGGCGAGGTGCAGCCGATAAATGCGTACTACTTGCAGTTATTTGAACAACAAGAAATTCTTTGCTGTTGCTAAGCTCAAAGAGAATACCGGCCGGGGGCCGATTCAGGAAGAGAACTACATAAAAGAATGTTCAATTCAGAAATTTCTCAATTGACACCGATTCGTATCTCATTTTCACTGCATTAATTTTAATTTATTTTACGATTATATGACCTGTTTAAGGTATTCATGTAGGATATTTAGGATTCAATAGCAGATGTTTTATATCTAGTTATTATTTCTTTAGTGATAACCGTTGTTTCAATTCTACAATTCATTTAAATTGTCCTAAAATTGATTTTTTTTATCAGGGAAGGCCTTTCTATTAGATTTTAGCTCTATTAAATGTTACCTTTGACTATTAAATATTTTTGGAATTTATGTCAATATTTTTTTATATATATTTAAATTAAGAAACGCAATTAGTTTACTGAAAACTTTTTATATTTTCGATGTAATATCGACATTAATCGATCTTTTACATCCATAGAAAGAATCCTTAACCGTTGAGTTTTCTTATCCGAAATGATCAATCGCAAATGACTTTGTTTTGAAGCTTTTCATTTGGTTCATCAATACCTGGTTATAGCCTGCTATACCGAAATTATTACGAGTGTTTTTTTTAGTTCCCTTTGATTTTGTTATTTGTTATTTTCACGTCAGCGATAACGAAAATTGCTGATAAGATACGGTTCGGTTCGTTTTTCGTTGTTTTTATTGCTTTTGTCTTTACCAGTTTGCTTTGGTTCCTTCGCCCTCTTCACATGCTCTTCACATGTTTTATTATTATTTTATTATTTGCTTTATTTGCTTCTTTTAGCCGGCACTGCTTTTCGTGCTCTTTTCTTTTCTGCTCCGCTTTAACTTTGCCTTGGACGCCAATCGAGGGATCCGCTTTGTGCTTCTCATTCGTTTTGTCGGAGTGCCTGAGAATTTGTTTAATCGCTTGTGCCGTCGCTGTGTTTGTTGCTAATACTATTGCTTTTGTCTCCATTATTATTTACATAAGTGAACGGGACACCCAGACATAACAAGCCTGCTGATATGTAAATTATATATTTTTATTTAGCTTGTATATTTGTTTGTTTACTTCGATTCCTTCCTCGCCTTTGTTTATCTCTTTGTCTTTGCCCTCGTATTGGTTGCTGTTTTTTCTTTTTCTTTTTTTTGCCTTTGCTTGGCTTTGCTGTGCTTCGGTGTAGGTGGAACTATGTGATGTCATCGTTGTCACTTAAACAAAAGCACAAAAGCCTCGGGAGAAGACATTATGACAGCAGCAGTCTGGGGAACAAAACAAATAGGTACACACACACAGCCATATGAGTATATAGAAGCATTTCCCCAGTCCGTGAACTACTTACTAAATAACCCAGATTCCAATCTGAAACTACAAGAGTTTAATTCTAAAAGCTGCTCATTGTAGGACCAAGGTCATGGAGTTTTTAAATTAAGATCAAAGAGCCCTTTTGCAAATACAGTCAAGAATTTATTTCTAATCAGAGCTCCCCATGTTGAGCACTCAGTGGCCCTTAAAGTGTTTTCACATACACACACTAAGTTTTTTTTTTAAGTCTCCGCCTCAAACAGAGCTGTTTTGTCACACTTATTTCAGTATCTACACTGAGAGCAAGAACTGTTAACAAAAGAAAAATCCTATTGGGCAGTTGTTTCAAACATCTTTTATATTCAATAGTAAAAATATTTAACAAAGGTCTTTGACGATAAAGGAAAGCCTTCATACACATAAATATAACATACCCTTGGCGATTCACCAGTACGGGGTATACAAATTGTATTTAGAGTAAATTGTTGTAAAAATGTCACGAGCTCGTTTAGTGTTCATTGGCGATGTAATTAATTTATGCGATCCGAAAACAAAGCAAAGCTTTAAAGGTGTTGGAAGAGAATTGCTACCGCAGGCGGGCAGCCAGAATTCACGAAGACGAGTAAATAGTAGTAAGCACTTAAGTAAATACAGCAAATGTTTGCATTTTTGTGAAAACAATCTCATCAAACAGTGTGTATTTACAGTTATTTTGCGTGTCTAGGGCTGATTTTGATCGGAAAGGGTGCGGCTGAGACTGGTTTTTGTTTATTCCTTTAATTATTTATCTTTCTGGGGCATTTGAGACTTTTATCTTCGCCAAAAAAGACCCTATTCCCCCTTTTTTTTGGCTATGAACTTGAGCTTCGATAATGACAAACGAGGAACGGTCATGACAGTCAATTTGTCAATTCAAGTCAACGGCACCAGGTTGATATCAATAAATAGATAAGAGTCACAGACAGTTTCGGAAAGAGGTTGAAACAACAAACATTAGCTTAATTATCAAGCTAATCAAACACTCTAACTAAATAAAAAATAAGAAAAACCGCTTAAATGTTTTGGAAATAATATTTTCTGTGTGGTTAGCAAATGTTTGAATAAACATCTTTTACTAGACAAATCTGGAAAGTATTTTAAAGAAAAGTTTTATTTTTTCTTTTCTTATCAAAGAAATTTATTGTTTTACAGATGGAAAAAGTATTAATTAGCGACCATAATGGTCTGTTTTGTTAATCTTTTGATTTGTATAAAAAAAGCTTTTATAAATATAATTAATTATATTGATTAATCAACTCAATTTCAATTGCAAAACTTACTTGCTCTTCCTTTTCTTTGTAAACTAGTGTTTTTTAAGCGTATTGATATTATGTGTTGCCAGTTCGAAATGAACCGAAATGGAATCATAAAATTAATGGCAAATGCGACGAGAACAAGTTTCCGACATTGTAAATGCTTAGCACTAAATTAACAGCAATTTAATGGAATAATTTTTTTTGATTCTCCTCTGAGTGCTATTCGCTTACTTTTATTTTTCCCCCCTGATTGTACATTTGACTTTTGCTTAGACTTTTAGAGAATCGACGACGTCAGCGGCAGTCACAACAACAAAACCAACAAAGGTGCAAAAATCAATAAAATAATAAAAAATTGAAAAGGCATTTAATAGACTTGGTAGACGACGCAGACGGCACGCGATTCTATAACGTTTCTGTGAACTTGGTCATTTATCTACTCGATCGATGGCCTCAAGTTGGCAAACTTTTTTGTTTTTTTTGTGCTAATCCCATAGTATTCGCGTTTACCCATTTTTGAATATCGATCACTACAGGTTTTGCTTCTAAAAATATAGCTGATAAAAGCTATTTACTTTTATTTATCACTATCTCTGTCAATCAGTCATTTTTAAGCCCAAGACAAAGCAGGCAAAAATGGCTGAGGGTGACAAATAAATTTAGTCTCCCAGGTGAAATTTTCTTGTTTCTGTTTATATTATTCTTGTTGCCCAACGAACCGATTAAAAATAGATTGCTAGCAATTATTGAAAATAAATGTTTGCATAATATAATATAATATTAAAGTCATTAAAGAAATTACCGAAAAGGAAGAAATCGATGTATGGAAATGGAGGAATAATTTAGAAATTAAACAGTAAAATACTAAAAAGTGCCTCTCATTTATACACTAACCATAATTCATTATCTTCCTCCTACTTAGATGTCAAATACTAATTTGATTAGTTCAAATCATTATATTTATAGCAAAAGAAAAATACGCGAAAATATTTCAAAGAGAAACGTCCAAACTGGTCGTCACATTGTCTGCCTGATTCTGTGGGAAAATTCATAATAATTCAGTTTTTGAATTATTCTAGTCAACGCTAATGAATCACTTAACAGATGTTGAGTCTCAAGGCAGCGTCAGTTGGCGGGGGAAGGACGGAATCGGGGATCTCTATTATATAGATGAAATAGAACTGAAGCACTTTTGAGTGCTTGCCAAAAAACCAAGCGAAGATTTCTTAACAAAAATTTGTGTGTGTTTTTCTCTCTTGGCATCAAACTTAGTGTCGGATCTAAATCGAATCGTTTAATTGCCTCTAACACCGATGTGACTAGATAATGCAATGATAGATTAATTTGTTTACGTTTTTCATAAGATCGTTTCATTGTCTGGGTGGAGGTGAGTGTTTTGAGCTTGTGTCTGTTTAAACTATTTATAAAAAAAGAAAGGTACACTTGGCATTTGGCACAATTTTGTATCGTTTCGTGGGCTTTTAGTATACAATTCCTGTGAAAAAGAGATTCACTATAGTTTTAATAATTTATTCTTAGGCTGTATATCAGTCAATTTCCTGTCCCCTCGTAAGATCTTACTTCAAGTTCCTGTTATTACTCATTCAAAAATTAGGTATAATATATACTGGGCTCTAAGTTACTTTTCGCCATGATAGACGACTCCACAAGATGCGTCCAAATGAGTTGTAAATTACAGGTTCACGATTTCATGTCATTCGAGAGCCTCTGTGTGGGGAATAAAAGCAAATCGTTTGGAAATTGCCGCCGCAATTTCATTTACTTTTTTTTTTTTTCAATGGACAATTTGTTTATGTCTGTATCTCCATGACTTTTGATGCCGACGACAACGGCGGCGGCAATTGTAGATGATGATAATGATGATGTCGATGACGATATAGTCCGTCGGCCACTGGATATGGACGAGAGACACTCTCGCACGCGCCATAAGTTATGGTTATTTGTCATATTTGACCATATAGAATATATATGTATGTATGTATGTAGTTTGGCAGACACACTTTTTGTTTGCCTTTGAAACGGCGACACTTGATTGGGCGGAACGGAAGAATCGTCAAAAGTTTATTGACACGACAGCAATTCCATAAATTGTTGAATTCAGATCGATACAGATATAATTACAGAAGAGTCTTAGGGTTTTAGTTATTCAGCTTTTTAAATAAAAATTAAATATATTTCTCAATTGCTATGTTTAGTTTCTCATGAAGCCTCCACTCTCCTCTTTCAGTTTGTCTCGTCCAGAGCATTGCTGAAATTGTCGATCAGTATGTGGACTCGTGTAGAAAGCATAAAACGGAGCCCCTAAAGAGTGTAATGGATCACCTAAAGAACCTGGATCTCAACCAGGTGCGGCAGCCCCTGCTCCCACTTAAAGCAAATCAACTGGCGGCCAACGACTGCGAAGCTCTGGAGGAGATTTTCAAAAGGGTAAGCAGCCAGTCTTGGTTATTGCTTCATGTCATCTTTATTAGTATATTCCACCTATTATTTAGATACAATACAAATGCATCGACCTGTCCGACTGCTCACTGGATGAAAGCTGCCTAATGGCCCTGTTTCAGATGATTGAATACTACGAAGCGGCTAACGAGCTGGATATATCCTACAACAAGGAGCAGATGACGAAGCGATGCTGGGAGCTGTGCGCCTACATGGTGGAGCGCAGCCAAGAGCTGCAGCTGCTCAACGCCGAGAGCAATCAGATTACCAAGTTGGGTGCCGACAGTCTTGGCCGGGCTTTGGGCTCCTCCAATTTGCATACCCTGAAGCTGGAGCACTGCGGCCTAAGGGGTCAGCCGCTTGTCCATCTGTGTAAGTCTATCTACCATGGAAATTCATTTGAACTGTTTTTCACTTTTGTTTTTTTCTTTATTTAATTAATTTTTACAATTTTTATTTATTTAATTTGGTTTTCATGTTTAATTTATTCCAGTATCCTTCGCAGGTCGAGGTCTATACCAAAACAAAATGCTCAAGGAGCTGTGGGTGGGCTATAATGATCTGGACTGTGTGGATGCCCAGCACATAGCGGACATGCTGCGCTACAACCATAGCTTGGAGCTCATCGACATTAGCAACAACAACATTAGGAACGAAGGCGTCATGTACCTAGTGCAAGCCCTCATTCTGCAGTCCACCGAGCTGGAGCGACGTATGGGTGCCCTCAAGCGAACACGTGCCATTGAGGTGGATGAATGCTCGTCGCCTGTGGATTTGGAGCCACCAACAGCAGCAGCAGCAGCAGCAGTAGCTGCAGGGCCACAGTCCGTCAGCTCTGCCGGCAGTCAAGCGACGAATGATGTCGTTGATAGTGAGTCATCATCTTCATCATCCTCGGTAGCCTCAATTCCAGAGGCTCCGGCGGAGGAGGCAGTAGTCACAAATTTAGATCAACCCGCCGTGGGTGTCCTAATTGATGTGGAGAATGACAACGACGACGACAATACCGAGGACACTGTTCGCACAGTGAAGAACTGCGGCCAGTCCATGCTGGACAAGCTGCTGTCAATGAACAGCGACAGCAGCAGTGAGGAGGCGCCTTCAAACATTTCCACCGACACGCTGGCCGCTTGCTGTTCCGAAGATATCAGTGAGATAAGCAATGAAATCTATGAAGTCACCAGCCCGAAACAAGCAGTGGCAGAAGCAGGACCAGAGGGCCAGGAGAGCTCAAACTCTGGCCCGGCTGAGTCACAACCAGCGCCAAGTGCTGCAGAGGCACAACAACCTGTAGCTGTGCCCGAGGAGGAGCCGCTGTCTCCGACGCATCAACATCAACATCAACATCAACAACAACAACAGCAACAGCAAAGTTCCCAAAACGAACGCAACATATGTGGTAAGAAAGGCTATGATGCCCTTATGATATACCCTTTAACCCTATCAATCTCTTGCAGATATTACTCCCTCAACAGAGGCTAAAACCGTTAAACCCAATGAATCCTGTGTACAGAACAACATCATCAACAACAATAATAATAATCAAGCTAACAATGCCCACAATACCTACAACAATAACATAATCCAATCGCAGCCATCCGCAGCGGGAGCAGGAGCAACAGCCACTGTTGCTGTTGCGTTAACACAACCCACTGAAGTCGTTGTCAGTCCCAATAGTTCCTCGCCAGCAGCCATATTTGAGGTGACCGCCGAAGAGAGCGACTGCATCAATGGCAGCGTAGCGTGTGGGGCTGGCGGTTCGCGACCCCTAGACGTGAACCAGAATGCCAGGACGCCGGGTGACGACTTCGAGGATACGCACAGCACAGACTCGGCCTTTGAGAGTGCCTCCGAAGGCGATATAAGTCGCCATTTGCCCGACGAATTCAGCAGGCTATCGGTATCGCTTGAGAGCACGCGGCTAGATGATATGGCAAAGGAAATGGGTGGCATTGAGACGGCTACCATAGCCACAGAGTCCACCGAGTGTCTGTTTGTCGCCCAGGAGGCAACCATGCCCACGCCGGCCGCTCCGGTGCTGGCAAAATCCCAAGACGATGCATTCCTACCGCCGAAGGTAACCATTGCCGAGGAGTGCCTGCAGGCAACCAGAGAACTGAGCCCCAGTTCCTACCCGTGTCCCAGTCCAGTGCCAACGCCGCCACCGCCCTCCACATCGCCGGGTGGAGCGAGCATTGGACTAAGGCGAACAGAGTCCAGTTGCGCCTACCTCAACCAGTCCTCGCGCAACCGATCCCAGAGCTCCGATAGCCTGTGTAGCGAGACCTCGCTGGACGGTAGTAACAGTAACAACAGCATCAGCTCCAACACATCCAACACCTCTAACGATCCGAAGTTCGCCGAAAAGCTGACCAAAAACGATACTCTCTCGCGCCGCCAGCTGGCCGAGGCCACTTTGGAGGCCGCCAATCGTTCGCCCAGCGGCCTGAAGGCCCTCACCTTGTGGAACAATAATCTGACCAAGGATTGCGCCACTGCCGTAGCCGAGCTGCTGCAGAAGACCATTTCCCTGGAACTGCTCAACATTGGAAAGAACTGTTTGTCCAATGAGTTTGTGGCCACAATCAAGGAGAGCCTCACGAAAAACACCACGCTGACAACGCTGGGGCTGCAGAGCGCACATCTGAGTGCCAGGGGCGTCGAGACGCTGGCCACAATCCTAACCTTTGGCGGCAACAGCAAGCTGCAGCGCATCGATATCCGTGACAATAAGCTGGAAGTGGAAAGTCTGAACATAATCGCCGAGGTGCTCAAGTCCAACAACACGCTCACCCAGATCGATATCAATGACGAGCCCAAGCGTCTCACGGTAAGCTATCTGTAACCTTAGAACTTAGGAGTCACTTTAAGTTATTGCCCCGTTTTGCCCATCAAAAGTTCATCTGAAAGACATTTCGAGCCCACAGTAGATGTTGAGTTTTTGGAATGCAATTTCCTTTTGGGTCGATTTTGAGTAAAGCAAATTGAATTGAAGTTTTTTAAGAAATTGATATATTGGTACATTTTAATAAATATAAGAGTATTTGATTTGCTTTGCTTAGAGTTGGACTAGAGCCCTAATATATATACTATAGTATACCCTTGGTAAATGTTTTAAGTTGAAGTTGAAATTTATAGAGTTTTGTCTGCTTACTTTTTAACTGAAAAAATTGCAAAACCAAGAACCGGAATGCATTTTTCCGATAGATTTTGATGCGCTGAACTTAAATCGGATCTCAGAAAATTTGAAAAACCCTTACCAAGGGCATTAGAAGCTGCGGCTTGCCGAAGCTTAAAAGTTACACCTTGATACCAATCGAGCTTGGTTTTTGGATGGCTGGATAAGAGCGTGTGTGTGTTGGACGTTGACAGTTTGATTTTGAATTTGTTTTAATTGAATCGTTTTCATTTGTGGTGTCACTGTCGTTGTTGCCTCTCTCTCTCATCTCCGTTAAAGTTGCCCATAGTGCCGATAGTAAATGTAATACCGCCATCGCCATTGCCCCAGGAGAGCGTAAGTAAAACCTGCCACTCAATATGATCCACTTCCTCCTCTGTAACCATCTCTGTGCAAAATCAGCGCTTTTTGGCTTGCGAACAACCGATTGTAACACAAATAAAAAAAAAACTAAACAAAACCGCTAATAACAACGCAACAGCACTACGCCCGCCTGGTTTTCGTCCTTTTTCGCGGATTTGCTAACTTTGCCACACTCTCTAGATGCGCTTCTCTGACTTGGGAACAAGAACCAAGCGTAGTTGGGTTGGCTCACCTGCCTGGACAGGGACCAGTTGTTCACCCTGCAGACTAAGTGAGCAACTGGGCTCTGGCCGAAGGTCAGGTGAATCACCCAACACTGCCTGCCATTAGCCGATACTAATCAAGTTATATATATTTGTTTGCCTATTGTTTCAGATCGGCAGCGATGCTCACTTAGACTACACAAGGGTGCTGGGCACCGTGCGTTCCCTGTGCTCGCGAAACGAGAAGCGGCAGGCGCAAGAGCTAGCGGAGAGGACGGTGAATGCGGGCGGCAGCGGCAGCAATACAAGTGGTGGCGGTAGCTTCCCAGGCGGCTCCCGGTGTCGCGGCGGTTACTACTTGGGCTCGCGGAAGATCTCGCTAACCTGCCACAGTCGTCCCTTTGTGGACGCCGTCACTGGCACTGTCACGGCAAACGCAACTGCGACCGTTGCAGCAACCGCCCTGCCCACACCGGCCGCCCTGCTGGAGGTGAAGCGTAAGGGCGGCTCTCGCCTTCGCTCGCCCGGCCCCAGTCCGCCCACAATATCGCCGTCCTCCTCGCCCAATCGCAGTAGCCGCTTCCACGTGTCGCGTGTTACGGAGGTGGCCAGCAGTCCATTGATCTCACCGCTGGCCCAGCATCCGCCGCAGCATACACCGCGCTCGGCCAGCAGCTGCATGTCCATACCCACCATCAGTTCGCCGGGAGGCAGTCAGAGCAGTCTCAATACACTTGGAGCCCTGCCCACCTCCAGCTCGCTGCCAGCGATGGCTTCTGTCACCTGCTCGACCCAGACCGTGAAGCGGCTGTCGGTGTCGCCCAGATCGCGTTTCCATGTGTCGCGAATCTACGAGGATCCCCAGGTGCCGCTGGCCAATCGCCAGCTGCCGCCAATCACGCCGCACACGCCACCCATTGATCTGCCGCCAACGCCGATGCTCAAGTCGGCAAGGAAGGCTGTGCAGCTATCGGAGGCAGCGGAGGCGGCAGCAGCAGCGGCAGCCTCTGCGGTAAGCAGTGTTATGATTATAGAGCCAAGCGATAATACAAGCGCTGAGGGAAATGATAGTACAAACGACGATGACCGACAGAAGCTTTCGCCGCACGAGACCAATTCACCCACCGTAAGCAATTCTTCGCCCGGGAGTAACAGCAGCAGTAGCAACAGCAGCGGAAGCGGAAGCGGATGCAGTAGTAGCACCACGAACGATGCAACAGACTCTGTAGATTCAAGTGCAGAAGCAGCTCCACCACCCAGGACCTGTCCCCTGGCCGTGTTTGGCGATAATGACATCACGTTGACCAAGGAATCGGCTGGTGTGGTTGCTCTCTCCGCTGCTGCTGCTGCTGCCATGAATCCAGTTTTGGAATCGGAAACAGAAGCCATGCCACCTGCCGAGCCCGTCAGCAACAATCCCCCACAGACGCGGGCGCGAAAGACTTCGTGGATAGCCAATCCCTCGGCGGTGGATAAGCTTTTAACGATTTTCCAAACAGGCACCATTTTCCAACGCAGCTCCTCGCCGGAATCGAAGGTCAGTCAAGTCACCGCCATCACCACAGCAACCACAACAGCAACAAGCGTCGGTGGCGGGGTAGGAGGATTAGGAGGAGGAGGAGGAGGAGGAACAGTAGGAGGCGGCGACTGCAGTTTTACCAATGCAACACCAAATCCCATTCTATCGGTGGCACGAAAAAATTCACCCGCCTCTTGGACATCTCTGACCGGCAGCAATATATCAAACTCCAGCCAAAATGTTGACTCTGGCAGCTCATCCTTCCTGGACACAGCCTCAAGGCAGTTGAGGGATTTCAGCAAGCAAGTCTTTCGCCAGAACATATCCTTCAACAACAGCAGCGGCGGCGGCGGTGATGCCAGTGTCTCCGGCGGCGGCTCTTCGGCTGCCCAGCTCGAGGGTACCACAACAACGGCAACGTCCTCGTCGAGCAGCACAGAGTCGGCATCGTCACCCGAGTGCAATGCGGCCCACATGCTGCCCAGTTTGAAGCGTCAGCTGAAGGAGAACATATCGCCGGAGCACACAATTAATGAGGAGACGCTGCACAGCCTGCAGAAGCTGTCCAGGGCTGAGGATATGACGCTCAAAGCGGAGGCAGCTTCGGAACTGGGCGACATAGAAATTGTGATGCACAGCGAAGTGGTCGACTGTCCGCTGACAGAGGAGAAATCACAGGACCATGAGGAGACAGCGCCGAGTCTCGTTTAAACAGAAAACAATAGAGATCGAATGAAAAAAATACAGAGAACTCAACCGAGAAGAACACCTCCCACCCAGCATTCCCATGGCGCTTCTTTGTACTGTTATCCCACCACCACCAGCCGACCTTGAAAATACAAAGTCAAGGATGAGAGAAAATGGAAGGAAGTTTGGGAACCCAAACAAAATTGATAAAGTACACAAGTTATTATACTAACTTTGTTTTATTTTTTGGTTAAATTCATTTTAAGTTTTATATAACAAAAAAAAAAGGAAAAAATATAAATATATTTTAAATATACAAATGTGGCATAAGGATGCAAAAACGCAGACGAATTACGTGCTCAATATTCACTTCATTAAGAATGATTAGTGGCCACCTTAGAGTTGAGATCTCTCCTATTTTGGCCAGCACTTTGCTTGAAGTGAATACTGAACCTGAAACTATAGATAAATTAACTTCTATGAGTGTAAAATATTAAACCATGAAAAACACATATATAAACCCCATTGTAAACACTATTTGGCTTAGTGTTGTTGCCCATTGAAGGCTGGTGGTGTTTTCGAAAGGTCCCGTTTAAGCTCTTAGAGAGAAGGTGGCGTATGGAAGTTGATTCGCAAAATTAGTACTTACCGATCCAACAAAGAAATGAAAACTGAAACGCAAACGCTACATACTTAAGTTATTTTTAACTAAATAGAAAGGAGCTTGAATGTAACTTAAATAGGAAAATCTTCCCGCCATAGGATTACTTCAACACACCACAACCCCTCCCTTCGCGTAGGAATGGCAGAAAATATCTATATAACGATAATTTATCAAGGCCACGAAGTTCGATATATATCATGTTATTTTAACGTTGTATTTTGGTTGATATATCGAAGCATTATAATCGAAAAATCGATATAATCGAAAATAATTTGTTTGGTATTTTTTTCAATAAATTCGATATGTACATTTTTGAAAATTTCTGTCTATTTTCAATATCATAAATTTCGATTATATTCGATATGTTATAGTTACAATACCTTCGATATGATATCATCGGACCAACTTTGTGCAAAGCCTTTTATTATTCGTTCTCTTTATCCACTTTTAATTTTGTCTAAAAACAAAAAAAGAAACTTGATAGGCTGGAACTGAATTAGTTCCACCAAAGTATTATTATGAATTGGAAAGTGTAAACAAAAAACAATTGTTATATTACGTACTTAATCAGCCTTTTTAAATATAATTAATTCCAACACTCAGCCCTCAAGCCACCCACGTAGACAGTTTTAAGTTTAACATTCACAACAAAACCCAAAAAGCTAAACAACAACAAACAAACGGAAATGATGCGCAAACAAAAAAGTACCCAAAATAAATCCAATTGATCTCATTATGTGATATTTGTCGTAGTGCCCAAAGGCAAGCGTTCACTGTACGTGTATCTATAGCCGAAAAACCATGCGAGAACACCGCCTATCCATCTAAGTTAATCCACCATAATCCATCTGCGACAGATCCTCGCCAAAAAGGCTTTAGTTCGGGGAGAGATCTGAGCTATGGAACCTTTCAAAACACCAGCTTCCAATGGGCCGACACAAATATAGATGAAAAAAAAAATGTTAAAACAAACAAAACACGTATATATATAGATATATGAAACAAAAAATATCATGTAAACATACTTTATTCACGAAAGATACTGTAAATACCGCGCGTGTGTACTCTCTTAAAAACAGGGGCTGAGTCTCTCGATGTAGCTTAACCCCAAACACTGAGTTTTATTATTATTTTATTTTTTTTTTTAGCTTTTTGTTAATCTTTGTTTTTGTTTACAACTTTATTGTTTTAAACTATAACTGTAACTATATAGACATAAATATTAAATACGTATTTAAGTAGTCAAAGGCAAGTTTTCAATTTTTTTTTGTCTTTCCAAAAAAATGTAACATCTTCTCGAGTTGATGATAAGGAAGAATTATTCAATTCAAACTTACTTTGTACTTAATTTACAAAAACGGAGAAGAGATTTCCTGGTGCTCATCATCAAATCCCTAGATGTTTGCCTTATAGCTAGATTTCTATTTTCGGCAATAGAAACTTTACCACATTGAATGGATATTGGTTAACAAAGAAACAAACCTCTGATGCTAAATTCGATCCATCTCTTTCTTAAACATTGGCGAATTGATAACTTTTTTTTTATACATTAAGTTTATAAAATAGAAAAAAAAAAAAACAAACAAACCTACTAAACTGAAAAATTTAATGAATAAACATGAAAGTTGTAATGAAATCATTAACCGACTTGTATTTGCAAAATTTCTGTGGATTCTGGGAACAATCTTACTTAACCTGGTATATGCGAAGGATGTAAGTAAAGGTTTTTAGGATTTTGTAATGGTTTTAGAATCTTTTGTAGCCTGTTCCAACCAAAAATTAGGTTCTGGAATCTTTGCCTATATTGGATTAACTTTTGTATTATAGTAGTAATATTTATTTCAGCTGTAAAAATTTATTTCGTTTAAAATAAGAAGTTTTTCAAAGTGCGTCAACAAATATTACAAATTATAACCTGAATTGAGAACTCAAATATTATATGGAAATCTATTCTATGTTTGTTAAGAAAGTCTACATTGGATTACATTCGGTAAACAGATAACAACAGGTACGGCTGTCTTTGCTAATTAAGATTCTTGTTTCGCTAGCAAAACATAAACCCCAATATCAGTTAAGTGTTGATCAAATAATATAATAATAAAAACTCCCATTTCCCTTATTAAGAGGCCACTGCCTACCTCTTCGAACATTTTACACAGGAAGAAGAGCAGTGTCATGACAACTGTTGATATGTGCGGATGAAAACGTGTGTGGGAAGTCCCTGAAAGTGCGTATTTCATTCATAAAACCATGGCTGCTTGCGTAGGAGTTTTTGCTTGCCCATTAACAGGGGTTGCTGCCTTGCTTCCTGTCACAGAGCGCTGTTAACTCCGCATCCTTAACAGTCAGGGACTCAGGCCGAGCTTCAGCTTGCTTGCCGTCTGTGAATATCTGAGCTCAGTCAGTGGCCGCTCGTCGTTTGGTGCGGATCGCAGTCGCATTTGTTGCGGGAATAAACGGTGTGTGAATTAAAAAAGTGAAACCATGTCGGAGGTGAACCCAAACCATATAGGAACTGAAGCAGGAGCAGCAGCCACCGGTGCAGCCAAGTGCGCCAATGTGAACAATAACAATAGTGCCCGTTCCAGCAGGACGGGAAGTGCCGTCTCCACCGAAACGGACCAGGATGTGGACAGCCAGAGATTTGGATGGTGCGGCTGGAATCCACAGTGGCTCCAGCGCTTCTGCACCGCCAAGTGGGCACTCTTCTGGCTGTGCTGGGGCGGTGCTCTCCAAGGTGAGCTCTGCCGGGGAAGCGGGAATTTTGACTTCTTAATTCGGTTAAATGGTTCGTCTCGGGAATTTTTCGCCCACACTCGGGGTTTTTTTTTGGTTTTCATTAATTTAGAACGTTTTTCGGTGGAGTGTGAAATTTAAGGCATTCGAGATGTTGATTGCATCCACTCTTACTTTGAGAACTGCAACTAAAAATACTATTTTAAAGAGGTTAATTTTATTGTATTTCTTGATCAATATATAATATAAATATAATACTTAAAAGAGGAATTGTTTTACCATAAAAATCTCTCGAAGTCTTCCAAAAAGGGTTAAAAACAAATTATTCAACTAATATTTAAATTTTGCTAACAGTTTATAGTTTTGTTATGTGTGAAAAGTATAGTATATTAAATACAAAATATTAAAACCTAAAATAACATAAAAGAATGTGTGCTTATAAAAAATATTGATTAAAAATGGTTAAATAAATTCTTTTTTATATAAAAGGCCTCAGGGGGGTAATTGTATTTCATTTTTTGTTTTATTTTCATATTATTAATTTTACAAAATTATTCTTTCCGATGTTATAAAGTATAATATTTATTAATGAACAGTTTCAGTGTTTAATTAACATTATATTAAGATGTTCGTTAAATAAAATCCAAGATTTTCCAATCGAAAAATGAAATAATTTTTAAAACCACATAAGGATATAATGTGAATGCAAAGCCTAAAAGCCTGAATTAACCATTTCCTTCTTGATAATATTGTAACCATATTTTTGTAGCCATATTTTTATACCCTTGCAGGGTATTATAATTTCAGTCAGAAGTTTGCAACGCAGTGAAGGAGACGTTTCCGACCCTATAAAGTATATATATTCTTGATCAGCATCAACAGCCGAGTCGATCTAGCCATGTCCGTCTGTCCGTCTGTCCGTCCGTCTGTCCGTCTGTCCGTCTGTCCGTCCGTCTGTCCGTTTCTACGCAAACTAGTCCCTCAGTTTTAAAGCTATCTGAATGAAACTTTTCATATAGTCTTCTATATACTCTCACTGCTATATATGTCGGAACGGGCCGGATCGGACGACTATATCATATAGCTGCCATACAAATGTTCAATAAATTTTTAGAAAAATAATTTTAACTTGGCTGTTTTTCAATATTATTCCATCATTTTTGAGATATAGCCTTTTTATATTATTCCAGAATTTTGGTAAAAATTTTATGAAAATCGGACCACTATATCTTATAGCTGCCATAGGAACGATCGGGAAATTAATCAAAAAAATTATAACTTCGTTGTTTTTCAACGTATTTTAATCTACTTTGACACATGAGCTTCTGGTATTATTTCAAAATTTTGGTAAAAATTTTATGACAATCGGACGACTATATCTTATAGCTGCCATAGGAACGATAGGGAAAGTAATAGAAAAAATTATAACTTCGTTGTTTTTCAATGTATTTTCATCTACTCTGAGATATGAGCTTTACTTATTATTATAGAATTTTGGTATACATTTTATGAAAGTCGGACAACTATATCATATAGCAGCCATAGAAGCGATCAGATGTAGAGAAAATGTAAAGCTGGGAATGTATAACTGTAACTGTCAAACTGCAAACATAATAAGTATAGGTAAAATGGTATGTAACTCAGTTTAGTGTCTGTTTTCGGCATTATAATTTATGACATAAATATGAAAACCAATCTGCAAGGGTATACAAACTTCGGCGTGCCGAAGTTAGCTTTCTTTCTTGTTTTGTCTTGATTACAAGCCAAACTTTTTCTTAATCCAACTTTTCGCCCCGGCCGAGTCCGAGAAGTCTCGGCTAAGACAATGCATTGGGCAAAGACGGTGAGAGAACATCCGCATCTCGCCCCATTAGCATCCTGGCCGGGACACAGCCTCGGCCTCGAGGTCTGTGTGCAACAGATAAGGTTTCGGGAGTTGAGGCAGCGCCTGGACACTGGCACTCCTGTGAATGGAAGCGAATTAAAAATTAATATCTGCCCCGAGCAGTCCAAGGGATCTGCTGACGCCCTAGCCCCAGGATGCATTAACCTCAAAAATACGCCGCACTTTGAATAGTTTGAAAGGCCCCGTTGAAGTGTAAATGGCTCTTCAGTTTAGCCGGGAGTTTTCCAAAAGGGGTTGGAGAAGTGTGCTTGTACAGAGGAAAAAATAGCAACATACAAAAAATATAATAGATGTATTATTCAAAAAATATAAATATCAGAATAAATAAAAATATAAATTTCCCTCATTAAAACTCTATAATATACTATATAAATGTTACCTCTGTTTTTGAGATTTCATCCTTGTATTAGTAATATTTTCTGTGTGTAACTTCACACGTTGTCATAACGGTGACATAAATCAAAACAATGTTAATCGCTGTTTACCCAACTCCAGATACCCGTCTGTACCTGAGTCTGGGCTAAACTGGTGTTGCCCATGGCTACGGTTCATTTTCTAATGGGTTCAAGCGGTTAATTAAAATTCGCCAATCTCGCGAAAGCTGACGACACGTTTATGTCTGTTCCGAGGGATTAGGCTGAGTTCCGAGGGATCGGCAGAAATTCTCGAAAATGCACTCGCTGGATGGAGGCCAGATTTAGCATTTTTGGAAGCCTGCCAGGGAGGCTGAGATGCCAGAAGAGGGGAAATTCAATTGCTACTCTAATTTTAATGAAATCAAGTTGGGTTTAGGTTGATCCCATACAGGAGTTTATAAATTTATTATACATATTTATGATTTAAATTTTTAAGAAAGAAATCTGGCAACAAACTTTTGAATTATTAAAAACTCAGAATATATGAACTTTTAAAACTCTTTAAAATATAGTTGATCTAAAAAATGTATATAGAAACAAAGTCAAATCCTTGGAGCATCTCCAGTTGAATGCCTCTACCATGTTTATGCCTTGGTCGTGTGCTGTAAACAAACCGATTTTTGCCAGGACACTGCAGCATGGCTGGCCTGCCGGCATCTGTTGCACGTTGCACCCACGATTGACCCACGACGTGAGAACGCTTCCGGCTCGACCGTTTGCCACTGGATTGCTCCCGGTTCTCCTCATCCATGTGCATGGCTTTCCAGAAGCGGATGGGGGTGATGTCGGCACGTGACCGAAAATATTAATCAGTTGACACGGCATTAACATAAATCATCCGCTACAATTTTGGATTGCCGCGTTCCGTTCAAATGGTTTATTGTTGTTGTTTATGGCATTCAATTGCAGCTTCTTTCTATGGAAATGAGTAATTTAGCCAAGCAATTCATTTTGTGTTTCTGGACTTTTGAAAAAGGGAGTGATGTTTAGAGGCTTAGGGACATGTGCAGGACTTTATACCGGAGATGATCCTTTAAGTAGGAAGTTTTTGGAATATTTATGGCCATAGTTTACTGCAAGTTATATAAGTAAATTAACTTTAGTAAAAAGTAGGGTACCTTCGTGTATATAGCTTCCAAATTGCTAATTATAATTAGGCAAACAGTGCACATTGATTTTCCCCATTTGATGATATCCCTACCAGGAGTATTGGCAATTATCGATGCACATGCAAAACAGGAGATTGTCACGTATCCACCGCTGCCGTCGGCACTTCACTCCACACTTAAAAGCCAAAGGTCACACACTCTCACTGGAGTCTCACTCCATCTCCTCCCAGTCTCAAGGTTTCTATTGGTAGATATTAAATTATTGCACTTGGTGGGGTAAATGACTTGTAAGTGTCCTTAGCCATAAAAAAAAAACTGTTTCCCGGCTTCCTACTCTCTTTCCTTATTGCCATCACCTTTATTTCCAAAGATGACCAGACCTCTTCTTTGGGGCGATTATTGAAAAATAAATTGAATTTGTTGCTGGCAAAAAAAAAGTAAAATTGTAAGCAACAATGGTTTCGAAGAAGGGGGAGAGGGCGTTCCCCGAACTAACACATATTTATTTACTATAGAAAATTCGCCTAAGCTCTCAAAATCAATTTGTCGTACAGATATTTAATTTATGACCCGCCCCGCTCTATATTCCACCCCCTCCATCGTTGCCAGGAATCCAGTTTCCTTTCCGTGTCCTCTTGTATTCTATGACAATCTGTCGCTAGTCTGTCCTTACGTCCATATTATGACACTTGAGGGATGATCCTGGGAGGAAGAGGGTTGCAGAAAACGTTTAAGATAAACTAAGGTTTTGATTGGAATACCTTAGAAAGCTTTATATTAAACTGATTTGTTACAGATCTTTTAATAGTTTATTACATTTTGATTTAAATATTAAACTAAACACTAAAAATAAGATTAAAAGTTGAAGTAAATGTAACATTTCTTCATTTTCCAGGTCTAATTGTCAACGGTTTGATCAATGTGTCCATCTCCACAATCGAACGGCGCTTTGGCCTACGCTCCCGTCAGACAGGCCTGGTGGCCAGCGGCTACGATGTGGCCTCCTTTGCCTGCCTGGTGCCGGTCACATATTATGGAGGAAGACGTGGTGCCTCCAAGCCGCGATTCATTGCCATCGGTCTGATCGTGATGGGCATGGGATCGTTGGTTTTTCTGCTGCCTCACTTCCTGGTGGGCAACTACAGGGCCAGCATTGATGAGGCAAATGTTTGTGAGACGGCCGGACTGCAGCTTAACTCCAGCCAGACGACAATGGTAATACTAAAGGTTGTGCCTCCGTGTCCCCCGGCTAATTTCAAATTTCAGGGATCCTGCGAGACGGAGACGGGGAACGAGAGCGAGAGTCTAACCTGGACTGTATGGCTGTTTCTGGGCGCTCAACTGCTCCACGGAGCCGGTGCCTCACCCCTCTTCACGCTGGGCGTCACATATATCGATGAGAATGTCTCAAAGAAGATGTCGTCTGTTTACTTGGGTAAGTTGCAAACGACTCCCCGATTGAACCATTGATAAGGCGCAGAAACTTTTGTCTGCCGCAGCCGGAGTCGCAGTCGCACAACAAATGAAGTATGCACAAATACCCATTCCACACTCCATGCTATACGCTCCAGATATCAAAGTATCTAGTATCTGCTAGTTGCTCTCACACAATGCATATTTATTTTTATTCGCCATATTGCCAAAGCGAAGTAAAATAGTATTTACCAAGCCCCCCCTCCCCCAGCCTTCGAACCGAATCCTGCGGGGTGGATGGGTCCGTGTCCCGTGTCATCCAGCTTCCTTCTTCCCCTCTGTTGACCCAATTTTAAAGAGCCAGAAGATTGTCGCTGCTGAGTCAGCCGAGAGTCAGCGGGTCGGTATTAGGTCTTAGGAGGAGAAGCGCCAACGGCAGCGCAAATTTATTGCCTCTTAGTTAAGTTTATCGTGGCATCCGAGGACGAGAGTGAAGTTATCAAACCCGTCCAGTGTCGGCTCGTTGCCTCCTTTGGAATCCGCTGTCTGGCATTGAGACAATTGAAATTCTCGCTCCTGCCACATGGATTTTACTTCACATGGGGATTTCCCCGATGAGTGTGTGCCGGGTGGGTGGTAACCCTAGGCAGTGATTGAACACTGCGTTTCAGTGAAGTAGGATTTGTTATAGATTTTTATAAAATTTTGAGCACCATTAGAAAATATAATTGTTAAAGTTTTGAACTTCATTGAATTGGTTTTCATAAGTTTTGCTCTCATATTTGATTTATTTTTAAACCTTAGTATCTTCAAGTATCTTCTATAGTCTTATTTTATAGAAATTTTCTATTTTTCTAAGGACATACATTTCTATAACGCACTGTACTCCATCCAAGTAAAGAAGGGTCTTCGTTGAAGACTTTTGTCATGCAAATTAAGATGCAGTTGACTGATAACCACATTTGGCAAAACCCTGTGACAAATTTGAACCGATGGCAGTATCGGGGGATATTTCTCCTTTAATTGAGATGAGTTCTGGATTACTGTTTTGTTTTTCCAGGCATTTACTACACCATGGCCACCGTTGGACCCGCGATTGGCTACGTCTTTGGCGGACAGTTGCTGCTTATCTACACGGACTGGATGACCGTGGATCCTGTGCAGTAAGTGCCATCCATGATTGTTATTAATCGCACGACTTAGTGCCGTGAATGAATGAGTGAGTGGCTGATGATGGCGGGGGGGGGACACACCGAACAGGTGACTTTAATATTGGGGGTTACTTGCCACCGAGCTGAGCTTATTTGTAACACGGCAACGGCAAATGCCACAAAAGCACCTCGCCGGGGTAAATATCTCTAGAGAGTAATAAAACAACATTTCGTGCTGACAACGAGGAAATAAGGTGCGAATGAGAATGAGCATTTGTTTGATTCACATTCTCGGGTGGGGGAGAGGGGAGGAGGGAACTCTCTGGGAGAACCGCAAGGACTGCCAGATTCCAGAGCAACAAGCCATCTGCATCCCAGTCCTCATGGATACCACCAGCGTATGGCATGCCTTATTGTCACGGTGATGCCATAAGTCATAATGCCTGTACACTCCAACTCCAAGTTCCCCAATCCCCAACGTTGGCCTTTTCACCTTCTCCATGAATTATGCCGAGAACATGAACATTTTGTTTATGATTTTTTACATGTTTACGAGTGGTTAGAGGGCTAAACAAATATTTTTTGGCGACCTTTTGTTGCCTCCTCCGTTGAGCAGATAAATTTTGTGGAAAATATAAATTCCCATTTCAGTTAATTTACAAAAGCCGGAAAAGTGGGGAAAAATACAGTAGAATATGATTATTGTTATTTGCTGGCTTTTTTTGATTTTTGAACTTAATTATGTACTTATTTCTTCAGGATGTCTGGCTACAAAATATACAAGTAAATAAGTTAATAATATTGTTTTGTAATTAATAAACTATTTCAGACTCAGCCTGACGAGTGACAGCAAGGTGTGGATTGGTGCCTGGTGGCTTGGTTTTATTTTCGCCGCTGCCATGTGTCTCCTAGTGGCCCTGCCCATTCTGGGATATCCGAAATCCCTGCCTGGGGCAGAAAAGCTTCAGCTAGAAAGGGTTTCAGAGGCACATGCCACCAAAACGGAGTCCGAGGAAGAAGTGTCGAGCAAGGGCTTGGGAAAACTTCCTCGGGCTGTGCTCAGCCTGCTTGGTAATCCTACCTTCTTTTTCCTGAACCTGGCCGGAGCCACTGAGGGACTGATCATAGCTGGATTCGCTGCCTTTCTGCCCAAACAAATCGAGAACCAATTTAGCATCTCGCCCATGCTCTCCGCTTTGGTCATGGGCCTGATCACGGTTCCAGCAGGCGGTGGCGGCACCTTTCTCGGTGGCTACTTGGTGAAAAAGTGGAACCTGACCTGCAGTGGCATCATCAAGATGTGCCTGATGGCCACCACAGTGGCGGCACTTTTCACCTTCTGTTTCCTGGTCTCCTGTCCGAATCCTCAGTTTGCTGGCGTCACCACGGGCTACAATTTGGAGTCCAGAAGCGGACCAATTGCCTTGGAGGCGCCCTGTAATGCCAACTGCGAATGCAGCCGCTCCAACTACGATCCCATCTGTGGAGTTAATGGTGTGATGTACTACAGTCCCTGCTATGCGGGATGTAGCCAGGAGGAGCATGTGGACAGCCTGAAGCGTTACCACAATTGCAGCTGCATCGGAAGCGTTGGCTGGGTGGATATGGACGTAGACGATGGCTTTCCGCGGCCGGAAGCCACCAATCTTAAGTGCGATTCCACATGCCAGAGCCTGCCGCTGTTCGTGGGACTCTGTTTCGTCCTGATGATATTCACTTTTCTGGCCACCATGCCCGCTTTGTCGGCCACCTTGAGGTAAGCTGATTTTATTTCTAAAATGTATGATTAATTAAAAAATTGTATTTTTTATTATCAGATGCGTTCAGGACGAGCAGCGATCCTTTGCCCTGGGTCTGCAGTGGATAAAAGTGCGCCTCCTGGGCACCATACCGGCTCCTCTTATTTTTGGCGCCCTGATTGATGAGTCTTGCATTTTGTGGCATGAGTCCTGCGACAAGGAGGCAGGTGGAGCCTGTCTTGTTTACGATAACTTTTATATTAGTCGGTGAGTTGAGCTCTTTAATATAAGTTAATTCTCTTATAAATTAATTCTTTTAATTATAATAATATTTAACTCTTCAGATATATGTGGCTTTTGGCCTTGATCTGCAAACTAGGATCCGTGGTGTTCTTCCTGGCCGCTTGGTGGTTCTATGTGCCACCCCCTAAGCCATCGAATGCTAATGAAAAGACAGAGGATAATTAATCGAACTGAATCTTAATGGGATATACATAAATATGTACTGTAAAATATAAATCCAGACAACAGCTTGTGGCTCATATTGTGGCTCATCATTAACTGGAAAGCATTTTTAGTCGTTTAGCTATGTAGTAGAAATAAGAACTATTTTATACACTCCTCTAAGAGATTCATCTCCCAGTAATTGCGCCATTTTATATAGTAAAAGAACAACTCAAAGTATCATTTAACATTTTAAGCAATCATAAAAAATATGTGTGTGTAGAACTTTTAAATTTATGGTTCAATCCCTAAAATCGGAACGCCTTTATTTGTAGCAAGGCTTGGTAAACATCTGCTGATAGTTCAACATGCTTTTGGTAAAAACTAAAAAAGGAAAATTATGAAAAGGGTCTAGGTAAACCTTTCTACGGGTTTCATTTACTCACTCCATCGGTTTCCTTGAATCATGGGACACACAGCGTGTCTGGTCAAAGGATTTGGTTCCCAATTATTGTGAAGATTGTACCAGAAAAGTGCCGAGCCCTTCTTGGGCTGAATGGTAAGATTTGCTGCAGGAAAAATGGTGGCACCACCCAAAGGGACATCGGTGGCCTATGTTAAATTTTAATAAACAAGATTTTTACATTCTTAGCAGTTTAATTTAAAACAATTACTTACATAAAACAAAAATGTAATTAAACTATCGCCCTCACTGATTCGTTCCTAATTAATGAAATATCAACAAAAAGTATGATAAATCTTATAATTTATATTATTTTCTTACTTACCGGATAAATTCTGGGATCTTTGTAGTCGCTGTGCTCCTGAAAATACCCACCCAGACCGTAGTTTGCTCTGGCCAGAGAGCTAACATTGCCCATTGCCAGACCCGATATATCCGTCATGCGATTCACCAAAGCCTTGTCCATTTTACCACCATCGTCATCGGTAATTTTAACCTGGAAGACGCGATCTGGGTTTTTGGGAGCTGTGTAATTATCGGCATAGCCTTGGGACAAGTCTTCGCTGGTCAGATTTATGAAATGTGCAATCTCGCTGTCATAGAGTACATCGTGATATAGCCACATGAGTGGATCCTTGCTGATCTCCTCCTCCTTGAGGGGTGCTATACGCATAAATGGTGTGGTGGTAAAATTGTAGCGACACACGAGTTGCGGACGTGGTGGAAACTCTCCTCGACATCGTCGTTCAATGGCAGTGGCTGGCGGAATGGGCTTTAAGTGGAGGAGGGGTATCTCTGGGTCCTGGTTAACCTCCTCTAAGTAATCACTTATGTTGTCGAGGGCACCTGGTGTAAATTGAGATAAAATTACTAAAGGACATTTAAGCCTATGCTATGATCACCTTCATGAAGTCGACTTATTACAAACATTTTGCGAAGTTCCTCTCGATGTGGTTTGTAAATTTGAAGCGCAATCTTATTCGTTGGCTCCTTAATATTATGTAAGGCCAGTCGGTACCATTGAGCTGCTCGTCTATACTCTGACTTATTGAACATATACTCAGCTAGGGCTAGACACTCGGAAGCGCACATTTGGGTTCTGAGGGGAAAGGTACATTTAAAGGATACTTCCTTAAAAAGTAAAGTAAAATAAAGGCTCTTACTCTAGTTGCTGACCAGCCAGTAGACCCTTTGACATGTCCGTAGAGCTTAGGTTATAGAAATGTTCAATGCGATACATTCCCAATGAAGCCTCCTGTAAGTCCTCGGCAGTTGGTGTACGCTTTAAAAGTTTATGAATTTCTGAAAGTTGATTATCTAAAATAGAAGAATAATTTTGGTTAGGTAACAGTTTATTATAAATATGATAGATTATTATTTCTTTTTTTAGAAACGAAAAACAGGAAAGGGAAGCCAAAGTTTGTAATTTTATCTCATACCTTGATCCTTTTCCTGAGCCCTGAGGTAAGTCATCCACTTGGGCCAATCTTCATGAGCTCGTCTCATCAGTTCAAAGGCATTAAGGGGATTTGACACATATTCGAAACGACTCGCTTCACTTTCCAGAATTTTATGTTTCACCGAGTCAGTAAATCTGATAAGTAAATTATGTTAATTAACTTTGTATTTAATTTTACTTTTTGTCTATCATACATTCTCAGTGTTTCCACTTTCCTTTGCAGAGATTTAATATAGTTATTGAGTTGATCCATATAGGAGTTCTCGAATTCTCTGAGCTCCCCTAAGGCCAGAATAGAACCCGAGTAGACTTTACTATCATCCTCGTCACTTTCCTTAGCAAAACTTGTTTTAAAAATTAGAATTAAGTTTATAACAACAGAAACTAGTTTACGCAGCAGCATGCTTTAGACGAATAAGGTAAGAATGGGTTTACAAAATCCAAAATGTTAAGCTTTTAAATGTATTTTCACGGTTAATTTGTCATTAGTAACGTATGAGAAAGTTAACAACAAATAAATAAGTTAATACCTTGGTTTTGAAGAAACTGATAATGGATTTATTGGAATAAAAATGTTTAATAAACTGGAATTAAATTGATCCTTTTTTAAATATATATTTTCAGTTATCTGGCGTTGCCCTACTGTCAATATTTGGGTGAAACATACGCCATCTTTTGGAATTGAACGAAAGTACTAACTATATTTTACATGTAGTTCTGAATTTAAGTAACTAGGTGGCGGCAAGGTGGTGGTGTAGAAAGGATTTTAAAAGATTTAATTTTGTTATTTGCAATTAAATTATTTATTAGATAAAATATAAAATTGTAAGGTATTATTTAAAGGCTTTCGACCAATTTGAATTGGCCAAAAACTGTAGAAGACTAAACAAATAATATTTATTTTTAATATTAATTTAGTGATAATTAAATAGTGTTTATCTATAAGAAAATATTATTATTTTTAAAGAAAAGCTATAATAACTAAGATTATTCCCTAAAAACAAACACCAAACACACTTAACCCTCCAAACCTCCCATTTATAGATGCTGCAAAGGAAACTTGCATGTGTTAGCAAAAGATTTTCCCTCACGGGAAAAACAACAACCTGGCCAATTTCACTTGCTTGTTATCATTATTGTTATCGCTATTGAAAAGCGCTAATTGTGCGCAAATACTCGGTGGCGGGGCAAACTTATTGCCAACTTATTATAAAGCTCACACATGCAAACCAAACACCAAACAGCACAGTGCGAAAAGTGCAAGCGCGGCAGAAAATCCAGAATCCAAAGGATGCGAAGACAGGTGAAAGTTGGAGCGGAAGATGAAGAGGCAGATAAATGTGCGGAATTTCGGGGTTAATTAGAATGGTATTGGGAAAAGGGAGAGTTGTATGTTGGCAGGGAGACGGCATATGGCTCCAAAAAATAGCAATGAAATGCCTGTCCCCCCCTTTCCCGTGGCACAAATGTCACACAAAACTATACTGGGTGGCGTCGTCACGTGCATATGAAACTGTTACGCCGGGCGCTTTATGAATGAAACATTTACTATTGCATACCTCTGCCGTTTCACCTCCGGGGCACCTTGACTACTGGCCAACCAGTCAACCAGCCAAGCAGCCACCCATCCATCTTTTCCCACCCAGCCAACCATACATCCCACCCACAAGGACCAGGACCCGCCGCAGGACACATGCGCAACGCCAGGCAGCATTTGAATTTTGAATATGAATTTTGACACTTGATTATCAGCGCTGCTCGCAGTTCGCGGCCAGTTGCAAGAGTGTGTGGACGTCTGTCCGGCTAAAAGAAAAACTTTATACTCAAAAGCCGGAAAAAATAAATTCGCGCTAACGTAGCGGAAGTTCAACTTGGGCTATTTGGCCAGTGAAAGTGGAAAACAGAAAAAAAATATAGAAAAAATAGAAACGGAATACAATATTTTAAAAGTTTCCCAATTTGGCGGCTCAATTTGGAGAAGATGAAAAGGAGGAGCTTGGCTGATATCTGGCTGCTGCTGCAATTTGCAGGCTTGAGCTGGGCCAGCTTTTCGGAGCTAAACAATTGTAAGTTTTATGGATAATCAGGAAAGACACAGAAATGACTTGGGGGTTTGAAATCGATTTAAATCTATCTAAAATTATTAAATAAAATGTTTAAGGAGGAAAATATAGTGTACCTTTTTTCCAAGTACCTTTTAATGAAAAATATTATTGTAATATGAATTCCAATTTAAATAATACATATATTTTGTGAAGTAAAATTCAGTATATTTATAAATAATAAATATAAAAAATTATAAAACCACAATAATATATATTCATATTTTAAGAAAGCATTGATTTTGGTAAGAAATTTTACTTGAAAGCTATGATTCTACGAAAGACAATTTGACATCTGCAATTTATTTGATTTTATTTCATAGTTGCCTAATTTTACTCCTTAAATATTTCAGCAAATTTTTATTTTAAAATTCCTAAAAAAAATACAAGCTCCTTTCAACCGAAAAACAATTACTTTTCAACCTTTAACAACCAAAAACATTGCAAAACCTGCCAGATTTTTGGCTAATTGACTACATTTAACGTGCAAACTATGTAAAACAAAAAAGCTGACTAAAAAAACGATGATAAATACCATCAGCAGCAGCAGCAGAAACAGCGTCGAACAGCCGGCCAGTAATCGGAAGTCCAACGAGTCCATAAGTGAATAAACTGTGGCCAACATACATCCCCCCAGACGGGACGGGGGATGCGCGGGTGCAACCGGGAAGAGTAACGAGGGGTAACTTCCGCCAGGAAAACTGGTCTCGGGCTCCAAGGAGTAAAAACAAAACAAATTTTCCTTGACTTTGGCCGGAGCCAGCACAACAAATGCGATAAATATATCAAAACGGGAAAAATTCAAATTCGTTATTTAAATCAATGTGCCAAATGCAATATAAACATAAATATTGGCAGGCTAGCCGCAGAGAGCAGCGTGCGATAAGAATGTGAGAAGAGTGAGTGAGCTCAAAGAAGAGTCAGTTTTTCCACAACTCAACCGCAGGGCACCCACTGGAAAGCCACCTAACCAACCACCAGCCACTGGCCACCAACCACCAGGCCCCTTTCACAGCGGGGGCGCGAGGAGACAGACAGTCGCGGAAAGGCGACGTTTTTCCACTTCCTATTGCACTCTGCGCAATTTTGCCTTTTTCTGCTGCTGCTGCTGCCACCAAAGTGTTGGGTTCTGGGCACTGCAGTGGGTTATTTTCCATTTCTTCCATTTTTTTTCGGCAGACATTGCGTGCTGATTGTACTTCGTTTCGCCAGGCAGCCAGCCAGCACTCCGCCGGCAGACAGTTGGAGTGTCTAACAGGAGACAGGACATTCACTTTCCGTTTCAAGTTCAACGGTGCGCGGGAAAAGGACTCGGCCGCGATTGCGATTGCAAAACTGACTTCTAGGGGAAATTATGGCCTAAGTCTCTTTAGATCGAATCTCTATGGGTGAAGGCAAAGGAATTGGAAGTCCTTTTAGCAGCTTGTAGCTTGATTTCCTTTTAGAAAAAAAAGAAGTGGAAACTACATAGGAATTACGCAACTAAAAAGTTAAACATGAACGTAAATTACCTGCCGCCAGACATAAATGAACCAAAAAATAGTTGTGCACTAGACAAAATGAAATATTTTGAAGATATTGTTATTTAAAATAAAAGATCTTGGGGATCTCAATAAATTTACGATTTTTTTTTCTAAAGATTTTGACGATTTTCTCCAGAAAAATATATTTTTCCAAACTAAATGGAATAACTTCAGCTTCTATCCAATTCTTAGTTTTCTTGACGATTGGGCAATGTGTTCAATGTGTAGCTGAATTCGTACTTGAGAATTTTAGGTATACTCCTTGCAAAAAAATTTACTTTAAATGTTCTTACTTATCAAGGAAATGTACCCAAAGCTTTTCTTGTTATTGCTATTTATTTTTAAATATATAGAAAAGAGAAGGCTTTAAACTTATTAAACTTATAATTGAATATATTTCGTTTTTCAAGTATTTTTTATTAATGCTATTAAAAAGAGGTCATTAAGAGATCAGCAAAACTCTCTTTTTTATATTTTATTCCTTTTACTAAAGAAGCTATTTAGGCAGCAATTCTTTATGTTTGAAACCCTGACTAATAATATTTTATTAAAATTAGTTTGACTTTTTTTTTGGCTCAGTGTATACTATATATGATGTGTTTTATGCTCAAAAACCGTCTCGTTCGTTCCTTTCTTTGGAATATTTTCAATATGCAAACATGCAATAGCCAAATTGCAATAACAACAAACGGCTGGCAGCAACAGGAACAACAACCAGAGGCGGAAACAAAACCATATCAACTGAAGGCAGTCGTCAAACAATGGCGTCTGTTACATTTACACAAAAACGAACGAAAAAAAAAGGGCGGCGAGCGACCCCAACTCGGACCGGACCCAAGACACCCTACTTTGCACGGGACCCAAAACATAATCGCAAATTATAGGCTATATGGCGCGACGCGGTAGGCTTCCATCCCCTCAATTTGATGCTAGTTTGGTGGGAACACGCCCCCACCTGGGTTGGGGTGAGCGCCAAAAGGTGTGTGCCAGCCAGCCAGCTTTTTACAATTTTCCAGGTACCGGCACTAGATTTTTGCATTTTTTCGGGTTATTATTTGCTCATAATTGTAATTTACGTATTTGCTGTGTGCGGTTGAGGTTGAGGTGTTCGTTCCAGCTACTTGCTAGGCAATTTGATGTGATGTGATTTCTATTTTTTTTATGCATTGTGTGTGTGTGTGTGATAGAGGTGTGTGCGGTTGCTACTCTGGTGCTGGTGGTTAAGGCGGCTGATGGCAAAATGTCGAAGTCTTGCGGTTGACTTGACTGGAGTTGATGGCAATGGGACCCGAGTTGAATAAAATCGACCACCGACCAGAAAGTGTACCAGAAATTAACTATTTGAGTTGAAAAGTGATTGAACTTGGGGTGGAGAGGGACAAGATGGGTGGGAGTTTTTTAAATTAAGGCAATGAAGGATAAAATGAGAAAGGAAATAATGAAGGAAAGGTTTAGAGAGAAACTCTATATAATTATTATTTTTACACTGGGAATTAGACTTTGGGTTAGTCAATAAATATAACATAATTAACTTTAAACATATAAAATTAAATTTCAAATCTGTTTCATCTCAAGAACATTACTTTTGACATCTCCATTGCCACCGCCTTCCAGTATAGACTTTTAATTTCACTAATTGTTGGGATTATTTGCTGCTGTCTCGGCTTAATGTTAACCTCAACGAATTTATGAGCGTTGTACAATTTTAAATATCCTTGACCACTCTTGGCGGGGCATCTGGAAAACGTTAAAAATTGTCTGCCTAGGCTGTTGACATTTTGCAGACACACGCAGAATTTGTGTGTCGAAAAGAAATGAAATAATTATCCCTAAAATTGTGGTTTAGAAATGGAAAAGAAAAGTGGTTACTTTTTAATTGAATTAAATTTTTGCGCCTGAGTTCCCTGAAATGAGTGAACCGAGGACCAAATGCCAGTCTCTAACATTTGCAAGCCTCATAAAGCAACCCACACCACAGGCAGGCCCATTCCGGGTTCCGTCTGCCCCATTTATTCCCGTAATGATGAGAGTCATAAATGTCAACCAATTGGTGCAATCTTCCCTTCCAGCGGATCCCAAGTTCAGCGGTCCCATCAACAACTCAACAGTTCCCGTGGGACGCGATGCCCTGCTCACGTGTATCGTGCACGACCTGGTTAGCTTCAAGGTGGCCTGGTTGCGCGTAGATACACAGACCATTCTGAGCATCCAGAACCATGTCATCACCAAGAACCATCGCATTGCCATCTCGCACACGGAGCATCGCATCTGGCAGCTAAGGATACGCGATGTCCAGGAGTCAGATCGTGGATGGTGAGGATTGATAGGAGGCTACTTTTTAGCATCTAACAATTTCCTTTACTCTTCTGTATCTCACCAGGTACATGTGCCAAATCAACACCGATCCCATGAAGAGTCAGATGGGTTATCTAGACGTTGTGGTGCCACCGGATATTGTTGATTACCAGACTAGTCAGGATGTGGTTCGTGCCACGGGTCAGAATGTGACGCTCACCTGCAGTGCAACGGGGGTTCCCCTGCCCACAATTACCTGGCGTCGCGAGGAGTCCACACCGCTCCTACTTTCCGAGGACTCCGCCCAACAGGAAGTGTACAGCGTGGAGGGGCAGAATCTCAGCTTGTGGCAGGTGCAGAGGTCTCATATGGGGGCCTATCTTTGCATTGCCTCCAATGGAGTGCCTCCCACAGTCAGCAAGCGCGTAATGCTGGTGGTGAACTGTAAGTTGAAAAACTAAAAAGTACTCCTAAAAGTAGCTAAATGTGTTGTGTTTGAAGTTGCTCCCACCATCTGGACTCGTTATGATACCATCTACGTGGGCCTGGGCCAGAAGCTAACGCTGGAATGCATCACCGAATCCCAGCCGGCATCTGTAAACTTCTGGCTAAAGGACTCTGAACTGCTGCCAGGAGGTAGCTATGAATCCGTTACAGTGGATCATGTCCATCGCATTGTAATGCGGATCACCCTGCGTCCCATAACGAAGCGGGATTTTGGAGAGTACAAATGCAGGGCCAAGAATGCAATGGGCCAGACAGATCGGATTATCACAGTGCATCGTAAGTTGATTCCTAAACCCATTTTGATTATAGTTTTTATCCTAAATTCCTCTTCAGATAAAGCCAAGAAGCATGGTCAGCACTCGCATCAGACCTCCTCCCTCGAGAGTCAGTTCATTGTCATAGAAGGTTTGTTTCTCAAAAGCTCAAATACTTACTTAAATTATACACTGTTATTTTTTTCAGAATACATAGCGAATGCGGCTGTTATGAACTGTATATTCCGAACTCTTTGGCTTCCATTTCTGTATTTCCTCAATAAAATTGCCAGCTTGTGAGCCAGCGCAGTTAAAACAATTGGTGCTTTGTCTTTTTAGCCACTCTGAGGCGTGACTGCATCTTTATATATATATATATATATGTATATATACTGCCTAATTCACAATTTTGTTTGGTAATTATAGTTTTTGTTATAACAATTGTTCGATTCGTTCAAGGGGTGTACAAATTATTAGATAAAATCAAGTAATTTTGATTATTTTAGTTGCTGGAGAATAATTTTGATTTACTCATTAGTTTGTCGGTTTGAATAAAATTGCTCTAGGACAACATTTACAATAATAATGAATCTCGCGCACGGTTCTTCTGTTCATCTTTTAAAATTAACTACAATTCATTTTAGCTATTTACAATTGAGTGTTTGTTGTTTCTTAGTCAGGATCAATCGAATATTTAGCTAAAACTCGATCCGCAACTTTACGCTTAACATAGAGGAAATTGAACTAAGGAGACATCACGTAGTCTTCAACATTTCTTTCGCAATAAATTAGTGTGTTAAAAGTTAAGTCTAACTATGAGCGTGTCGAGGTAGGCGTAACAGTTTGTTAGTTGGATTTGTTGTTGGCTTACAAATTAAGAGCGTAGTGAGAAGGATGTGGGTGTGTGTGTTCATGTGCTATAGCCTAAGAGGTGGTTCCTAGAATAACGCTCAACTCGAGCTGTCATGACCGTTGGCCAGTTTCGAAGGCTTCTCCATGCTGGGAATCTCAATGGCTGGCGGCGGAGTAGCGCCCTTGGCCTTGGCCAGGACATCACGCTGTTCGTAGATCTCGTTGACCAGCTTCTTCACGAACGGATGATTAAACTTGCCCTCGGTGGAGTCGAAGAACTCCTGGTGCTTCAGAAGGCAATTGTCACGCTTCTCGTATTCAAACGCCTGCATAACCATATCCAGGCGATCCAGATCCTTGACAAACTTGCTCTCGGCACTCTGGCCATGCTCGTATTCCTGGAAATACATAAAGCTATTAATTGTTATATTAAATGAGGATTATGTTGTTGCTCACCTCAAACAGTTCCATAATGCGCTTGCCACGCGGCTCAATCAGCTTGCATATATCCTCCATGGCCTTAAACTCCATGGCACGCTTCTCATCCTTGGACACGCCACAGAAGGGCGTTATGTCACCCACTAAACTCTCCGCCAAATCATGGACTAGTGCTAGCTCCATGCAGCGGATTTGATTTAGTCCCTCGCTGCCGTCCAACAAGAAGGTTAACATGCTCATCCGGTACATGTGTCCCGAAATCGATTCGCAATCGTTGACATCACGTAGCACCCAGCCAGTGCGTTTGGTGTGCTGTATGGAAGAGGATGAAAAATAATATGGGATATTAATAAAGAGTGAAATATTAATGGTTTAATATATCGAAATATATAGAATTTAGCGTTAAGATATCGATATTATCGAAAAAAAAAATTAAAATATAAATTTATTAATATTATTGTTAAATCATCTTTAAATTCCATTTTAGATAACCTCTTGATAGAAGGCAAATTTGGTATTTTATATTTATTATCGATTTATCGCACATATATTGAAGTCTAGCCTTAAAATATCGATAGGCAATCAATAACTATAAAATCTTGATTTTCTTTTAAACGAAGGAATGAAAAGTTGCTAAAAAAGCTTGATATTTAAAACAAAAGATGACATTTAAAGCTCGCATAGGCAATCAATAACTATAAAATCTTGATTTTCTTTTAAACGAAGGAATGAAAAGTTGCTAAAAAAGCTTGATATTTAAAACAAAAGATGACATTTAAAGCTCGCATATTTTATAGATATTGCATGTACATAGAGGCACCTATAGCCCACCTGCCACTTTGGCTAATTAAAAACATTGACAACGACGCGACTCTGGTGACATCGTTGCCGGTTTCGCTTGCTGCACAACACATCAAGGTTGGTGGCGCCTGCCCCAGACCTTTTCACCCAAACCTGCCAGCAAGACCCGTTCTAGACTGTTGCTATTTGATCAATAAACGTTTTATTTATAGCAACCCAACGGTGAGTATATGCACAAGGTCCAAAAGACGTTGCAAGCCATTTGCTTTTCCTTGTCATTCGTAAATTAAGTTCCGCCGATTCCATATACATACTATATAATATTATGGTTTAATTAAACGACAAGAAGGCCTGCAGCTCTCTAACTTTAATCATATAGCAAACAGTCCGTGACTTATCAAAGGCAATGACTGATTGGTTAGGGTCACGTAATGGAATTGGATACCTTATCAGTAGGGACAAAGATTCCACTGAGTTGGGTACAACATGCATAATGATGCACACAGCAGATAAATGCCATATCTCATATTAATAATATGGATTTGCGGGGAATCAAACAAGTACATTATTGAGTTTGGTTTATTAATCGCCTTGCTGATTCCATATGGCATATAAATATTAATATTGACTTTAGCTATGAACTGATAAATGACAACAAGAGTTGCTATTGAGGCGCAGTAAGCAATGCGCTCATGGGTTTTATAAGGGATTATATGAATTTGTATTTATTTGTCTCTTATTTCTGTGTGCCTTAAAAAAAAAACTTCTAGAACGCTAACAAAAACATTCTATAGAAATCTTACCCCTTGAGGTGTACCTAGATAGCGTCTATATTTTGAAGGCCAAGATCAAAGTCACGCGTCGCTTTTCCTTTTCATTTTTGCTTTTGCACGCTCTATATACAACCGTTCAGATACACACACATATATAATTGGGTAATAAAGAAATTTTAGAAAATAGCATTTGAAAAGATATTTTTTGTTGTAGTTCTCGCTTGAATCTGTTGTTGGTCATACGTCAATGGTTTGTGGGGCTCCAAAACAAAAGCAAATAACAAAATATACATTTCATTGTGCTCACGTGAGACTTTTAGAACTTTGCCTTCGCGGTTGGCGTATATTTGCAATTTTGTTGCAAAGATTATGGGATTTGCAAAGAGAACACAAAAGCAAAAAGAAACTTTGAGCTTGTTAATGAGTTAAACTGATAGACAAGCTGCTCAAGTTACAAGAGCGATTCCCTTTTTAATGGTTTTGTAGATAAGAAATCAAGTCCCGTGTTCTGTGGTTTTGTTGATTGGTTGAAAGTTTCAGCTGCGGCAATTATCTAATCGTAATGCTGATGGGTTCCAGAAAGTGTGCAGCTCTTGACTTTTGTGCTTTTTATGGCTTACATTACGCTATACTGAACGATATCATAACTGATAAATTGACTGCAAATGACAAATACAATTTGTACCAAGCCAAAAACATTATACTTATAAAACTACATACGAATGTAGAAATGTATATAAATAAGAATATTTTTTGGCAACCGACTATACAAATTCGTTCGAGAGCGAGGCTGCCGCTGACTCTGGGCATTATACAACATTTGCAAATATACAAAACAAAAGAACGCCAGAGTGTAGGTAAAGCAGAATAGATTATACACACACAAAGTAAATAAATAAATCAAATCTGTGCGTTCTTTTTGTTTATTTTCTTGGATTTTCTGTCAGAACCTCAAATGGGGGGGATTTGAAAGAATATTTTGATAAGCGAAGCTTATATTATGCAGTCTTTTATTACCAAAAGGCTTAGAAACACGAGCAGAGATGTGATAAGAATTTGGATTATGAAATTGGCTGACTCACAATTTAAATAGCTTTTATAATTTAATAAGAAAATGTACACCAGAATTATAAGAATTAATATAAATAGTATAAAAAGTCATTTGAGCAAAAGCAATCCCATAAATACCCAAAAAACGTTGTTGAAGAAATTCGTTATTTGAGGTCTTTTGGTTGACTTATTTTTTGCTTAATTGTGTTAACACCTACATACTTTGGTTGAAGGCTACTTGTCGAACCTAATGAAACAGAAAAATAAGTCTCCATATTAAATATTGATCATACAAGCAAAAATTTAGAAAAAGTAGCTGTAGGAAGCATTTCAGGGTCATTAAAAATTACGTTTTATTTTAATAATAAAAAAATTAAATGTTAAAAAGATTATAGAAAAATTTTTTAGTGCGTAGTCTCTGGTTATTTCGCATTAAATAATTATATATAATAATTTTCATGATTCTCTTCGACAAAACACCCAAACATCAAAATCAAAACAAGTTCCTTTTGGGGAAAAATCAATACAAACATATGACGCCCAAGTTGAGAGTAAAGAAGGGTGAATATGAAGGAAAAGCAGCTGCTTTTCTAGTTACGTTTCACTTACTTTCAGGTTGCCAATGAGCTCCATGAACTGTAGGATCTCGCCGAGGCCAGTGCTGAAGCAGGCCTTTGTACCGGCACTGGCCGATGCTGAGGCCACATCGTGACAGGAGGCACCTAGTCCTGGGGACTCCACCGCATTGTCCGCCCCGGAGGCCGTGATTTCGTCTGCCTTGTGGGCTTGCAGGGGCTCCGCCGCTAACGATGACATGGCAAACTTGGTGGTGGTTTGCTGCTGCTGCTGCTGTTGGGAGGACTTGGCTCGCTGTCCGCTGGCCGATTGTGTATGAATCTGACGCTGGATATCCTGGCTACGCTGCTCCAATAGCTTTCGGGCCAATTGGTGGGCTGATGGAAAATTATTGCCGTGGTGCGCCGACTCCAAATCCGACTCTGATTCGCAGTGACTATAACCGTCCGCGTGTGAGGGCGAATTGTGACTGTCGCTGTCGCCGAACTTCGCCTGACTAGAGAGCTGTGTTGTTGCTTTGGCTATAGCTCTAGCTGTACCTGCCGCTGTGCTTGTGTTCGTGTTTGCTGCCGTCGCGTTGCCCAGGTGCCGAAGCAGCCTGTAGAGATCACTGCCTCCGTTCGGCGTCGCTGCAGCCACTCGGACCAATTGCTGTAGTGAGAACATCGCGGGAGAGGCCAATCGGACGTTTTAAAACCTATACGGAAAAAAGCACATATTTACTACATATTTTTCCATTAAATAAATCTACGAATGATATGAAAGTTTAAATGTTCCTGAAGTTCAATTTATTTAAATTTTCATTTTTGTTAATTTATTTATATATTATTTATTGTATATTTTATTTATTGTATATTTATTTTGTTTATTTATTTTATGGAAACTTAACTAAATTTCTGTTCCCAATCAGTAATCTTGAGACAATGTACCATGAAAAATTTATTTGTATGGAATTTTATACATAGCTCTGTTTGAAATATTGTTTGGATTACTATTAAATTAGTTTCAATTTAAGTTAAATCAGTTTTAAAGCAAAAATTTACAAAAAACTGTTCCCACATCAGTAAACTGTACCTTAACTCACTTAATGGAAAAATTAAGAGAACAGGCACAGAAAAATCATGTATGTACAAATGTCTTCTGGAAAAACGTACCTAAAATCTGCCAGGTCCGACTGGGAGAGAGCTCCGCAGCAGCAGCGACAAAGAGCGAGTGCGAGTGGCTGGGAGAGAGCGAGATTGGCTCGCGCGTGATCGTTGGCTACAAAACTGTGGCCAGAGTCAGACACGTGATATGTGTGTGCGTCCGCTTGGCCCTGTAGGTGGAAGAGAAAGAGAGGGAGAGTTACTTTTGGTTGCAGTGAACAATGTTTGAGAAAAAACAAGAGTGTCAGATATCATTCAAAAGCCCACAGTTTTATACCCTTACAGAAGGATAAATATTTATTAATATTAAAATTATGATAGATTTTGGTAGAAAATATACATAACATCAAGAGTATCTTTGCAGCTACACTATCTAATTATGTTTATCCTATTACGAAATGAAAATTTCATTTAGTGCCGAGGGCAACAAAATGTTTGTTGATTTTTATCGCATGCGATTTATAAATGCGTGAGAGAATTACAGTTTGGGAGTCATATACATAAACTACAAAGTAATCAAAGTTTTAGAGCTACTATAGTCTGGGTCTTAATGGATTAATTGAAGTAAAAGAAAGAACTTTCGTTTGCTACGATGAAAATAAATAATATACAATAAATAATATATTAAATTAAAAATACTAATTCTTTGTCTTAGTCATCCCAAGTATGATTCATTTCCAAAGGTAGTATTGCAGTTTTAGATTCTTGGAAAAAAGAACAATTTGTGCAAATTAGTAGTTTAGTTTTGAACGAATTTTAAAATATAATTTACTATATCAAACAAGGTTTAGGTAATTTGGTTGTTCAAACGCTCTTAAAAATAATATTTTTTTTTGTTTTCATGTAATTTGGCATCCATTTGCATTAAAAATTTGAGAACCTTTGTTAATTCACAGCAATTAATATTGCACTTTTAATTATTAAAATAAATTAAAAACATTAACACTTTTGGTACGTTTCCTGTTAAGTCAGAGCTGATGCAATAGACATGTCTGAGATACATTTTTTGTTTTTTGTGAGAATAAACGAATTCACGCGGTTAACAATTGCTTATTTATTGCGAAAAAAACAGACAAGAAATACAAATACTAATACAAATGTTTGTTTTTCATTTTTGTGGGTCGTCCAAAGTGCAATTAAGAAACTGAAACAATAAAGTCGCCTTATCAGCTGTCCCACTCTGCTTTCCCAGACTCCCATATAAACATAAACGTACATTTGGGTCCATAATATTAGAATTTAACTTATTGTTTTACAAGAACTAATATTCAAGTAGTTTTATTTAAATATTTTTATGGTTTAGTTTGGAATTTAATTGTTATTCCTGTACTTTCCCTTTACATATATAATGTAGTATGTGGAAGTCTTTGTTTATTTTTCGGATAATACATACACGAATTAGTAAATGTTAAAAACTTAATTCATTTTAATTTTAAATTCATTTATTTTTGTTTTTATTTAAACTAAAGATCACAACACCTTTGGATTTAGCCAATATCCAACTACATAATATATAACAACTACACTGTCGATCTTTTCCTCAGAAATGGTCACAAACTATTATTTTGAACGTAACTGTATGTCGGCTACCTTGACACCACTCTTTGTCGCTCTCGCGGTGTAAGAAGTTCCGTTCGAAATAATGGCAAATAAATAGGAAGCGATTCCGACAATTTGACAGGCACTTCAAGGTGAAGGCGGCGTTATGTGTGTTGTGTGTGTGTGTGCGTCGTGTGGCACGTAAGCACCGTTAGTTTGATGTAATGTTGACGACTAAGAGCTCTGCCCGCCGATGGCAAACTAAAACTTTTAATTCGCGTCGGACACAACGTTTGTAATTAGGAATATAAATATCACTAAGCTAATATAGACACACAGACACCCACACTGCACACGCGCACAACTAAACAATGGCCACAACAACAATAGAGGCGGCAGAAATAGTTAAAATTACTAACGGAATTTATGCAACACCACAGCGGCGGCAAGCTGCATTCTGCGGCGTTGAATATGTGTATTTGAATCCGCTCTCTCGAACTCTCTCCCTCTTCCACTCTCCCGCAACAACAACAAAGTTGCGCGCTCTTTTATTCAATTGTTTAGTGTTTTTCCGAAGAAATTGCACAATTGTCTTGTGTTTGGGATACAACTAGTGTGACCGCAGAGATATAAGCAATATATACCAAAATACCAGTTTGGTAAAAGAAATACCAATACAAAATATGTCAAAAATACTGCACACGAGGTAGTATATTTTAGTATAAACAGTAAATGCAGCCACACTAACTTCGCGTTCCAGCACATGTTTATTATTTTGTTGTAAATAGAATTAAATTAATTATGTTGGCGCCAATTAAGCATGTTTTGGGCAACTACCGGATAGTTTTGGCGAGCGGTTCTCCAAGGAGACAGGAACTGGTCAAAATGCTGGTAAGACCTACAATTCAGATAATGTCTAAGAATTGTAATATCAATTTTATACATATTTTGTAATTTAAGGGCCTCAACGCGGAGCTGTGTCCCTCGACCTTCGAGGAGAACCTCAATCTGGAAGACTTCAAGGAATTCTCGGATTACATAGAGGCCACAGCTCTGGGCAAAGCAGAGGAAGTATTCTCCAGATTGAGCTCTTCGGGGGATAATAAGAATCTTGTAGTCATAGCTGCGGATACAATGGTGACTTTGGGAAAGGAGATCTATGGAAAGCCCAAGGATGCCGCTGATGCTATTCGCATGCTGACCAAGTAAATACTAGGAATATCTTTATAATTTAGAAGTAATCTTGTATTAATTTTGTATTTTTCATCCCTCAGTTTGTCTGGAACATCAAATCGTGTATTTAGTGGCGTTGTGCTAAAACATGCCAATGGTGTTCGTAAATTTACTGACACGGCTGACGTTTACTTTGGCCATTTGCTGCCAGAACAAATTCAGAGCTATGTGGACTCGAGGGATCCATTGTAAGGCAAAGTCATCGCATTAACCACCAATATTAATTAAAATTGTATCCATTTAGAGATAAAGCTGGTGCCTATGGCGTCCAGGGCCCTGGTGGCGCCCTTATCCACCGTATCGATGGTGACTTTTACTGCGTGATGGGCCTGCCACTGCATCGACTGTGCTGTGAACTGAATAAACTGTTTCTAGAGGATCTCAGCCCATAAGTGGCTTGTCAACGTCGCGCCCAACACATACAAACTGTCTGGGAGTCTTGCGGCAATAAGCGTCAGAGGCTACACACGCTCTGGTTATTTTAATCTTGGTTGATAAGCGGCGCTGTATCTCTCTCCGACTTTGCGTGGACTTGTTTGTTTTTTCTTTATGGCTCAAGTCAATTAAAAATAAAAATCAAATAATCGCGAGAAGAAAACCTAAAGAGAGAGCAAAGCACAGTGGTTAAATTTTAAGTAATAATAATTGTGAATTTGTTGTTTAAGTTTGAGACGCTTCAAAAGAATTTACAATAAAATTGTAACATCTTATTATTAAAAGAGTAAAGTACGTTTGTTTGAAATTATAATGGAAATGAAATATTCCCTTTATTATTTATAGGCAATTCCTAGATACAAATGTTAGCTCCTAGGCTTTAAAGGGGGGACCCCGGCATATAGTGCTTGAACCTGATTTTAATATGTTTTAATGAAGCTTTTATTAATTTAATTTAAGCCCCAAGAACTCGTACTCCTAATGCCTTATTACTTTTATTAAGAATATCTACTTTATTTTTAAAACCGGGTATTTTTCAGCTAAAAACTTCTCGTCAATGTTTTAAACCCACTGTTTGCTTTGTGTGTCCCACAGCTGACTTGCCCTAATCACTCTCAATTCGTAAAAAAATCCGAGCAACATATTATTTTCAAAGATAACACGATTATATAAACAATAAAATATTGTATTCGTGAGCAGCGCCCTACCGAAGAGCGATTCCAGTATACATCCAACGGTTACGAAGAGCGGATCCATCATGTCCCAGCCACTGCAGCCACCTACGCTCCCTAAAACCTGCTACCAAATGTGGGGCGGACGCTTCAGCCAAAAGCCTCACGAAGCTTTGGAGGCGCTGAACAACAGTCTGCCCTACGACTCTCGGCTCTATGCAGATGATCTGGATGCCAGCAAGGCGTATGCAGAGGCTCTTCATCGAGCTGGTCACCTGGACGAAGCCGAGGCGGATAAGCTGGTCAAGAGTCTGGAGCTATTACGCTTTGATTGGATCGAGGGCACAGTGAAGTTCCGGCCAGGAGATGAGGACGTGCACACGGTCAACGAGCGGCTGCTGGTGGAGATCACCGGTGAACTGGGCCAGCGGTTGCACACAGGACGGAGTCGCAACGACCAGGTGGTCACGGATATGAAGCTGTGGCTGCGTAAGGCTATTCGTGAAACCCTGGGCCGCCTAAGCCGTGTCATAGAAACAGCCAGCCGACAGGCAGAGCATCACCTGGGCGTCCTGATGCCAGGATACACACACCTTCAGCGCGCCCAGACCGTCCAGTTCTCCCACTGGCTGCTATCGCATGCCTTTGCCCTGCGAGAAGATGGCCTGCGGCTGGCTGAGCTCCGGGAGCGGGCCAATGTCCTGCCTCTGGGGAGCGGTGCACTGGCGGGGAATCCTCTTGGCATCGACCGCCTGTGGCTGGCCGAGCGTCTGGGGTTCTCGGGGGTGACACCCAACAGCATGCATGCAGTGGGAGATCGCGACTTCGTAGGTGAGTCTAGGGGAGATCTGTCATATCAAAAGATCGCTTTCTTAAGTCATTTCAAAGTCGTTTGATATTGCAATTAGCACAATTGATTTCTTATCAGCGACAGCCTGGAGGAGATTATTTCAAGGGGTGTCTGATAACAAGGGCCCGGTGCCCTATCTTTCGGATGTCTTGGGGTATATTCGTTTGAAGGAAAAGTAGGTCTTAAGCAAAGCCCAAAAAAATGTTAAAAAACGTATGCAACTAATTTCGAATAAACCTTTTCTTACTTTTTAAATTATATAAAAGCTTTCCCCTTAAAAATACAAGAACATCATTTAATTTCTCTTTCTTCCAGTTGACTTTATTTACTGCTGCTCCTTGGTGAGTCTCCATCTGTCACGTTTGGCCGAGGACCTGATCATCTACAGCACCAAGGAATTTGACTTTATTCGTCTGGCAGATAGCTTCTCCAGTGGCAGCAGCCTGATGCCTCAGAAACGGAACCCGGACAGCTTGGAGCTTATACGTGGCATGTCGGGGGTGATCACCTCGAACCTGACGGGCATTATGATGACCATCAAAGGCACACCGTCCACCTACAACAAGGACCTGCAGTTTGACAAGGAGTACTGCTTCCAGTCCTTCGATAAGCTTTCCCAGGTGCTAGAGGTCACCGATGGTGTCCTGCAGACGATGCAGGTGCAGCAGAATTCAATGGAAGCTGCCCTCAGCACGGATATGTTGGCCACGGATTGGGTGAGTTGAATAACTCCACATCTTTTAGCTTTCTTTGATACTAAAGGCCAATATATATGCGTTCCAGGCTTACTATTTGGTGAAGAAGGGACTTCCCTTCCGCCAAGCCCATCATGTCATTGGCCGCGTGGTTTCCCTGGCCGAGGAGCGTGGTGTGGATATCACCGACCTGCCGCTGGGCGAGCTGCAAGCCTTCTGCCCCGCCTTCGGATCCGACATAGTCAGTGTGGCGGACTACTCTAACAACGTGCAGCAATACAACGCCATTGGAGGCACCTCCAGTTCCAGCATCGTGGAGCAGCTAAGGCTGCTTAAGAAATTCGCCAAGGATTTGCGCAAGCAGTCCTAGCTAGCAGGAGCAGCGCTTTATTTCGTTTGAATTTTTGGTTTTTTGATTAACAAATTAAAAAGTTACATTTACAAACTGATCTCTTTGGGTGTTCTAAAACGTATAAATATGACTTCCACCGGAGCCTAGTTCACGCTGGGACTTTGGGGCGTGTAGGTGTAGGGTTCGTGGATGCCTTGCTCGCCGTTATCCAGCTGCTGGTAGCCGGTGACCGCCGAGTTCTGGGGCGGACCCATCTTTCCGCCAGAGATAAGTACTCCAAGACTTTGCTGCAGCTGCCAACGTCGGGCCTCGCGAATAGACTTGTTGCGGCGCAGAGTCTTGGCCAGCATGAAGGCGCAGAGGACGCCCAGGAGCTGGACAAAGGCCACTGTGGTGGCACCAGTGGCAATCAGCATGGCGCTTTGCGACACAATGAAGTTCATCTTGCGGAAGCAACCATAGTTGAAGGTCTCGTGGCAGGTCACCTGGGTGTGGGTGCTATCGGTAATATCCTCTTCCAGACTGCCACAGCAGGAGTTGGGCACAATGACGTCGTCGGAGCCAATGGTTAGGTTCTTATTGGGGGAATAGTAGTCCATCCAGTCCTCGGGCTGGTTGACTCCGCAGCATTCAAGCTATCAGGAAGGGAAATTAGGCATTTTTATTTTATCTAAATTATTTCCAGGAAACTTACTCCAGATTGCATAAAGTCTACTCCAGCTGCCACATAGGGATCGCTTTCGTATTCGGCCAGGGCCTGGTGCATTGTGCGCATGAGCATGCCCCGCACCTGCGACTGCATCACGAAGGCGGCAATGGCGGCGGAGACCTCCAGGATGAAGACCAGAAACAGGCAAACTCCATACTACAAAATTATGGATTAAATAAATATTCTGTAAAGACAAAAACAAAAATTTGCCAAGATAATTCCACTCACCAGATTAATAACCATCACACTCTCCTTGACGGCTCCATAGGCTCCCAGAGTGGCCACTGCGATGAGGATGAAACCAATGGCAATAAGAAGCGCTGGAGGCGAGGAGAAGTGTCCATCGATAAAAAGGCTAAAGTCACCGAAGATCGCCTGGATGGTGGTTCCCACCATGATGAGCAGGATAGCAGTCAGCTATGAGGGAAAACGTATACAAGGTCGTTAATCAATGCATGTCGCAGGTGTGAGATATTCAGTGTGACTTTGGAGTACCTTAAATGTGAGTATCTCTGGGTATTCCTGCTAGCATTATCTCAAACAGCTAATAAAAGCCATTTTGTTTTGTTTAAAAATTGATAAATACTATACATTGATGTTTCCCAGAAACAACATAAATTAGGTTCTACATTTATACTATTTGAAAACTATTAATACTCATCAATCAAATCATTAATGATCATTGTTCAACTATTAAAAATTAAGCTTTCAATTTGACAATTAATCAATTTCTAGAATTGTGTCATTGTTAACTTAAAATCAGTGTCACATTTATCAGATATTTACTGAACTTTTAGAATGTTTGCTCCTTTTGTTTGCTCATTTTCCCTATCTTGTTTGCTTGAACTGCAAAATCGTATGAATGCACTGTACTTCTACTACTAACTATCTAACTACTACTATCTAAATAATGTAACTTAAAGGCAATATCCTATTTACAATATTAACCGTTCTTATTGTAGTATCAAAAATACATTCATCCGCAAGTATGCAGTTGTTCCATCACATTCTGATATATTTTCGTCTTGTTATCTTATCGAAATGAGTAACTTGTATACACTTTGAGGGCAACTGTGCTGACTAAAGGCTGGTGAAATAATTTAATAGATATTTTTCATAAATTTAATGAAAACTATAATTAATTGTAATAAGAAAGGTTTGGTTTGATTGATAAATATTTAAAAATATAATTAAAACTTAAAACCCTTTGTTATCTATCACAAAGGTAGTGTAACTTTAAAATCACTGCAAAGATACGCCTCTCCACGTAGTGACGAAGGGCACTGAGAGTGACAAGAAAATGTAGAGAAAAAAATTATCAACAATTTATTAATTAGTCTTTTATTAAGAATATTAAATTAAACTGTTATATTTCTCCATCTTAGTTTGTTCTCAAATAAAAACTAAAGTCAGATCTAAACACGGAAATTTGTATACTGTTCTTGACCTGTTTCTCTTCATTCCAATTGGCTCTCTCTACTCCCGTGAGCGACTTACGTAGGCGCAGTAATATGATTCACATATAAAAAACCTATACTCGCCGAAAGCTGATAAGGAAATCGCTCCGTGTGATAAAAAAAGAACGCGCAAAAGAGTGAAAATGAATCAAGATGGCGGCGGAGTCGTGACTCACGCAGGATTATCATTATCATCATTAGCAGGATCAACTCACCGCAAACATAAAGCTCACAATGATGAGCATGTATTTGGCGCACTTCATGCCCGAATTGAGCTGTAAGTCGCGGTTAGCCATTTTGTGCAGTTCGTATTTTCGCTCGTCGCCTGCAATGTAAGTATAGGTGCAAATTGTTAATAACTGCCACTTTCCGCAATATAGAGTATATAGTATATGGGGTATTATCGTTCGCCTGAATATGTCGCGACCGCTAACAGCAGTAAACGTACTTTAACTTTTGCTAGTCACACGTGAACTGAGTGGCAAAACGGTGAACGCAATTGAAGCACTGCGGTTCATTCTCTCTCTCTGCCGCTCTCTTTTCCCTAAGCTCGGGCAAATGCCGTCTGGCCTTGCCACCCACTCGTAGCTACACTGGCAAAAAGTGGATGGGCCAGAGTTTGGAAAATCAATCACATTCCCTACCAACTTAAATTATTTTTTGATATAAGTCTTCAAAGGTTAAAAAACATTTTTTTTGTATAAAAATGAAACATTTTATTATATTTTTCAAACACATTTTAAAGAAAGTATCATTAATAAATACATATATTTTGTGAAATTTTTTCATCTGTGACTTCCACTCTCTGGAAAGCTTTCCAATGGAGGCTTATCAAGAGACGCTTATCAAGCCAACTATTGTTCATAGTCTTCCAGTTAGACAAATATCAGATAAGATAACGATTCCATTGTTTTCATTAGAGAATTATTTTGCAACAGAAACTCTGAAATCGAATAAGTATTGGAGCGAATCGATGATACTTTTAGTGCAATTCTCATAATGTTAATTCAACTTACTTCTAACACGTCTACTTATACATACACTGCGTTTCACTTGAATAGCACACTTTTTTATGCAATTTCAAATCTTGAAATCTTTTAACCAAAAAGAAAACTCGCTGATGTTTAGGTTTCTATTTATAGTGTAATCAATTTTAAATATAAGAAAAGTAACAAAACTTAAATTAAATTAACAATTAATAAATGTTAACAAAAAAACATAAAAACTTAAAAAATTGCACAACAATTTTGTTTCACATGAATAGCACTTTTTTGTTTTAAAGTATATTTAACGAACTTAAATATTAGGAAATGTGTTTTTATTCAATAGTGATTATTAATACATATATATTTGTTAATTTAGTAATCGGTTGAGCCTCCTTTATTCAATATAACCTCGTAGATCCTGTTGGGCATCGAATCATATAGACTTTTAATGTAGTCTAAGGATATTGTAGCCCAGGCCCTCTGAATGGCGTCAATTAGTTCTTCTTTTGTTGAAAATTGTTTGCCAGACTCATAAACCTTTCTGGCCAGCCATCCCCAAACATTTTCAATTATATTCAGATCCGGCGAGTATGGTGGCCAGTTCAGAGTTAAAACATTTTTATCTTTTAAAAAAGGTTTTACAATACCTGCAGTATGTATTGGCGCATTTTCGTGCTGGAATGTCCAAGGCAAATTATTGAAAAAATTTTCCAATGGTGGAAAAGCCTTTTCAAGGACGTTTAGATACGCTTTTGCGTTCATGTTTGAGGATAAGAATTGGAGCTCACAAGTCACATGGTAAGATATGGCTCCCCAAACCATAACTCTGCCTACTCGACTATAAAAACGCTCCAATTGATGCGCCTCTTTCCTCTGATCATGAAAATAATAATTGCAGCCATCTGGCCCCTCCAAATTGAACTTTTTTCATCAGAAAACACTACGCGCTCCCGCTCGTTACACCACGACATATTGACGCGGCAAAAGGTCAACCGTGCTTCCTTTCGTTTGGGGTTAAGCGGTGGTTTTTTTTTAAGTTTCAAACGTTTTAGATGTTTAGCTTTCGAAATAACTCGCCAAACAGTAGTTTTGCTCGCGTCAACACCTGCTTTTCCCTTATTTTGCTCTCAGAGTCATGGGAATTTGAGGCTTCCCGCAGAATCACACGCTTATCTGAGTCGCTAAGAACACAACTTTTGCGACCTTTCATATTTTTTCCATAGTTTTGTTTGTTTTTTATAAAATTATATACGATTTTTCTGCTTCTTCCAATTTTTTTCGCTATATTAGCTACAGAAAGGTCACAATCAATATAGCTTTGTATTTAGATCTGTTCTTTGTGACTTAGTGACGTTCCAAGATCCATAATTGCACAAAATGATTAAACTATGTTTAACATTCATAAATTAATCAAAAAAAGTGTTTGATTCAATCTCCTTGGCTGCTGAAATGACACGTAATCTAAAATGTGCTATTCAAGTGAAACAAAAAGGTGCAATTTATTGAAGCAATTTGAAAAGAAAATTACGGTACATTTGAACGGTACATTTTCAGACTTCCAATTTTTGTTGGAATAGAGTATATAATATGACGAAAATAAAACACCAACAATCATTTCATTAGATCAAGCAGTTGCTTAGATATAAACAAGTAATTATGAAAATGTTTTTGTGCTATTCAAGTGAAACGGAGTGTATGTGTAATTTCATAAGGTTCAAGTTCACCTGCCAAGGCCACCTACCTCAATCGAGTATATTATCGATTTAAATTCATTTTTAACTGAGTCAACTCGTTTTATCGATTTTTTAATCGTACTGCACTTCCGAATAGTTTAAATTATTCACAGGTAAACACAGGTGTGTCTACCCATGAGTATGCCAGCTTTTTTGTCTGTCTGAGCTGGAAAACAATAAATAATATGTACATAGGGCTGGTCTCTTCAACAAATGCGGCAAACAGAGACAAATTTAAAAATAAATTTAAATTAAATGTTTATATTTAAATGAAAGTATTCAAAGCGATATCCGCTTTAAATATTTATTTACATTGCTCAAGCTATGATTTCTTGTAACATTTGTAATAAATTTTACTTAATTTATCAATTTAATTTTTTAAAACGCAATTTTTTATTATTCAAAGGATTGCCACTATATAATCCCTGTATGCAATGCATTTAAAATTTTATGGCCTACAACGATAAGATTGGATTGGTAGACTCCAACCAATATCAACCCAATAAGCCAGATAAGCCGTAGAAAATAAAAGAAACAAAGCCAGTATATGTATTTATAATAATTTCACAAGTAAACTCTTTTATGTATCAGTATATATGTATTTTTTTTTTATTCATATAAGCATAAGAAAAAGCCAATATAGAACTATACGAAATCAATCAAATTTAGCAATGTCTTAAATTTAAAAAGCCACACTCGGCTCATCTAGCACCCGTTCTGGAACTTTTAAAACCAATTTCTTCTTGATTTATATAAATCCAGTTATGCCATTACGGATCTTGATCTCACGGGCAATAAAGCAGGCAAAGATTACGCCGAAGAACTAAAAAACAAAAATGTAGAAAAAAGAATATTATAATTTTATTTGAATGTTTTTTTTCAAGAAAAAATCAGGGTATTATCAAACTTTGTTGATTATATGATCTACAATCAGCTGTAACAAGCAGTCAGACTCACCTGCAGGATGGCAATGACCACGCCCGCTGCTCCCAGGCTGACAGCGTGAGCAGCAATGTAGTCCGAGAAGCCATCGAGACAGCCGTTAGAGTGGCGAGCGTCCGCACTGGATACTGCGGTCGTGCAATTGAAGGTTCCCACCGTACCCACCGGAATACTGCAGCAGGACATAGGCAGGTTGGTCTCGCCGAGCGTTTTGCTCCAGTCTTTGTAGGAACTCACACCGCAGCAGTCGAAGTCACGCTGTACATCGTCCCAGAGCGTTGTGGTTGGATTCTGCTGTAGGCTTTTGTAGTCTGCCATCGAAGTGGTCAGAGACTTTCTGATCAGGTCAGAGGCATCGTTACGAAGAACATAGCCACTGATACCGGCGGCCAGCTCCAGGATAAAGATGATGGCCAGCATAATGGAGAAGCTAAGCACCAGGCAGTAGTTCTCCTTCAAAGCACCCCAGCAGCCAAAGAACGAGATAACGATGATAAATGCACCGATCACGATCAGGAAGGTGGGGATTGAGAAGAACTTTCCGGCCAGAAAGAGTTCATAGCCGGTATAGACGGCTCCGACGCCGGCTCCAACGGCAATCAGAATTATGCCAGTGATCTGGAATAGAAATTGTTTTATTAATTATTATACTTAAGAGTAAAATTGTATTTATTTTAGATGATGATGAATCGCGTTTATTAGTGTTTCCACGAATCGCCCTCGTTAATGATCCATTAATCTTAGTACATTTATTTGGTATTCTATTTTGACATTTGTTTGCAAAAAAGATAAGATAATGAACTTGAGCTTCGGTGAATTCTATGTATATTTAAATCAATGATGTTTATTTAAAGGAATGTTTATTGTTATTTAATTTGTATTACCATTTACTAAATATTTAGGTATTCATTGTTTGTATATATGTTGGAAAAAGAACTAATAGCAAACTAAATATTATTAAAACAAAATTGAATATTATTTTATATATTTGTTTTTTATTAACGGAATTTATTAGGTACTTCCCCCAATTGACCAAAGTAATAAAAATCGCTTGCTTTATCTAATCTAAGGCTAAGCTCCATTAGAAAACCTTTTCACCATGGCGATTGATGACTCATCCGAGTATAAACTATATTAATTACTTACCAAAAAGATCAAATTAAATCCAAAGAGCGTGTATTTCACCGCATTGGCGCTGCCAGTTAGAAGCGACATCGTGTCTCTTATAGTTCAAGGTCTGTAAAATCAATGTGGTTTAAGTTAATAAAAACCACCAAATTGTAAAGACAACAGAATAGCTGACTAACTATTTTTGGAAGGAAAGAAAATTTAACACAACCGGCCCGAATCGATGTCTAAAGTATAATAAAGTGGACTGCAGGCCACCTAAAGTCTAGGCAAGTTCCAAACTCTTTCATTTCTAATCAACAAAAAAAAATATATATATATATTGTGTTATCAGTAAATGATATGGCCCGCACGGCTATTGTTCAAGCCAAAATGTGGTCAACTACCTGTGGTAGTGTTAGGCGCTGATGTTGCCGAGACCTCCGTTTCAGACAAGATAAACGAATATTTTGGAACCGATTAGATAAGATGACAAAAAAAAAAAAATAAATAAATGTTCTGCAGTTTATTTTATGGCGCTAGTTTTGAATTTACTTGAAAAATTAGAAATAAACATAAATAAATTCAAAAATAATAATAGTAGAAAGAGTATTCGACTTTTCCTTTTGGCTTAAATAATATAATGGATGGACAACTTGGAGTTAAACTCTAAAATTATTTACAAGTAATTTTAGAATATTGTCTTACCAAAGAATATTATAGATAAGCTAACCTAATATAAACTTTTCATAAAAATACTTTAATTTGAAGTAAACTGAAAGTTTCGAGCAAAATACCTGGATTATATCTCCTATAAATTATTGTATACTTTCTAGCGATAAATTAGATTTAGTCTTCTTTTTTATTATCTAGCAATTAGAATATAACAATTTGAAATCTTGCTATTTTAATTAAACCAAAAATGTAATTGAATTTTCATGTTGTTAACATCCATTTGCATGATTTACCCTCATAAAATATTGCAGTCTTGAACTTTGTACTAAACAATATTATTCATATAGAGCTTGTGGTGAAAAAGAACAAATCTAACTAGACTTCAAGGTGTTATCAAATTAAAAATTGATAGAAGACGCATAAACATTTTTTGCTTTGTCGTTATACCCGATTATAATTCATTGCATTGATAGGAAAGCCAAATGCTAAGGGTTCCTCTTCTTATCAGATCGGTGTGACTCATCCATGTGTCATAACAGGTGCTATTGGTAGACCAGGTGGTCGGTCTCCTATCACTTCACGCTTGTAATCGAATCTAGCGACTACATAATTATGTGAAATTTCTTAAGAAATTCTCTTCTTATTTTTCGAGTTTTTAACAAATTTGCTGAATTTATGAACGATTTCCTTATCGATCGAGGCCATGAGAAATTAATGCAGTGCCACTTGAGTTGGCCTTTATTTTTTTTTTTGAAATATTTTTTATCAGTTTTTTCTTCTTTCTACTCACGGCACAGCAAGTGGACAATTTTTAGTTTGACGTGACGGCGGTTGGACAACAACTGAGAGTCGCTTCCATTAACGTTCGCCGGCATGCTCGCCGAGGATTATAAATACGAGCAGTCACTACCTGTAATCGCGTGTGTCTGCGTGAGTTTAGTGATAAAAAAAGTTAAGTTAATGAAGAAATACTTGACTGAAAAGCTGCGAAAAAGCTTTTCCCTCAGTTAGCACTATTCTGCAAAAAAGAGAACTGACAATTGTTTTACTGCTCGAATGAGCGACGCTTTTCATTTTTTATCTAGTACTTAATATTCAGGGATTTGTTTTCCAAGAGTTTTGGTTTTGATTTTAAAAATTTATTAAATGTAAAAAATTTAAATGTAAAAAATAAATTTTAATTTACGTAGGGTAGTAGTTGTTATACGGGTCGTATGAATAACTTCTTCATCTATGATGCTACTTTTTAAAGCTTAGTTGCGTTAAAATTATAATTAATAATAATAATAACCCGTTTTATTTTAAAAGAAAATTATATTTATTAATGTTACGTTTTAGGTATTCCTGTGTTTTTGCGTCTTGAAACCGAATTAAATCTATGACTGTTATACGGGGCGTATGAGTAACATCTCCTTTTATTTATTTAGAAAATATTTAAGTTTAAGATTATTAGTATAAATAAAAATAAACTTAATTAAGAAAGTTGTTGAGCAATCTTACTTGTAAAAGAAAAACACATTAAAATATATCATTGAAAAATGTATTAAATTTATTTTCATTTACTTTCTCTTGTCGTATACTAAATGCTATCGAAGAATATATATGAGTATCATTTGTTATTTTATAAGTTTAGTGTTTAGTTTAAATTTGGGGGAATTGCTGGCATAATTTTAATACTTGAATTTCGAGTGCAATGCCAAAGCGAGTGTGTGTGTATGGGGTAAAAATGTGTGGAAATGCGAACAGGAACTGGGAACTGGAACATTTTCATAGTCACATTTTCGTTTTCTTTCAATCAAATCAAATATTAGTTGTCAATGTGTTAGTGGGCTTCGTCAAAATCGGGTGTAATTTGTTTGAAATTTTTTTTTACAATTCCAGAAAATCTCAAAAATTACCAACAAAAGTCTCATCGATCGCTCGCTCGGTTGTTAGTAGGTATTACAAATATATATATTGCATATATCGTTTAAATTAAAATGTTTATTATTTTAGTAGTTCGCTGCCTCGCCAAGAGAGGGAAGGGGGTCCCCGCCACTATTTCCTATCCTTGCCGTGGCGATCTCGCTGGTGCCTGGTTCGGGCCGCAATTGTGGTGGTGGTCAGACTGTGAACGTGATGTGGCTGCTGCTCCCGATAGTCATGTCCAGACCCATGATGTTTGCTACCGTTTTGCTGGCGATGGGCATGATGTTCTTTCAAAGTGATTTTACCGTGTCTGAAGAGACAGAGAAAATGCTTATTAGTGCGGACTTACTCTCGATACTGATAAGTTTAATATAGTTTAATAGTTTTTCTACTGTTCTTAGGATAGTATATGTTTCCAAACAATGCTACTCCACTACTACGCAGTTTCAGTTGCTAAGGAAAAAATAGAATAGAGCGAGGCTTGATGTTGATGTTGTCGTTTGGATTTGGATTTTCTTTTCTTTTTTGTTTTAATACCAATTTCATGTATTGCTTCAGTTGTTGTTTTATATTTATATATTTTTTTTCTGGTTTCCAGCAACATGTTCATAGTCAGTTTTTAGAGTTGATTCTACAGATAGAGTGCGGTGTGCATGACATTAGATTTAGAGTTTAGACGGAATAAGTTGGGTTAATTATTGGCAAACATGCAATCAGGTCAGACAATGGTTAATATTCAATAGAAAATAAAATTTGTTAACTTTTATTTAAGTAATTTATACTACTTTGGTTTTAAAAATCAAATATTTTAGTGCTATTTGGGGAAAATACAATAAAATAGTTATTCTGGCCTGCCCTTTAATGTCCAAACATGCAGTACTGCTTTTGTTAGAAGGAAATTAAAAATTTGGAAAAACGCTTACGCTGTGAAAAGTAAAAACAGAACCAGACGGGCCCCTTTTTTCTTTTTTTTTTTTGTGCGAGTGTAACTTGGCCGAGTATTTTTTTTTGGTTTGTGTGCGCTCTCCGAAATAAATAATATATAAGGTCTAGTATTAGTAGGGAACACAGTGATTGGGTGTGGATTTTGGTTAGGATAATAATGTTCGGTTTCGCATTCAAACGATTTCGTGCTCTTGGGATTATTTTTATTTTTTGGGTGCTTGGTGCTGGGGCAGCCCGCGGACAGGTACTCTGTTTTTTGTGTGTGTTTCTGGGCTCTCTGTCCAGCGCTGACTATGAACATGTGCAGATGCCGAAGGGCTGGTGCGTGGACACGCTGCTGCGCACTTGCCGCATCCTCAGACGCTTCGGCCAGCCTCCCAACCGTCCCCGTTCCGCCCGTTCCCTGGTCCCAGTCCACGCCCTCGCTCCAGCTCCTCCTCCGCCAAAGAGCTGGGCATGCTCATTGCTAAGATTGTTCTGATATGGACGCAGCTTCTTGGCCTCCTCGCTGGTGGCATACAGCAGGTAATTGTCGTACACATGGCTCACGCTCGAGTTCCGCTTGGCCGGCAGGTAGGGCAGAAAGGCAAAGCTGGAGCTGGTCGACTGGGTGGCCTTCAGGGAGGGCTTCCGGCGGTTGCTGCGGCATCGAAGCGTGGACTGGTTGGAGTAGCTGGGCGGAATCATTTCCAGCTTTGTGCGATATTCGTAGCTCGGTGTGGTTGCCACGGGCACGGGTATCAGGGATCGCTTGCGTTTGCTACGCGGCGGTGGCTGTGGAATGATGCCCGGAGGGATCTCCGTCTCCATGGTTACCGTCTCATCAATGCTGGCATAATCTGCTTCTTTAGGGGATTCGCTTTCGGGGGGTGCCACCTCACTGTCTTGTTTATTGTCTAAATTCGTATTCGTTACGTATACGTACGTCAGTTCGTTGTGCTGTGTGCTTGGTGCTGTGCCAGTGGCTGTTGTGCTTGCTGCTACTGCTACTGCTGCTGCTGAGGAGGATGATGATTTATGCGCTGTGCTTTTCGATGATGATTTCAATGATTTCGATGTGGCTGTCGTGCCTGTCATTGTTGTCGTTGTGCTGGACTTCTTGTCGTGGCTACTCGTGCGACTCGATCTCGTCTTACTTGGTCGACTGCTGCCGCTCTCCCGTGTCCCTGCCGACGAGTGCTCACTGTGCCTAGAGCGACTGGAGTGACCTGTAGTGGAGATGGTAGAAAATAAATATATTATTTTGATCTTAGAGGGGTATTTTGCTAATGGTGTTCGGGGGAAATAATTTTTTTTAGGTGCTCAGCATTCTCATATATTTCCACAGGTAAAAAATTAAGATGCGTAACGTCATGACGCTTAAATTTTTTCCACTTTCTATGATCTCTTAATATTAAACTTAAAACCAATGAGAGCGATTTGTTAGCAGACAATTTGTTTGAATAGGCAAATGAGTTGTCGTTACGCATCTTACTATTACAAGGTTATTGGTATAGGAATTAGAGGAAGTGGTTCAAGATAAATTATACTATACAATTTGGTAGTTGGTTTCTTGGATAATTATAAAAGTAAGTTGAAATAATAATTTTAAAGGGTTTTATATTTTAAACTATTTTGAGCAAGTGATCAAGGGACAAATTAAAATTAATTAATTTCAGTATCTGTGGTGTGTTTCAAACAAAACAGTGTGTGTCAGTCCTTTCAAGTAATCAATTTAAAAATATATTTGCTCTCTACAACTTTTAATTGTGTTTTTTGTAAGTGTTTAGTTTAGTTATTAACTGATTTTGTTATCTGATCTGAACTGAAACTCATCTAGCGAACCTAAAACGTTTGTTCAGCCTTTGTGGCTGTGTGGCACCCATAATGAGCAAGCCCAAAACTAGAAGTTCTGCAAGAGACACGGCCGGGTTGAGCCGGATTATCCATTCGATATGTATTTTATATAATTTAAATTTAAATAGGAACTTTAAGGCCGCGCGCACACTACGAGCTGAAAGCGGAGCTGACGGCTGACGGCTTATCAGCTCTCTGAAACAAACACACTACTTGTATGAGAGCGCGCACACCGAGAGCGGAGCTGAGCTTAGAAATTTGCACTGAAATTATCAGCTCGCTTATCTCAGCTCTGCTTTCAGCTCGTAGTGTGCGCGCGGCCTAAGAACTTACCCCTGGAACGCGAGAGCTCCTCTCGGTGCTTCTCACTGCCTCGGGAACGCTCTCGTTCCTTCTCACGCTCTCGCTGGCCGCTCTGCCGCGAGCGACTCTCGTCGGCCGTCCGGGAAGATCTAATCAAGCGACTACCAGAAGAGGCTTTGCTCTCGCCGGAGTGTTCCACATCCCGGCTATGACCATGGCGACTGTGACTATGGGAACTCCGTTTCGACTCCAGGGAGGAGGATGCCTGAGTGATACTTGATCTCGGCTTGGAGCGCAGTTCGAGCGGCTCATGGCGAGACTTCTCTCGCTTGGGTGTGCGCAAGCGTAGACGCTCAACTCGATGCTTTGTGGCCACCTGGTCATCAGAGGAGCCGCCACCGTGGGTCATAGATTCCCGCGAACTGGAACGGGAACGGTCTCGCGGACAGCACTCAACGGAGGATACCGAGGAGCTGCGGGCCCGCGTTGGCGACGGCGTGGATTGCCTGGAGTTGCGACGTGCCTCCGAGGCAAAGGTGGCACGAGCCACGCCCAACGTTTGAGGCGGATAGACCTTTACCTTCTCGTCGATGGTTTCCAGTGGCTTGGCACTTCGGCGCTGCAGAGAGCATGATCGACGCCGCTGATCCTTGATGGCCGCTTCTTCGGAGAGAGCCTAAGAAAGGTAAAGATTGTATAAAAGTTTAAGGTACTTGATGCTATGCATCATAGCTTACCTTCAAAGTCTGATCAGCGTTACGGGTCATTTCGCTCAGGATCTGGGCATCCCTTTGCAGGTCGCTCTTGCGCTCGTAGCTGTGGGGGGATCGGGAACGCTCCGGCGAATGTGCTGGCGACTTTACCCGGAAGGTGGGGGTCATATCGATGTTGGCGATGTTCTCATAGCAGTGCTCTTCGTCCTCCTCCATGTCCTCGTCGTGTCCGTTCTGCTGGGGACTGCTGTGTCGCAGCAGGTCGGGTCGATCGCTGAGCAGCTGCCACCTGGTGGTGGTCTTAGTGGTTGTACCCTTGGTCTCTTCGTTGTGGTTTGCCTTGCTTCTGCTGGGCAGTGTTCTCCTGGGATTCGAGGAGATCGTCGAGAGTTTCGTTTGCTGCTGTTGCTGCTGCTTTTGTTGCTGTACTCCAAAATAGGAGAGTTCGTGCTCACGTAGCTTGCGAGCTCCGCGTGCTTCCTTGACAATCTTCAAGGACTCGCTGGCGGATTCATCGGGAGTTTCCACTGGTTGGCTTGCTGGCTGTTGTATTTGCGGTTGGATAAATAAGGTCCTTGGCTTGGCCACGGGTATGAGCTGGCCTATACGCAGGGTTGGAGGCGTGGGCTTGGGTTTTTCCATGCGGGGAGCATGGAGAGCTATGTTCATCACATTAGATTTGGGAAGATCTGAAAAGGAACAATGACATAAAGAAATTAATTTTATGTCCAGGAAGTTGAACTGGCTGAGTAATTAATTGAAAATCCCTATAAATCTATCGAAATAAATGCATCCTGATGCCTTACATGAACTCCTCTAACTCAAACCCCTGTATAGAAATGCCAGCGTTACCTGCTCGCTGCAGCATCTGATCCTGCGCCTCGATCTTCCAGATTGTGCGCTTGGCCTTTAACCGACTCCAACTGCTCGAGTATTCGCTGCCCCGGAAAAGTTCCACTGGTGGCGGTTCTGGCGAGGAGCTGGCCTGAGTGCCTCCGCCACTGTCGCTATTGTTGTCCCGGAAATACCGCTTCACCTCCTCATCCGCACTGTCCTCCTGCTCCAAATCTTGATCTTGGTCCTGCTCGGCAGCATCGTATAGTCTCCTCAGTTGGGTAAGCTGCTGGCTCACTGGGATCTGTGTGTTTCCCAGAAGCTTCAGGCGCGGCGGAGCCACCGGATTTCGAGGCAGGGAATCGTACAGAGCGCTGCCAAAGAGATCGCTGCTCGTTATGGAAGTGGTGGACACGGTGGACATGGTAGAGGGTCGTCGCGACGTAGAGTAGGATCCTTCCTCCTGGTAACTGTGAGATCGCAGCATAGGCGTGGGCACCACAATCGTGGGCTGGGCCAGGACGGACTCAATCGAGGCTATGCTCAGGCGACGCATGGCCTCATCGAACTCGCTGGCCGAACGCATGGTCCTCATAATCAGCGACGTGGACTTCAGGCCCTCGTCCAGGATGCGCTGGTGCTGGCGCAGATCCTCCAACAGCAGATCCTGTGCACTGGGACGACGCTGGATGTGATGTGTCGCGGGATGTCGATGGGGGTGATCTATTGGGAAATGTGCGGAAAGTGTCGTTTGGTGGGTTTGGTTCTTTCTTTCTTTTCGGTTTTAGAGCGTGGGGTTATCGAGTTGAGCTTAGCGAGTGGTGGTGTGTTAGATGTAGCATTAGATGTGGTTTAGAGAAGCGGCAGTCAGAGTTCACAACATGCATTAGGAGTATTCAGTATTCAAAGTACAGAGTACAGAGTACAGAGGGTTCGAGTCAAGTAGAGGAGTCCTTGGCTAAGCCCAGAGATAGACTAGATCATACAACGATTTCAGTATACATACTACGAACTACAGGCATTCCCACTAACTAATAAATGATAACAACTAATTTAATTTTAAGACTGATCTAGCAGGAGAGCACCCACCTGATTCTGGCCACTCCTCGGAGCCCAGGCTCACGTTGATCTTGGTCGAGTATCCATTGCCAGCGGGCGAAATCTGTTGCTGCTGCTGTCGCTGCTCCACAATGCGAATGCGCTCGGCAACCGATTTACTGGAAATGGGGGAATCACTGGTGGTTCCTGGGGATATAAAATAATAAATATTATTATATAGTTAATTAGCTTATTTCAAGGACCTACCACTCTCCCTTGCCGAGGAGGGACTTTCCCTATCTGCTTTCATGGCCGGCACACTCCATAGGACATCGGCGCTCTCGATATTCTCGCCCAGATGATAAGGTTTCGGCTTCACAGGCTTATTCTTTAGAATTCCACGGATATTGGACAGCTCATCCGTCTCATTGTCCGTGGTGTCCACTCCACTGGTGGAGGTATAGCTGTTCCGGGACGTGGACTCCATTAGGGTATAGCGTGGCTCATGCACTGGCTTGGGCACAGTGGTTACTGTCACCTGGGTGGCGCTGCTAGGGCCAATACCATTGGTGGATATCTGCAAAGGAAGATTATTGAGCTTATTAAATTTAAATAATTTAAATATTGAATTTTATTATATAATTTATATAATGAGCTTTAATTTGTTGTAATTTTTTTTTGTATTACTCACCGGCTGACTAACCACCTCGGGCGGATCCATTAGAGTGGCGCGGTAGGCCACCGTGCTGGTGGCTATCGTCTTGCGGCGTTGCGAATCATCACCAAAATGGGTCACGTCATGGCTCGGGGTTGAGGAGCTTGTGCTGCTCCCGGCACTGGCCGACTTGACCAGACTCTGTAGTGGACCGCTGGCTGTGCGGCGTCGTCGTCGAAAGTTTTGCGTGGGCGGCGGCTTTCCATCGGTCTCCACGATATTGACACGACCGGATTCGGCGGCAAAATGGACCTCTGTCTTGCAAAATTCTACACGCTTCTGGGCGTTGCCCCTCTGAAGATGACTACTAGTGTTCGTCGTGGTTGTGGTGGTGGTGGTGTTACCATTCACTTGAACCTGCGAGGTTTTGCGGACATCACGCCAGGTCTCCTCCACGGCTATCGAATGGCGCTTGCTTAGTTCGCCGGAAAGGGAATCCGGAGAGCTAGGTGCCTGGATGGGCTTTGCAGTTCGGCCAAAGTGGATGACAGTTCCACCATTTTGCTGCTGGGCAGCATTCCGTTCTGTAGGCGACCAGTTGCCCAGCTGCTCGCCGGATCGACCCAATCCGCTATCCGTGGAGGCGTCCACCCGGAAGATGCTCTTGTCCTCAGGCGGCGACATCTTCTCGAAACCGTAGGACTTGCGACGCAGATGCCACTCACTGGAGCTGGTGTCCTTCTGCCGCTGACGGGACTCCAAGCTGTGGGTATTGTGCACAGCCCGGAAGGCTGAGGGTGCCGGCGGCAGGGGAGTTGCCTTCTCCACGGACACCTCCCGCACGAGCGGCTTTTTCTGGTGATATGCCAGGAAGTCCTCCTTGTAGAGACTCTCGTCGGAGAGCTTCTTCAGTTTCCCGCGGATCTCCTGCAGGGACTCGGCGGTGAGGAAGGTGTTCCTCTTGGCCACCGTCGGCTTGGGTGTGTTCAGGATATTGTCCAAAGCGGCCAGGTCCACGTGGTTATTCCGCATGGCCGTGTTAAGGCGACGACCATTCTCCAATTCCGCTCGAAGACGGGCCACGCTCACTGAGCTGCCAGGCAGATCTAGAGGTCGAGGTCGAGATCCCGGACTCTTGTAGTGATCTTGGGACTGAAAGGAGCGGCGCAACTTGCTGACACGCCGCCACTCGCCCACTGGCTGCTCGCCGGGCTCCTCGCGCTCCCAGTCGTTGCTGAGATCATCCGTGGAAATGGAGCGAGAGCGCTGGAGCAGCGTGGATCCGAGACCAAGTGCGGACAGGGGCGGAGCGTACACAGACTGGGACACCTGCTGGCGACGCTGATGACGGGCGGTGAGTCTGGAAAGGAGTTGAGGAGGAGCAGATGTGGCTGGTATCAGGGTCGATCGGGTAATGGCATGAAATTTTTGTGACTTACCGCAGCTCGTCGTCGTCGTCGCCGTTGCCGTCGTCATCGTTATAATGCCGGAAACTTTCCAAATCACGACGCTGCGTTGGCGTGGTCGCAGCTACGTCAGCACCACCAGTACCAGATCCGCCCACGCGACCTGGGAGTTGGCCATATAAGTCGGCCTGCTTGTTGGCCCAGGCGGATGATGATGATGGAAATAATGATGATGATGATGATGATGGCGGCGATGATTCTGGCCCGACAATTGCATGTAGGCTTATTTTACCCGCACTTCTGTGGGTGTTGCCGCTCGCCTGCGCTGCTGCAGTTGTTAAGTTTGAATTGTTGCTGCTCTGGCTGGAAATGCTCGAGCTGCTTTTCTGTAAAAGGCGCAAGATTGAAAACAAAATTAAAATCGACTCAAATCCAGCGCACAAAGAAGCGCTCTCGAGTGCGGGTGTCGCTCGTTTCGGTTATCGTTATTGATGTCACCCGGTAATTGTTATACTCCATGGCATAATATATATATATATATATTCCAGCCAGGAATCGGAGTGGGTGCATTGTTTGACAGGAACTGCTTAAGGAAGCTAAGTACTTAAGCCCCCCATTAAAGACAGACGGACACACATGAGCTTTAGTACAAAGTGAGCCGTGATCAACAATTAATAAATGGATTTCCGCATTGGCGCCGTGGGGATATTAATATAGAAATAAAATCTAGAATAAATTAATAACTAAGTCAGATATAAAGTGACCCCCAAGGAGCTTATTTTGACTATCAATTCATTATCGTAATGAAATATATATTTTCAAATTTTAGAAATTAATTCAACAAATATATATCAACAAATTATTTCTAAGAACTAGAAAATTATGAAATAAAAGCACTTGGCAACGAACAAATTACAATGTCTAAACATTTCTGTCAACTTTCAGCTAGTGAAATTCCCCAAAAAGAAATGTTAGTGTCAAGATTGATGGCCAGAACTGTCAGACGATGAGTGTGGGCGTTGATCTCGTCTCAAGACACTTTTTGGCCAGCCCAATAATTAGAGACTTTTTACTGCCAGGCCTCCCTAATGAGCGAGTCTCGTTTCGAGAGAGTTGCCAACGAAATTTCCTTTGTGGTCATGACCCAGATGTCCGGCTGAAGTGCTAAGCACCACCTTATCGAGCGAGCCTATTATTAACGATTTCCATTCGATTTCGATTGAACCGGAGAGGTGACTCAAAGACATCCAGACACACGGTGTCGTCTCTGGATAGTCTAGACGGGCTTAAGTTTTGATCTATGACTCTTGGCCAATTGTAGAAAATTAGCAAATATATTTATTTTTGGTAGCTAGCTGATGTTCTCTAATGACACGGGCCATTAATCTATGGCCGACTTTTATGGGGATGTCTAGAAAAATCACCTGCAATTATTACAGCTGATGAGGGCATAAATTCAATGTCTGTGTCGTTGAATATTTTGAGGTCTTAATGAAAAAAGTTGTGAGTGAAATATTAAAAAATAATATATGAATAGATTTATGTTTAAGATAACTATAAACTTTGAAGCTCATCTTTTGCAAACTTGCTTAAGGTAAACGCTGTTTTAGGTTTGTCTCTACGACCCTTGGTTATTACACGTTTTCAGATTTTCCCAGAGCTTTACCATTTTCCCCACCAAAACAATTGGCGACCGTTAACAACTGACCATTTTCGGTCATTGCCATGGCCACGGTCAGGAGATTACTCCTCGAAAGAAAACCCAATAAAAAACGAGTTGGAAAAAGCAGTCATGGGCGCATGCTAATGAGGTAACTAAGCAAAGCACACAGGGAAAAATGTTATAAACTTGATAAAATTTATTTAGAATTCATTTTTAGCTAACCAAATCCCAATAAATTTATAAAAATTAAAATAATTCATATTATTTAAATAGGAAACCTAGTATTAACATGAAAAACCTTAAACCTGATCTTTGATCGCATTTTTCCTGTGTAGCAAAAAGCCGCAGAGGTGGGTGAAAAACCGAGAAAACCCTGACTTACCATTAGATTGCTCAATTTCAGACTCGGAGCCGTATCGAGTAACAAATTGTGGCCGACTTTGTGCAAATGCTCGTCGACCGCGTCGTCGTCTTGATCGCTCGCCTCGCCATTAATCACCACAAAATCAACATGATCGTCGATGAGCTCCTGGCTCACTGCGGATGCGGATGTGGCTGCCGATGCAGATGCAGATGCGGAGGCTGTACGTACGATGCCGGCATCGCTGCCACTGAGACTGCAATCGTCGCTCAGCTCGCAAATGTCAACACCCTGGGCGATCTGGGGAAGGGGACTGGGCCTGGATGGCGGATCGTGGAGGACATTGTTGCCATTGCCTGTGCGGTGGGTGGTGGATGTGGTGGTGGTGGAGGTGGAGGAGGACCAGGAGGACGAGCTCTTTTGCACTGTCTGGGTGCGGATCACCTGCATGGCGCCGTTGGCGGTGCGAGCCTTCAGCACCTCCAACTGTTTGCGCTGTGTGTGCTGTGTGCCGTTCGGCTGTGAGATGTTTTGGGAGTCGGATATCTGGAGGAGAGAGCGGAGAGAGAGTGGGATTCAGTGGTGGCAGGATTATGAGTGGATAATTCAAAGCTGCGGTGCATACAGAGGGTAATCGTGGACACTTTGTGAGCACGGCTGCTTTGAAAGGAATGATATGCGGAATGGGTTTAATAAGAGGGTAACTTAGTGTTTTAGTAAGACTGATGGCGGTTTAAGGTGTTCTATATGTCGCTATAATAAACTAAATTAAATTAAATATATTTTAAAGTAGTAATTTGCTCCCAGTTCCCTCCGATCTAATTAATACATCCCATAAACACCGATAACTGCTGTTTTATCGATTGCCTGCCTATGGCCACATTCAAATCAAAATAAGATAAATAATGCCTTAAACAAGAAATCGCAATGTGATTGTCTAAAATTCAGTAAGTGTGTGTACGTGGGTGTGTTCAATGTGGAGCGCAATATAGCTTTGTCGCAAAACGGCATTCGGCCGTTGGCAACGGGGCGTATGAAAGTTGCCAGACAAAACACTTGACCGTCAAGCCTCCCTCCCTCCCCCCGGATCTGCTTCAAAAATTGTTAGATGCCTCTTATCTCGACAACTGGGCGTGCTTGCTCGCTTACTTTGCTCTCCAGCTCGCTGGCTCGCTCGGCACACGTGACCAAACGCCAGCCACAAATCAAAAGACTTAAGAGAGCAACTGCAACTGCAAAACTGCACCCTTTTGCGGCTATGCACTTGAAGAAATATTATATAAATTACATAACTTAAAAAACTTAAAGGATTAATGGGTTGTCTGTATAAAATTTTCTTTAAATTTTTTGTATTTAATTTCTTTTTTTCTGATCTTAGCAATACCTTCGACTAAAAGCCATTAAAATACGAATAAAATTTTTGTTATATTTATTTACCATTTCTAACATTTATTTTCTATATTAAAGACCATTTTTTCCTCTGTATTTACCTGAACAATTAGCAGATCCGTTCATTGGATCGTGCCATGACACACCATTGAAGAAAAGAATAACAAAAAATAAAAAGCAAAAATAATAATACAAAACACACTCGAACTGGCCACAGAGATCGATTGCGGCAATCGATTGCATTGATGATTTATAGTGCTAAAAATGCATAATATCCTCCAAAATGAAAACTTTAACCCCTGCCCGGTGTCCAGTTCGAGGCATATTCGTGTCAATGACCAAAATGCAGCGATTGCCGTAGCCGCACTTATTTGACTATGAGTCAAAGTGCAGCATTGTTTATACAGAGTATGGAAAATTTGAATGGCAAAAAAACAAAAGGAAAATTCACATTGTATGCAAGTTGCGGGTTGAGTCATTTCAGGGTTTTCGGTTCTTGGTTCTGGGTTCTCACCTGTGGTCTACCACTCATAACGCGGCGACTGGCACTTTGAATGCTTATAACTCTGGCTATAACTCTGTAATTAGCTTCATTAGATGGGAATGTTTTGGGGTTTTAAGACAAAGACAATTTCATAGCAAAGGGAGACCCAAATAACTATGCGAGACAGTTGCATTTGGCTTAGAAATATAAAGATTATATCTAGAGAAAAAGTCACTCTAGGGGTATAGGTTGTAGCAACTCTAGAAACTCATCATTTATTGATCTGAAAACTTTTTATTTACTTATATTTTCAAGGTTCCTTATTGTCTTACATTCCTGTGGTGCACTGTATTTCAGTTCAGGGTTATCCCTTCCAAAGTTCTCAATCAGACTGCTTCATTTATCGACTTCACTTCTGGCTTGGGGGCGGGGAGCCTGTCCGAGTCGATTTCTGATTTCCATTCGTCCAACGTCCGTCTCCACGAGCTTCCCATTTTGACCCCCGGGGGGCAAACGGACAATGCATAATAATTTCAGCGGCTCCCTAAAGTAACACTCATCCTTGAGAGTTCAGACCTGGGACTGTGACTAAGAAAGAGTGCAGAATTGCGGGCCAGCCATAAATTATAAGCCGGGCTTCGATGCCGCGGGCCATGCACGTTCTGCCGGAGTTTCTCACGATCAGGGTCCGAATCAGGCTCAGGAGGCTTTCGGGGATCGCTGGGGAGACCGACCGCTTTTCCACTTTTCCGCAATGTGTGCCTGTCTATCGATGACCTCTTTTTCCCCAGCACCAAACACCAAACGCTGTTCGTTTTTCACTCTCTTATTTTGGCGCTGGTTCGGGTTAGCATGTGTAGGCCGCTGGTCTTGATCTTGGTCGGGGAGTCTCGTTGTCTGTTCGGGCCTAATTAAGCTGTGGCCAAAATCTGCATGGCCCGAGGGGGAGTCCCAATCAAGGCAACAAAACAGCTGGCGAAAGAAAGCCAACTGTAAATGAATTATTTGGCTCGGCCGAAATCAGCCAGCGATCAGTATCATGATCTTGCCGGCAAAACATACACCCGGGCAAGAGGCCGAGAGAGGGAGAAAGAAAAAAGGAAACTACCAAATTGAAAATGCTGAGTACGAAACCGAAAACGAACCAAAGTCAAGTTGAAGGTTCAATGAAATGCAGAGACTTGCCACGACTTCCACAGAGCCCAGCTCACTCGCATATATTATAAGCCAGCCAAAGTCGTGATGATGTTAAGGAAGACTTTGCTTTCGGCTTGCTACACTCAGAAAAACCAAACAAAAATTTAAAAAATTCTAACAGAAAATAAACTAGAATTTAATTGACAAAGTTTTAAAGCATTGGAACAGCGAATGTTTAAGAGCATGTATACTTTCCTTTTCATATTAGAATCCTTAGTTTATTTTAAAGAAAATATCTTCAAACAGTTTATACCTTTTTTTCCGGTTTACGAATATGCCAAAATATTTTGTAGCCTGGGCTCAGGCCGCGCATGAAACAAATTTAATGATGCTGCACCATCGCAGTCGTAGTCATCTGCCGCCTGGTCGTGGCTGTCTGTCTGTGGCCATAAGATTGACTGTCTATCTCCCTACAACCTCTCCGAGTCTTTGCCGCACTGTGTGTGACTTCGCCAAATGCCCCATGTTGGTGTCTATCCGCCTGCCTGCCTGCCAGCCAGTCCGACCCTCAGTCCATCCGTCCCTCAGTTCGTGGCATGCATGTCGCCTTTGCTGGCTGGCTGGCAGCTCGCGGAGATCGGTTGCCTAGACATGCCAAAGCGTTGACTCTTTTTATTTTTAGCTGGCACTGACTTTGGTACCCCCAAGCACATTGGTTTGGAACCAAGAAAAATATTTATAATATTAACAAAAAAAATCTAAAAATTATGCTTAGAAATTCAGGTTGTTTCAACCTCAGTGAAGTTTTAAAAGCTTTATTTATTTCCAAAATGAAACTAGAAAATCACTTCTACTCCCACACCACAGTGCCTCTTAAATTGTACTCCTGGCTGATTTTTAAATCGTTGTGGCCTGGGCCATTTTGTTTGGACCTTTCTGCCTCTCTGCGATCTGTGCTTCTTAAACTATAATAATATACATTTTTATATGCATTATTTCTGTCACGATCTCGTTGGCTTTATATCTCTATAGGCCCGACCCGACTGCAGGAAAAGTGGTACGAGTAAATCATGTGTGTGGACCGGAGAGTTGATGCCCCAAGTCGTTGGGGCCTAGTGTGGAGTTCATTAGCGGCCGAGAGGAAACACTTAATTGAGGCAAGACACGTCAGTTGACATCCTCAATTAGTTGCAAGTAATTTACGTTTGGCGGCCAAGCTTGACTTGACGAGCACTACAGGTAAGAGTAAAAAAAAAAATAATAATAAAAGTTTTGACCACAGGTAAATCTCCCGAGTGGCTGATGCATCCTCTCTGCGGGCAGCAAACTCCTCTATCTTCTTTCTGGTTAGACTTGTGGCAACCCAGTGACCCACAAAGGCAGCGGCATCGCCAGCGGCCTGGTACCGTTAGCCGTGGAAACATTGTGGCAACATGGCCAGAGACCCCAACTGCGATGCAACTATTGCACGTGGAAAAAAAACTTGATGTTATGTTAAGTATTACCAGTAAAAACATGGGTATATTTTAACTATATAAGGTTGGTTTAAAAGTAGGGCTGCCTTTACAGGGTCCCCGAAGGCTGCACGAAGAACTACAACGGTATCCAAATCAATGTCACCAGCAAATATCTAGATCATATGATTTTCTTTCGGTGTTGGAAATAATTCAAAAGCCGCGACTGCAACTGCGCTTGCATGCTGCAAGCAAAAAACAACAAACAAAAAATCTTGCAAAATGTAAATTTCTGTTTTGCGTTTCTTCGCTGATGCCCCAGCCGCCATCCATAATGCTAATGAAGAAGTTGTCAGGGATCTATCCGTCGGTTTGCCTAACGGTGCCTGTGTCTGGCTGCCTGGGTGCGTCTACGATCTGCTATGCGATCCTCTGCTCTGCTCTGCTCTACTCTTTGCTGTTCCCGACCGATTGGTTATTGCCAAATTGATTTCCCTGCGATTTGTGGCGGCAGTCGCTGCCTTTGACTTTGTCTTTGTCGGCAAAAATCGAGCTTCGGACAAACAGCGGGACATCGGTGATATAAATCCCGGACTTGGCCATCAAATCGAGTCGAGTTGAACGTTTTAAACTGAAACTGATGCGGACCAGGGAACAGTGATGGCCTCTGTACTAGATACTCACATCGGGATGTTTGTTTATTATTAAAAAATTCTATAAAGAGAATGCCATAGCTGTCAGAGTATACATTACATAATTAATTGCAGTCTGAGTTTTCTAATTAAATTTAAACACTTTTAAATTAGTCGGAATATATTTTCTTGATGCCTTTTTATAGGTATTAAACATTTAAAATAAATTAAGAAAATATTTTCATAGCAGACTATCACAGCTCTTACATTTTTCCCATCACTGACTAGGACCTGGTGTATTCTTTCGACTGATCATTGCCCATCGATGGTATCGATGGCTTGCCTAGTGCACCCCGACCCTGCCACGACGCTTTCATCTTTTGGCCAGGCTCTCGGGTCTCTCGGCATCGTCAGCTGCGGTGGCAACAGAGTTCAATCGCGATAAGATACAAAGTCAGCGGAATGAAACAACTTTCGGTGGTATTTTTTTCACAGGTTTCTCCGCTGAATACCCTGCAGCCATAAAAGTATGACTGAAAAAGGGCATATCCATACTGATCGGGTGAATGTAACAGCCGCCAATTGAGTGCGGTCATTAAATGATTTCGAATTTAGCTCCAGGAAGGAATGCATTTCAAATGTTAACTTTCAGCTGAACCCAAGATGGTCATTAAAGTTGGTATTTTTTAAAGAAATTCAAGTCAAAAAATTGTTTGTAATCAGTAATATCCTGACAAACGCATAGTTTTAATCTAAAAAACAATTCTGCTTTTAAATATTCCTTGTACAGCACCCTTAAGTATATCAAATAAACATTCCTAAGGTCAATACTCTACAAATATTTCATCACATGATATCATCGAAATCGGGCAATAGGATATTCTATTGTTTCATAAGCCGATCAGCGTTCAGCGAAATAAAAAATCACTTAATTATTTGGATCAATCTCTTCAGTTCGAGTGCCGCCAATACCAAGGCAATGATGTCATTGCATTTGATGGACGTTCCGGGTGAGTATGGCTCCGAGTAGCTAGAGTATCTCGTAGTCCAGATCTGGCCAAGTATGTGGTGCTATTTCAGTTGGCCACGAACTAAGCCAAGATCGAGATTCTATTTGGTTTTTGGTTCTGGGCCGTGGCACTTGAGGCGCGAACTCGCGACTTGACCACACACTCGTGTTGGGGCAGATGCTGATGATGACGGCTGCCAGCCGGTGGATGAACAAGCATAAAATTAACGACGGGCCCTGGAGTGCTGATTTTACCATCTCGCCGAAAGCAGTTATAATTAACCGACAAATTCTAGAGCAATCCATGGCTCAAAGACAAGTGAAATCTGGGGAAGAGCTCGAATTAATTAAAGGCAAGCCCCGAAGCGCCTAAAGCGCGAGAAGTGATATATCACAATGGAAACGAATCGTTCGGCTATAACCGAAATCTCTCCGCTAGGAAATCGATTGGTAAGTGGCACAGCGTGTGCAACTGCGTTGAAACTTTTCTCATTTCTTTTTATATTGTTTGTTTTTATTTTTGCCTCCTTTAATTTGTGGCCAAGCAGCAACTTATCACAATCACTGGCTCCCCGAGAGTGTGTGCGTGTGACCTGTTAATTATGGTTGAGTAAAAGCGGTCAAAACACATATCTCGTTCCGTGTCCGTGAGAGAAGCTGCTTGGCTGACACACAAAACCATCTCAACTGGCATTCGGTAACCAGCAAGCCGAGTTCTCAAGCCATTAAGTTGGCAATGCGTAGTTGGCGTTCCGTTCTGGCCAAATTATTACAAGCCACGACTTTGGCGTTTCATCTTAAGAATTTATGTTGGATTTAATAGCAGTTCAACTATTTAAAAGCCTTATTCAAGTGCCAAAGAGTTGTTTTTAATTTCATTTAACTGTTCAGCTAAGTGAACAAGTTATTTCTAGATTATTTTTAGATTTCTTTCAGGTTAATCGCCCAACTTCTGTTTATTTTTTTTGTGCCAACTCATAGAGCTAATCCTGGCTATTCAACTAAATAAACTATTAACTGATTAAAATCAGAGAGCAAGGAAACCGAAACTAGTAATCAAGGCACAATTTGCCGCAGCCTCCACTAAAATAGTGAACGCCTTCCCATTTAGAGAGTCCAGACTTCTCCGGCGGACCTTTCAATTTCATTTAAAATACGATGGACAAACACAGAGCCCAGCAATTAGGTCTAGACCCGGGCTGAGCAATGGATGGAGCCACAGCTTCCATCAATCAGAGCCAAAAGTAATCGCTTTGTGGTTTGGGGCTCGGTATCTTAGGGATGTGTGTGCGGGTGTCGTGAGTTCACGAATGACTACTGTTTCTCAGATAAGAGAAATGTATAAAATGTAAAAATATTACTTATGTTCCTGTTCCAATTTAAGCATAGTAAATGGAAGATAATTTATAGAATTTGTTTAAAGCCAGGGAATGTATCTTCTATATTCCTCACGCTACCATCTTCAGGGGAGAACACAACTCACCTTGCCGTAGCTGTTCAGCGGTCCATTTACCCAGCGGTCTGCCTCGAGGCGTCCGCTGAAGAGGGCTCCGGTATTGGGATCGATGCGTTGCCATTCACGCACCTCGCGCTGAAAGGGGGATCTGGAGCCACTTCCAGTGGTGCCTCCGCCTCCTCCTCCTCCTCCTCCTCCTCTGTTTGCCGCCTGCAGATGATGATGATGATGATGGTGATGGCTCTGACTGTGATTGTTTGTTGTGGCCACTTCCATGTTGGGCTGGGGAGCTGCAGCTGCTGGAGCTACTGGTGTGCGCTTTTAATTTGCACGCTCGATGCACTCGAGCTGCTTCGCTTCGTTTTCTCCGCCTCTCGACTGTCTCCCTCTCAAGATCGGGAGGCTGCACTTCTTCAGCTGCCGGCTGCTCGCCTATTTCAAATTATTATTTATTGTTATTATGCTACCGTCTACGGGTGCTGCCTTCCCAGGCCCCGCTCCGCTTCGCTCCGTTCGCCTTCGCCTTCGTTCGCGTTTCGTTTTGGCTAAATTAATGGCAACTTTAATTTATTATCATAATAATAATTTTCTAGCTATTCTAGAGCCCGCTACTGTGTGCGCCTCCTCGGACACCACACCACCTAGTATGTATAATTTCCTCGGCTTTTCCTATCCCCTCTACGCTTTGCTGGTTATTTGCCCCGTGGCTTTCACGGTCTAATTTGAGACGACTTCCCCGTATGCTTTTCTGTGTGCTGAGCTGAGCTGGCCTGGAATGACAAGAGCAGAGTTGAAAGAAATTTCGTTAGTTAATTATGTTGCAAAGTGTGAAAAAAGTATATAGTATATATATGTTTGCCTAGGCCTGGTATATTTTTGCTGATGCGTGGCGGAAGCAAAAGTGCTTTGAACTGGCTTTGAAGTCGCTCCGAAGCCAACGTGCGGATTTCTAATTAAATTTGCGGCCAACGTCCAGCGGATATGAGACGATGACTGGGAGACTGGGGACCAGAGTCTCGGATTCTTTGATTGTCAGCGGATGTCACAGTCTATTTCCGCCTCAGAACCCCGACACATGTGCTGTGTCCACTTGTTTATCTTATTTCTTTTTAGTTTAATTTAATTTAATCTGCTGTTTCGCTATTATTTCAGGTAGTCGTCCGAAACTTTGCTTCTTCAATGCGTGTTTATTTTTTGGCTCTTGTCGTCATATGTAAGAAACATCATTTGTAATTGTCAGAGTTATGCAAGCACTTCATTTATTTCGGGGCACAGTGGTTGGTCTTTGGTTTAGAGGTTAAAATCTCGAAGAGTTATTAGTCCAAATTAATGATTGGAACAAAGTCAGTAAAAGATTTATGAATTTTACAAAACTATATTGATCTTTGATGAGGCAATGGTTGTGTCTGTATTACGAAATCTATTTAAAAACTAAAGTATTTAAAAGCTTAATTAGTTTATTGGTAAAATTTGTGACCAACTAGGCCTCAAGCTCTGCTTTAAAACAAAAGAATGCCTTTCGACCCACTGTTGCACCCATTATAGCTGTCCAAATAAGTGCCGGTCGACATTAACACTGAAATGCCCGTGTCTTGCGGCTCGGGAAAAATAAAACGGAAAAAGACAGCACTAAAAAAAATGAATTTAGCACAAACCGGGAGACCCGAAGAGACCCAAGTCGAAAGCAGACCAGCGGATGCAATACACACCCCCCTGATCGACGCCCACGGAGCTAGGAGACGCGGAGAAAAGCAATTTTGCTGAATATTTTATGCGGCTGCGGCCGACCGCTAAATAGTAACTGTTACTAAGTTTTCCACAGCTTCGGTTGGCTTTGGTTGGCCGAGCTGCTCAGGCATTAACTTCCTCATATGCGAGGAGAGCAGCAGCCAGTGGAAACCCGTTTTCCCCGTTGAACTTGCACCAGTTTTTGGTTTTTGGTTTTTAGTTTCGGTTTTGGCTTTGGCTTTGGCTGAGTATTTTAGCACTTTGGCTAGAAATAAAAGTGGCTCGAGATTTGTTGGTGCACTCTTTATTTCCTCGGCACGCAGACTTACTCCACATTCACAAATTGGATTTGTATTTTGGACACGTTTTGCCGGTTTTGTCTGTGCCTGTGACTTTGTTTTTTTTTATTTTTCTTTTACACATCACAGTGTGTGCGCTAGTTGATTGCGTTAATTAAGAATTAATTAGCCGTAATTTAGTGTAATTAAGCGATGGTATAAATTTAATGACATGGTAGAGGGCACTGCGCAGGCAGTGGAGGGTGAGCATTGCCAATTTATTTATGCCAACCTATCGCTTGATTTATACTTTTTCAGTGATTGTGGCCAAAAGGTTATGCTGATTTCGAAAAAAAAAAAAAATAAAAAACAAATTGAATGCATTATAGCCTGGGGGAGGGAATTTAAATAATGAGGCGACAAAGCTTGTTGCTTAAGTCTTCTGATTGCTTATGTGGGGGAAGTTGAAGTATAAATTTTGTTGAGTAATTTTGAAAGCTTTTATTGCTCAATTTAGTTGTAATTTCAGATTCTTATTTTTTCAATATCCTGTATTTTAAGGCATTCTATGAGCTAATGACCAGTTATAGTCAGCTTATAAAAATATTCAAAAAGTTCGTTGCCTAAGTCTTTTGTTTTGGCGTTTGTAAAATATATTTTAAATTTAATTTTAATTTAATTTCTATAATAATATAATTATCACCTAAAACCTAAACCTAAAACTACTTTTTCCAGATTTTTTCACAGCTACGGCCCCTCGGAAAACTAACCACAAAAACACAATTTTCAACTTGAGTCGTTCAAGTCTACTTGGTGGCTTTAAAGCGGACCTTATTCACCATAACAACAGTCAGGCGACGATGAAGGTCAGTGCAATTATTATTATATTTTTTTTTTGTACTGTTTGGCTGTCACCCAACCGCAGTAAGGAAATACCTACAACGGTTATTTCTGTAACAATAATTGTCCAAAACGAAAGTCATTTTTTCTGAGGAGGTTTTTGCGGTTCAATTCCAGTTATTTACATATCCCATCGATGCGTAATTCGCCATCAAATGTGAGCTTGTTTATTTTTGAAGCATTTCGAGTGTGTTGGGATGTAGGTTAATCCCTCATCTTGGTTTTATGTTACATTTTTTTCAACCCCCACAGCTTGCCATTTGTTTAAAAATAGTACACAAATGCGTGGGCCTGGGGAAAACACATACAGTTGACTATTTATATACCCAAAATGTATGGTTTATTTCATTGGAAATATTTCAGGTATATACGTTGATCAGAAGTGCGAACATTTTGTGAAATTGCAACGCGTGCGCAGACCACGAAAATCGTGCAACAATTGACCGATATGCAAATCGTTCTTGTTATTTCAGAGACAGACCATGGGACAGACTGACAGACAGTTAAGAAATTTGCATAATTGGCTCGAATTCGCGTGTTTTCGTGTGTTCTAATTTGAATTTGATTTGTGCGACACCAAAACAGAAGCAGCACGCTCCACGATACACACAAGACATGGGCTTGGACAGCAAGTGTGAACAGAAAAGTTGGCACAACGATAAATTGTGAGTTTTATTTTTATGTGAACTCGGCCTTACAAAATATTAAAGAGAGGTAAAGAGTGAGGAATTGCAATGAGCAGCGTTTTTAAAGAGTTTTTAAATATTTACTTAAATATCTTGTCCACAATTCATTGAACTGTCTGTGATATTAAATCTTTTTTGGTTACCTTTCAGACTTTTTTCAATTAGATATTTCCTCCCTTCTTATTTTGCCATATATTATTTTCTTTGATTATGACTTTTTATCTACCTTTTCCTTTCAACATTAATCTTTAACCTCATGACTTGTGTGTGTGTTTCTCAATCTGGTTTTGATGTTTGGCTTAGCTTTTCAACAGAAACAATCATATTCTTTTTTGCGTTGCTACAATTCAATTATGGGCACATGAAAAAAATGTTGATTACCACAACAATTGAGCAGCAACGCCTCTATGTGTCTATTGATATATTTAACCATAAATATATCTATCTACATATGAAAGAAACCACAATCGGGGCTGGCTTCCGTCATTTTATACTTGGGCCGGGTTTTGGTACTTAAGTTCTCGTTCTTTATGATTGAATGCGGCTTGGAAAATAATTCATTTTTAATATACATATATTTTTTAGATTTGTTAATTCGATGCTGATCTTGGCTGCCGTTTAGCAGCCGTTATTAGTCACACACGCAAGAAAGAGTAATCTTGGTTTCTTTGTTTGACTTCCGTGTGAGAGACAAATGCGCAAATCGGTTAATTATATAGTCGGGGGAATATTGTAACGAGTCAGGACTAATCAGCAGCACCCGCACTTGCTTTTGCCAAAGAAGGCAAACACACTGCCACTTAATTAGGCAAATGAGCCAATTGACGGTAATAGCGTTGACATTTGTGAAATATAGAAAGATATAGAAAAATATGATTTGTAATTTATAGTTTTGATCTTTCTCTCTGTTTGCAAAATTACATAATTGCTATACCCCGAGAGAGAGAGAGAGACAGGTTCCAACCTCTAAGCCATTCACACTCTGCCCACGGAACAGGTAATTGTTGTTGTACAAAGTATAGTTATCTAGGCATAATGATAGATATACTTGTTCCGTCCAATGAAAATTGTAATTTTATGATTTCCTGCTGACGCGCCCACAAGCAGATGTTGCCATGGTATCAATTTTCCGCTACCTGCACTCTGGCAGTGCGTATGCGTAATATGCATACGCTGCGTATGCGTAATGTGCCATTTTATCGCCATCTTGTGTAACCATCTCTTCCCCCCCAGCTAATTTTGGGAAAGTTTTCAGCGAGACTTGTCTGATTTTTGTTTGTTGATTTATGCCGTTAGTTTTAACACTTGCACTGGCATTTGATTTGCCAAAGAAAACAATATTTATCTTATTAATTAGCAAGCTTAGCACAGAAGCATTGTTCGCTTTGTATGAAATGCTATTACCTTTCTTGGCGAAATTTTAGATGGAGTATACCATGCCAGAAACATGACTCACTGCTATACAACTCCCTAGACTTGAGTTCCTCGCATAAACTCTGTTCCTCGAAACCAAATAAATTGAGTTGCATGTGGCGGCGCCTGCAATTGTCAGTCCACATTTGCAACTAGCCGCCCTCACAGCGTCACAGCGGCGGTTCGGCCCGAAAGTGAAACAAGCCAATAAATAAAGCCAACATCCAAGGTTTATCAGACTTGAAAAATCAAACCGCAATTCGTATATGCATAAGGTCCCCTGGACCGCCCTTCTTTTTCTCACTCCCACGTGCATTGCCAGCTCCAATGTGACAAAATAAATGAGCCAAACAAACCGAAAAGAGAGAAAAAGCGAAACAAAATCAGGAACTGCATATTAAATGAAGCGTAACGAAAGAAAAACGACGACAGGAAAGAGGTTACCGCACAGGAGACCAGGGAATGGGTTATTATATTTCGGGGAAAGGGAGTCGCTGAAGGGCTTAAAGTTAATTACAAGCGACGCCTACAAGGGTAACGTCTGTGTGGCCTCACGGCCTGCGGCTCACTTTATTGTATATATATATATTTTTTATGCTTAAGTGAAATACGAGCTGTTAACTTTGTTTTTTTCTTTTTTGCGGAATTTTTCATGGCTTTGCGCTAAGGCATAATTTCAACATTGTTCAACACTTTTACTTTTTGTTTTTTTTGCGGCAATAAGAAATTATGATTTACATAATAATTTGGCGCTATTTGCTGATT